CAGGGAATCCTTGGTGCAGCGGGGAGGTCAGTACACCAAAAGGTGTACTGCCCCTATTGCCCAGCTTCCAGAACATGCACTCAGAAAACTGGGTCTTCCCAATAGGATGCCGGCTATAAGCTAATGACTTCCTAAAAATCACTGCAACCCATCCTCCCCACCCATATGACCCGGGTTGCTGTGTGTAAGAGAAGCCTAGTGGGCAAGCAGTGGCAAGTACAGTACCAGACATCCCCGCTTCCTGGGGACAGTCCCTGGATCTGCAAATCTGTCCCTGGGAAATGTGGCAGCGGCAGCCTCAGCAGCCCGGAGCCAGCCTGGTAGCGCAGTTGGCTCTGACTGGCTTCAGGAGCTGCTCGCTGCGGTGGCGCTCACCATTTTTCCTTGCCGGAAGTTCCCATATGATATGTCTTGTGCACAACAAATCATATGTGGACTTCCGGCGAGGAAAAATGGCAGGCGCCACAGCAGCAAGCAGCTCCTGAAGCCAGCCAGAGCCAACTGCGCTACCAGGCTGGCTCCAGGCTGTTGCTTGCTGCTGCCACTGCCACTGCCAAAGGGGAACTGGGGACGTCCGGCAGTACAGATCTCCTGCCCCTGTCCCCCTTTGTTTTGACTCATCGGGGGAGGCTCGGGAGTTGCGGGTGGGCAGCCGTTGCCTAGTTTATGTTTCACAAGGTGTGAAAGAAGGGCTTTGCACCTTGCCTGGCAAATAAACCATGCGCCTTGCACCCCTCCTGGGCAACAGCCACCTGCCCGCGACTCCTGAGCCTCCCCCAAACAGTCAAAACAAAGGGGGCAGGGGGCAGGTGGAGGCTCGGGAGTCACGGGCGGGCAGCGCACCATTGCCCAGTTTTTTAAAAACTCTGTGCATTTATGTTTCACAGGGTGTGAAAGAAGGGCTTTGCACCTTTATACAATATGCATGAGTGCTTGGGTCCAGGAACTTTTGCCTCACCATCCCCACTACTGACTCCCTGTTGCTACTCGGCTTAAAAAAAAAACAAAAAAAAAAGTGTCCCCAGATTCATTGAAAAAAATCTGGTAACCATAAAGTACAGGCCCATCTGACCTGGCATTGCACAGCAGCACCTTAAGTTCATGTGCCTTGCCTGATGTGTTGGACTAGTGACCATTTGAGTGAGACCCATAGTTGGCATGGAAACCATGAATTCTTGGGCTGCTTCTTCAGCAGCCTCCATGTGGTTATTGAAGTCACCCCGAACAATTGTGTTTTGGTCGTCCAACAATGCCCAAGAGACTACCTCAGCCAGCCCAGTTAGGGATGCAGCTGCGCATCAGGGTGATCAGTAGACCAGCAGCACCCCCAATCTGTTTCTCTCATCCAACTCCAGCTGCAGACCCTCTAAGCCCACTCTGAGGTCAAGCGATTTTGACCTCTGATACAAGGAGATTGTACTTGTATGGAGAATGGCAACCTTTGATTAGCCTGGTGCTGTACCATGTACTCAGTTGGGCACAGCTGGGTAAGTTCAGTCCGACCCAGAACACTCAACCAAGTCTTGGTAATGCAGATCTGCCCATTCATCCATGATCAGATCATGGATAAGCGTGGTCTAATGGTGGACTGGCATTCAGCAACAGCACCACTAGACCTGAGGGCTCAGTGGATATGCTAAGGGAGTCAAAGGGCTGGAACTAGAAATGGAGACCAAACACTTGGGTGGTGGTCAGCACCTCCACTCCAACTGTACCTTCCTCTGGCCACAATCAATGAGATTGGAGCAGCAATTTCACCACTTCTTGCTACCTGCCCACTCAGAGACATTAGTGTACCGCTTTTCATCCTTGTATACAGCTGAGGGCCACAGGCAGAAAACGAAGGCCCAGTAGTATGTGCATTCCACATTGTCAGAAAGAAGATGATAAATCCTCTTCAACTCTCCTACCCTTGCCTCTCACTTAAGGGGAACCCCACTAAACCAAACTCCCCCTCAATCAGGCTTTAACCCCGGGTAAGGGTCACAGGCCTGTCTACCACAGTGGCCTACGAATTCTATGCAGTGGTACCTTGGGTTACAGGCGCTTCAGGTTACAGGCGCTTCAGGTTACAGACTCCGCTAACCCAGAAATAGTACCTTGGGTTAAGAACTTTACCTCAGGATAAGAACAGATATTGCACGGCCACGGCGCAGCAGCAGCGGGAAGCCCCATTAGCTAAAGTGGTACCTCAGGTTAAGAACGGACCTCCGGAATGAATTAAGTTCTTAACCCAAGGTACCACTGTATTTTTTTAAATGTATTTTTTATTAAAGATTTTCTTGATTTACAAAGGTATGTGCAATGTCTCCTGCTTTCATCCTGCTGCCCAGGAGAGGCTGTGCGCGGCTAAGGCAGAAGCAAGGACAGCAAGCGGGATCGCGGAGCTACAATCCCACTTGCTGTCCTGGCTTCTGGCTTAGCCTTCATCCCCCTGCCCAGGAGAGGCTGCGTGCGGCTAAGGCTCCCCCAAGAGCAACGCTCCCTTTAAAGAGCGCGTGGAGCGTGTGTGCGGCTCTTGGGGGCTTTTCCCCGAGGAGAGGAGCCCTTCTCCTTCCTCAGGGAAAAGCCCCCAAGAGCCACACACACGCTCCACACGGCTCTTTAAAGGGACCGCTGACCAGAGCCTCCCGCCTGCATTCACTCCATAAGATGCACATACATTTCCCCTTGCTTTTTAGGAGGGGAAAAGTGCATCTTAATAGAGCGAAAAATACGGTAATATATGTTGGGTTTTGTGTTACACTGTATTTTGACTGGCAGTGGGGGCACTCCTGCCCTGTGGCAACCCAAAGTAGCAACCACATTCGGGGTCAACCTTGCTACATGTGGCAGGCCCTGGATCCCACCCACACCCCAGCTGTATTGACTCAGCCAGCAACCAAACAGTACAAAACACCTATCATCAGCCAGAAAAACTTCCCAGCAGGCATGCAGCAAACATACCAGTACAGACAACACACAAGATTGATGCAGGCAGAACACACACACACAAACACTTGCTGGCTGGGAGAGCAACCCAGACAGGGGTCAAGGTGGTACAAATGAGTCCCTTCTTGCCGAGTCCTCTGTAGGTCTTCTTCATAGAATCATAGAATTGTAGAGTTGAAAGGGACCCCAGGGTCATGTAGTCCAACCTCCCGCAATGCAGGAATAAATATTTTTTACTTAACTTTTAACATTTTTTTTATTTATTATAACATTTCAGTAAAAAAGTAATATAACAAAGGTGAGGGAATGGGAACACAAAGCACAACAAATCGAAAAGTACTTAAAACTGTGGCACAGAACAATATGTAAGTCTGTAACAATTACAATTATTCTAACAAGTGTAAATATATTAAGAAATTGTTATGCTTATTATAAATGGATTCTAAATATCATTATATTTATCAACACACAATCGACATCTAAAAGTAAATGGTTCGTATTTTGCAAGTGTACTCATATCTTCTATCCAGAGAAGGTCCAGAGAAGTCGTCCAGAGAAGGTCATGGCATTTTCTTTCCAATGTATCAATATCAGTCTTTTAGTAGAAGTAAAGGTGTGTAAAAGTCCATTTATGTTGGTATGTGGTTTAGAATAACACTGTCATCTGACAATTTTAATTTCTCTCCCAAAGTAACATTTATACATCTTAATACTTCCCTCCAAAATTTTTAAAGCGTATGACATTGCCTAAACAAACGTTTCAAAGAAGCATTTTCCTTATCACATCAGCAGCAGCGTGCTGTCGTAGAAAGTCCATTTCTGTAAAAACGTAGAGTCCAATAAATTCTAAACACTACTTTTTGTTGTATAAGACACTGTTTATAATCTAATGACACGCTAGCTACCAAAGTTAAAACAGTGTCCCACTGCATCAGTTCATTATGCCATTTGTTTCTCAGAAGTTGTACATCAAATTGACTAATTGAAACCAGTAAAAAAAGCAACCACTGGCTTTTTCATCTCAGTGGATTTAGTCAATTGTTCTAATATCTGAGGCATGATAGTTGCTGTAAAAGCTGCTGATGCGAACAAAATATAGTAACGTACAGTATGTTGCAACTGCAAGTATTGCCATTGGGCTGAATCCGGGCCAATTGGTATTTTTCTTTTAATATAACATACCTGTAGAATTCATCATTCTCATCTAACAATTGTTGTTTTAACTCTCAACGTAGGTGCACCATATAGCATCTTGACCCATTTAATAAATTCCAAAGAGAACCTGGATCTGTTTAATGTATCCTGCATATAATGTTTATGGATTTTATCATAAGCTTTTTCAGCATCTAATGATAAGGTCACAAACTGGTCTTTATTTTTATTTAAATCTATTAGACCAATATTTTCTGATGCTTGCCTAGTTTTTATAAACCCTGCCTGATCATTTCTTGATATAGATCACCTGTAACCTCTGTTGGTCTGCTCTCCATATTATGATTTAGTCTGAGAACCGTTACAGAAATACGATAAATAATAATAATAAATAATAAATAAACAAGATACACCTATATGCCCAAAGTTAGAGTCAGGTAACCCAACCGTCTGCACACTGATGTCAGGTGTGGCCAGGCATGATGGCAGCCCTACCTTCCTGTTGCAGCCAGTCATGAAAGGTAGCAATGTTGTGCCTTCAGTGCCTTCTCTGACATCAGTTGGCACTGCTTGAAACAGAAGTGTTACAGTTTAGAGGCAACACTTAGAATTTTGCTTTCCCCCTGCCTGCTAGCAGGTTCTGAAAGCACCACCCCAGTTTCTTGTACATCAATGAAGTTAGATTCAGTTAGGTAGCCATGTTGGTCTGACGCAGTCAAAATATATATAAAAATTGTCCAGTAGCACCTTAGAGACCAACTAAGTTTGTTTTTGGTATAAGCTTTTGTGTGCATGCACATGAAAGCTTATACCAAGAACAAACTTAGTTGGTTTCTAAGATGCTACTGGACATTTTAAATATATATATATATATATATATATATATATATATATATATATCTCAATGAAGTTATTATCCCCAGTATTTTGTGTCCTGCCCCCACTCCCACACTCTGAAATATTGTCTCTCTCCTCTTCAGGACTCAGTTTAAAGTTATTCTGATAAGGTTTGCAAACACATTCTTCCCAGCCGCTGCGAGGTGCAGTCCACCTCCTCCCTGGAAGTGGAGAACATGGCCCAAGAAGCCAAACCTTTCCTGACAACACCACCTGCGCAGCCAGTTGTGTACTTCCAATATTTTCCTCTTCCACCCCCCCAAGCCCTTCAGTTTCATACCTAGCGTCTCATAGTCCCATGCTGTACATTGTAGGTTGTATCGATGTCTGGCAGTATCATTTCTACACACATGGATCAGAAGGAAGGGGTTGTGGTTGGTGGGCTTGATAAGACTTGACAACTTCTTTGTCACTTCTTGAATCCTTGCACCTGGAAAACAGCACATCTTTCAGGACATTCTGTCACATATACACACAGCTCCCTCTGCCCCCCCTCACCACACAGCCACCTAAAGCCGCCATACGTCTCTTTCTCCCAGTGCTATTTTTCTAGAAAAAGAAGTGCCAGAACTTACCACCAACACCTCCCTTGTGCTCTTATTATCTTGGAAGCGTCTTCTGGCGAGTCATGGCTGCAAAAAAGCAATGGTTCATCTTCCGGGAAGTGGCATGAATCCTTCTGTTCGCTGAACCTTGTCCAATCACCGAGTTCTGCAATGGCTGACTTTGTTGCTGTGGCACAGGATCCACATCCATGGAAATGACCTGGGCAGCAGCCTGGTTCCCGACAGCTCCGCTACTGGGCATCACATCCCCAGGGTTTGCCTTCTGCATTTGGTGCTCATCTACCTCCATAGGGGTATCCTCACTTTGCTGCTCTTCCATACTAGTCTGCCGTGCTTTTTTATCTTCCTCGATGACTTGCGATATCTGGGTTTCAAGCAGTTGTAGCTTGTCTTCCAGCAAGGTAACTAGCTTACACCTGCTGCATTTGTAGCGCTGTACCTTCTCAGGCAGAATAACAAACATAAGACATGTGCCGCAAGTTACGGCAACACCTCCGTTAACTTCCATGTTTTCTGCTGCCATGTATACTGTGGTGCAGTTCTCTGGGGTCCGCTCTCGAGCACTTCAGCTAAATGCCCTGCCAAACTCTCCTGGTTGTGAGCTCCCGGAGACTGAGAGCAGCTGTGTGGTGGCTGATATATCCACTCCCTAGAAGGTTAGTGACTCACTCCTCCCTTCAGCCTCACCTGCTCTGAGCAGCAACTCCTCCCCTTCAGACTGCCTACTGTAGCAAGGACATGGTAAAGCACACAAGCAAGTCCCCAGACAGCTAAGAAAACCAACCCGGTTTTAACCCAAAATACACATGGTCACTGGGGTAAGCAGTGAGGAATAGTTAATACTGTATGTAATTTGAAACGCTCAGAAGTTAGGTATATGAACTGACTTGTGCTAGATCAGTCTATTACCTGGATGTGTCTTCCAGTATTAAGATGGCCAGTTCTGTTGTAGCTTAGAGATTGATTATTGCTAAATCAACATTATTGGCCAAAAGTCACCAGAATTGTTTCCCACGTTTTAATTTCCTTATGTTAAATAAATGCCATAATGTAAACTAATGTTTCCAATACTTGTAAGGATGCATCGTGAACATAATTACAATCCTGTTACAAGATATTGTGATAGTTATCCACAGTGCTATTTTTTCTATTTTTCTAGAAAAAGAGATGCTGGAACTCACCACAAATGCCTCCCTTTTTCTTTTATAATGGCATGGTGCCCACCTGAGAGGTGCCAGAACTGAGTTCTGGTGAGTTCTGGCTGGGGAAAAAAAGCCCTGGTTATCTAGCATCTTTTCTTGAGGTAGGAGAAAGAGCTCAGTATGAGATCCAAATACCATATTTTCGCTCTATAAGATGCACCCGACGATAAGACACACCTAGTTTTTAGAGGAGGAAAACAAGAAAAATAATATTCTGAATCAAATGTTGTTGAAGAGGAAGGAGGGAGGATCAGCCTACGGCATCAAAACAAGAGGCAGCTCTCCCTCTTGCTGTGCTGGGTTCAGCGGAGCAGCGCAAAACCTCTTCAGCGAAGCAGGAGGAACGCTCCCACTTCACTGAAGAGGCTTTGCGCTGCTCTGCTGAACCCAGCACAGCAAGAGGGGCATGGGGCATCTGCGCGCAGCCTGCCCGCTGCTCCCAAACCTTCCCTGGGCTACAGGGGGAAGCAGAGGCTGCCAGCAAAGCAGCGCGGTTCCCCCACCCCCACCAAAGAGCAGCTCAGGAGCATGCCGCACTCAGGCAATTTGGCTCCATTCGCTTCATAAGATGCACAGACATTTCCCCTTACTTTTTAAGAGGAAAAAAGTGTGTCATGGAGCGAAAAATACGGTAATTACGCCGAAGGTTTAAGAAGTGGGCCACAAACTAAGCACACACTGGTTTTTATATGATAGCACAGTCACAGAAGGAGTTCATGCTTGCAAAATCTGTTTTGTATTTCCTAGGGGCCATGAAGCCCACCAACTGAAGGCATGTGGGAAATGATGTTGTCATTTAAATCCACTGGTTTGGGTCGTACCCTCCAGAGCAGGAGGAAACAAGCTCGCTCCATCTTCCATGGGACAGCCCTTCAGATATTTGAAGATGGCTATCATACCTCCTCTCCGACTCACACACCTTTCTCCCTCAGTGAATATGTTAGTTCTGTTGTGTTTCACTGGGCTTATCCCTAGCTCTGGGAGCATAGAACTGCAGTCTGCAAGATTGTGACAAATGTTAACCATAATAGGGTGTAATATTTATATATACGTATATATTACCCCTTTCCCACAAAGTGGCATAATTTCCCCATTTTATCCTCATAAGAAAACTGTGAGGCAGGTTAGGTTGTCATGGCGACTCTCCCAAGGTCATCCAGTGAGTTATGTGGCCGAGTAGAAATTAGAATCTTGGACTCCCCAGTTCTAGTCCACAACACTCTTCCAACCACTGCACCTCACACACACTTAACAATTGTTCTTTGCCAGTATTTTAGATGTTTCAGTCTAGTTTCAGTTCCCAGGAGCTAAGCACGATAGTCTCAAGCAGCAAAAACAAAAGTCTTGCAGCTCCTTAAAGACCTGAATTATGGCACAAATATTTCTGCCATAAAAATGTGCTTGTATTTTAAAGTGACACAAGACTATCTTCTGTTTTGGAAAGAGGTGCAAGATCTAATCAATCAATCAATCAATTAATTTTAATTTAATTTTGCATTTTACAATTGCGTTGTACGCATTTTTACATCAAAATATCAATGACTTCCCTTCTTCTCTTTCCATGGTTCATTTTACATATCATAAATGCCTGCGTATTTTACAAAGTCTATACTATTTAGTATTCCATTATTGCATCCATCAAAACTTATTTTTACGCTGTTGAATTTATCTTAATGCTGCCAGCGTTTTTAGCTGTACAGTTATTTTCCATATATTAAATAAACGTTTCCCAATCTTCTCTAAACGTATGTTTTTCTTGTTCTCTTATTCTATATGTTAAGTCTGCAAGCTGCGCATTTTATGTCAACTTGAGTTGCCATTCTTCTTTGGTTGGGACCTTGCTCCTTTTCCATTTGTGGGCTAACAAAACATGGCCTGCAGTAGTAGCATACATAAATAACCTTTTTTGACAGCTGGGAATGTCAGTCTGGGTTATCCCCAAGAGAAAGAACTTTGTTTTTGGGGGAGAGAAATGACTTTTAAACATTTTTTTCAATTCATTATGGATCATTTCCCAATACTCTTTCACCCTTTTACAAGCCCACCACATATGAAAAAACATTCCCTCAACCTCTTTGCATCTCTGGCACTGATCTGATTCAGTCTTATACATCTTAGCAAGCCTACTTGGAGTTAAATACCATATGTAAATCATTTTCAAGTAGTTCTCCTTCAAAGAATTAACATGCTGTGAACTTCAAATCATTTTTCCAGAGTCTCCCCCCAGAGGTTAAAATCTATATTATGACCTATATCTATTGCCCAGTGTGTCATTGAGACTTTGACAACCTCACCTTTTGTTTACCAGTCTAATAACAAATTGTACATTTTGGACAAAAGTTATTTATTTATTCATTCTCTTTTCATATTCTGTTTTTCATCCTGCACCACACCTGAACTAATTGCAAGGAGCCATAGCTCAGTGGCAGAGCATTTGCTTTGCATGTAGACGGTCCCAGGCTTAATCACTGGATCTCCAGGCAGCACCGGGTGAGCACTGGCTGAAACCCTGGAGAGCTGCTGCCGGTCAGTGTAGACAATACTGAGCTAGAAGGACCAACAGTCTGGCTCACTATAGCTCAGCTTCATCAGTTGCTTATGCATACAGCCTTATCTGGCGAGGCAATCTGCACCATGCTGTTGTCTGCAAAATGAGGCTGGTAGTCTTCCTGAAGGATTATTCAGTGCTTTAAAATAGAACAGGTAAGAGCAAAAGCATAGGGCCAAGCTGACCTTCAAAAACATAAGCCAATCAGAAAAGGGTAAGTTCCAGGTAACTTCATGTTCTGTACTACGATGTCAAGTGTGGCCTTGCAGGATGGTAACCCTATCTCCCTGTTGCATCCACCACCCAGGAAAGGCAGCGGTGCTATGCTCTCTGCTGTATCTTCACAAACACCGTTTTGCACTGCCTGGTAAGAAGAGTGTCAGAGTCTAGTGACAAAAGCTGAAGACACTTTGCTGCCTGGAATAATACTAGGAAATAGCATCCCCTGGGAATGGTAGATTGTTAAGGTTTTGAGTTAGAGCACGGACAGGAAATGTGAGGCTCAGGGACCAAATACAGCCCTTACAGGTTTTTCTGTGGGGCCTCAGGCCACCCTTTTCCAATCCCCTGCTTCCCTGTTGCATCCACCCATGATAGGCAGCAGTGCTGTGCCCTCTGCTGTATCTTTTCACTGATACCAGTATGCACTGCTTGGTTAAGAAGTCGTAAAAATTAGGGACAAGGATTTTGATTTTGTTTGGGTTAAGTTTTGGGGTGGACACTGTTGTCTTTCTGGTCACAGCTGCTCAACTTGTATATTTCTCTTTAAAAATTGGTATTTTTGAGATCCTGTTTTGGTTAACTTTTCCCCCCTGCAGCTAATTTTAATTTAGGACCTAGGTAAAGGGACCCCTGACCGTTAAGTCCAGTTGCGGACGACTCTGGGGTTGCGGTGATCATCTTGCTTTATTGGCCGAGGGAGCTGGCGTACAGCTTCCGGGTCATGTGGCCAGAATGACTAAGCTGCTGCTGGCAAACCAGAGCACCGCACAGAAACGCCTTTTTTTTTTACCTTCCCGCAGGAGCGGTACCTATTTATCTACTTGCACTTTGATGTGCTTTTGAACTGCTAGGTGGGCAGGAGCTGGGACTGAGCAACGGGAGCTCACCCTGTTGCGGGGATTCGAACCGCCGACCTTCTGATTGGCAAGCCCTAGCCTCAGTGGTTTAGACCACGGCGCCACCCGCATCCCAATTTAGGACCTAGGTTCCATTAATTAGGGAATTTAAGTAAGGAGCAGGGTCCTTTCATAGGAGCTCTAAGATCATATTGTTGCACACCACCCCAATCTCAGAGTTGAACAAAATTCCAAGGGTTCCAGAAACTTCCCAGGGTTTGGTCTCCTTGGAATGAGGGACAGCGGAGCCTGCAGTGTCTGTACAACCTGAGCCTACTGTACATTGGAAGGGTTGGGCTCATAGCATTATTAACCCAAAATGTCTTGCTTTTCTCATAGTCCCCTGGATATTCCCAGGGGAACTGAAGGAAGCAATGGTATGTCCGCTCTTAAAGAAAACTTCACTAGATCCTTTAGATCTATCCAATTACCGCCCAGTTTCAAATCTCCCATATCTGGGTAAGGTAATTGAGAGAGCGGTTGCTGAACAGCTTGGTAGGGTTCTGGAGGAAACATCAGCTTTAGATCCATTTCAGTCCAGATTCAGTCCTGGTTTTGGGACCGAGACGGCTCTGGTCACCCTAACAGATGATCTCCGCAGACAACTGGACCGAGGCAGGTCGGGATTGCTGATTCTCTTTTGTCAGCAGACTTTGACATGGTCGATCACGATCTTTTGGACCACCGCCTCGCCGACGTGGGGATACAGGGCATAGCCTGTAAACGGCTGTGCTCTTTTATCTCTGGTCGGGGACAGAGGGTGGCACTAGGGAGGGAGATGCCATCACGCCACTCCTTGGTGCGTGGAGTGCCGCAGGGCGCAATCCTCTCCCCGATGCTTTTTAACATCTTTATGCACCCCCTTGCCCAGATTGTCCGGTGCTTTGGGCTGGGTTGTCACCAATATGCTGATGACACTCAGCTCTATGTGCTGATGGATGGCCATACCGACTCGATCCCGGACACACTGACCAGATGTTTGGAAGCTGTGGCTGGATGGTTTCGTGGGAGCCGATTGAAACTAAATCCTTCAAAGACAGAGGTCCTCTGGCTGGGTCGGGATGGTATGGGGATGAGGGACCAACTCCCTTCTCTTGCGGGGGCCCAATTAGTACCAGGCTTGACTACTGTAATTTGCTCTATGCGGGGCTGCCCTTGAAGCTGTCCCAGAAACTCCAGCAGGTGCAGAATGCTGCAGCGAGGCTCCTCACAGGGTCTCTGCCATGGGAGCATTTCACCCAGTGCTTTTCCAGCTGCACTGGCTCCCGGTGGAGTACAGGGTCAGATTTAAGTTGCTTGTTTTGACCTTTAAAGCCCTTCATGGCCTAGGACCCTCGTACCTATGGGACTGCCTCTCCTGGTATGCCCCACGGAGGACCTTAAGGTCCATAAATAGCAATACCCTAGAGGTCCTGGGCCCTAAGGAAGTTAGATTAGCCTCAACCAGAGCCAGGGCCTTCTCAACACTGGCTCCGGCCTGGTGGAACTCTCTGTCTCATGAGACCAGGGCCCTGCGGGATCTGATTTCTTTCCATAGGGCCTGTAAGACAGAGTTGTTCCATCTGGCCTTTGGCTTAGAATCAGTTTGATTCCCTCCCCCTCTTTCTTTTTCCTTTCTCCTCCTGTGAAGAGGCTGCATCCTAATGTTTTAATGTTGTATTTTAATCTTTTTTTAAATTGTATTTTAATGAACTTGTTTTTATTATTGGTTTTTAGCTTCCCTGAGCCTGGTCTTGGCTGGGGAGGGCGGGGTATAAATAAAAAATTATTATTATTATAGTCACAGGCTTGGATTCAAACAGCCAGCTTCTGCTTTTACCCTGCTCTCAGCTGTCACACACTCAGGCTTTTGTCTACCAGCCAGGTGAGGGAAGGGCCCCATCCATTTGCTCTTCTTTTGTTATACTAACAACAGTACTTAGAACCATTAACTCACAAATAAACTACCTGACAAACAATGGAATCCATCCCTTATATTTTAACCTTTGATGGCTCCAGGACCCCAGAAATTACAAGGGTCTCAGGCATCATGGAGGCTAACATCCAAAACTCACAACACTATTGACAAACAAAATTTCATTTCCCTTTTGAAGGAAAATGGTTTCGGTGCTATCATTGCTGACTGGTTAGAAGCAATGGCTATAGTTTTACCTGCTGTTTCTTCTTGTATTTGTAATCACTAAATTTAAATTCATTTTTGTTTAAACTGAAGTTTTCATCAATTGTATGATAATTTGGTTTGAGAAGCATTGTATGTTAAATATTTATGAATAATGGATAAAATAAATGCCAAAGGAACATATTTAGCAGAAAACCCTGATTCTGAATCTATTAGCATAAGTTTAATAATAATAATAATAATTTTTATTTATACTCCGTCCTCCCCAGCCAAGGCTGGGCTCAGGGTGGCTTACAAGCAATAATAAAAACAAGTTGAATGATTACAACTTAAAAACAAAATTAAAATACATTAAAATATTGAAACATTAAAATATTAAAATGTAGCCTCATCACAAGGAGGGGAAGGAAAAGAAAAAAGAAAGAGAGGGAGGGAATCAAATTGGCTCCAAGCCAAAGGCCAGGCGGAACAACTCTGTCTTACAGGCCCTGCGGAAAGAAATCAGATCCTGCAGGGCCCTGGTCTCATGAGGCAGAGCATTCCACCAGGCCGGAGCCAGTGTTGAGAAGGCCCTGGCTCTGGTTGAGGCTAATCTAATTTCCTTAGGGCCCAGGACCTCTAGGGTGTTGCTATTTATGGACCTTAAGGTCCTCCGTGGGGCATACCAGGAGAGGCAGTCCCAGTTCCCCTGGGAATGTCCCTTGTCAAGGGACAAACTGATAATTTCAATAATTTCTGGACACTCCCTAATCAGCCTAGACGGGCACGGATCAAGGAGGCAGGTGGTGGGCCTACCAACTTGGAGGAGTCTATCCACATCAGCAGGGAGTATCCGATCGAAATGGTCCAACACTGGACCTGAAGTCAGTCGAGGGGCCTCCAGTTCAGTCACTGTATCTAAATTGGCAGGGAGGTCACGGCGGAGCAACAGGACATTCTCTGCAAAAAAGCTCGTGAATGCCTCACAGCTGTGGGTCGAATTTGTGCTTAAATTTGGTTGTCCTCCTAAGGACGTTATTGACCTAATTATTCTAAAAAGTTGTGCCGGGCGAGAGCTAGTGGATGCAATGGAAGCTGCAAAGTAAGATTTCTTAGCAGCTTTCATAGCCATCGCATAGGCTTTCATAAGCGTCCTATAAGATGTTCTTGAGGCTCCGTCACAAGTCGGTCGCCATACTCACTCTAGCCGTCTGAGATCCCGCTTCATTTTCCGGAGCTCCTCAGTAAACCAAGGGGCCTGGTTTCGACGGGGTCGCAGAGGGCGCTTAGGCGCGATCTCATCAATGGCTGCCAAGAGCCGGTTATTCCAGTCCTCAACAAGGTCATCTAATGAGTCGCCAGGAGGAGCAGGGTCCTGCAAGGCTTGTCGGAATCTATCAGGATCCATCAGTTTTTGCGGGCGAGCCCAAATAGGCTCGCCACCCAAGCACGGGTTAGGAGTGGGAAGTCAATCTTGGCTTTCAGAGCGTAATGATCAGACCATGGCACTTCCACAGGGGGGAGCATGATCACATCTATGCCAGCCCCAAAGATCAGATCCAGCGTGTGGCCTGCTTGATGAGTGGGGCCCAAAACAAACTGGGAGAGCCCTAGTGTTGCCATGGAAGTCACTAGGTCCAGAGCCTGTGAGGAGGGAGCGGCATTGGCATGGACGTTGAAGTCTCCCAAAACCAGTAGGCTTGGGAACTCCAAGGCCCAGCCCGCCACCACCTCCAGCAGGTCTGACAGGGTGGCTGCCGGTGTGCTGGGTGGTCGGTACACCAGCCAGACAGCCAAGCTCTCCTTGGTGCCCCACACGAGACCAACACATTCAGTGCCGGAGATCGCCGGTGATGGCAGAGCTCTGAAAGAGCATATACTGTATACTTACATACTGTACTAGCAATGAAAAATCCTTACCTACCCTCAGTTAAAATAATAATATCTTATATGAGAAAAAATGCTATGTTTAATGCCTGTAATTCTAGATTATCTCTCATACAGACAAGCCACTATGGGGTAGTCATGGACAGTGCTGGACTTTCTTTTCCTCTCTAAATTTTTTTGTACAATTATAGAAGGAATAAATGAAAATTCCAAACACACAGAAGCAACTGTAGCTACATGTTGTAGGTAAACAGTTTCTGCAATAAACAAAAATGAGATCTGGAATACCTAAAAAACTCTAGCTGGATTATCTCTCACAAAAGAGCCACTATAGGGTAGTTATGGGCAGTGTTCGACTGTTTTTGTTTTTCTAAATGTTATTGCACAGAATATTAAACGGTACAATAAAGGAAAATTGCAAAAAGGCAACAACCACCAGCCCTACGTATTGTAGGAAAGCAAGTTTCTGGCGAGGTCAAGATGAATCGGCTGACCTTCACTTGGGATGAGGAAAGAGCAGGTGACGGTGCGGCCGCAGAGTCAAAAGCTCAACTCATCCTTCCCCGACAACGCTGGAGAGCTGAAGCTACACAAGCGCGGAGCGCGAGCGAGGCAGCCTAACGTCCCGCGCCATGACGTCATGCGCAGGTTTGAATGACGGCAGCTCCTGCTGGGGCCAATCCGGAGTGGCGACGATGCCGGGATGACGCAAACGACCCTAGCAACAGACTGAGCTCGGCCTCGTCCAATGAAAAAAAAAGAAGCGGGCCTCCGGGAACCTATCAGGCGCACCGGAGTGGGCGAGGGAAGGCGGCAGGAGGCTGGTCTCACACTCGCCGACAAGATGGCGACGGCAGCGATGGGGATGGCCGCGCCAGCCGCTTTGTTTCCCACCAGGGCTTGAAGCTCGCCTCCCACAGACCTGAACGAAAGTGACAGGAGCTGTGGAGAAATGACTGCGGAGCCCGTGAGGTACGCGGCGGCGCCTCGCTACTCTCCCGGCCATGGCGGGCGGTGAGGAATGGGAAGGCGTGGGGGGGTGGGGGAGGAGCCGGAGCTGAGGGGCGATCGCCCTCTCTGCCTCACGCGCGTGGCCTGCCGAGAGGGCGCGGAGGACAGATTAGACAACACCCCCCATCCGCCGGCTCCTCCCGCCATTTCTCCGAGGTCATTTTATCAGCGGCAGCTCAGGGTGGGGGAGGGAGGGAGGTTGGGGAGGGCCGGGTGTCTCCCTGCCTGCGCATGCCCAGTGTGAGGCGAACGTCCCCTCTCCCCCCTCCACTGCGCCCCCTCCTGAGAGGCCGTTTTCTTCCCCTGGCGGGCGAGGGGGCGGGGCCACTGCAGAGGAAAGGGGCGGGGCTCCCTGCGCAGATCCTGCCACCCGTCCCCTCCCTTCCCTGCCCCCCCCCCGCTTTTGCCGGTCACTGATCAGAGTTGCGGGTCCCCTTCCACGCCCACCCAACCGCGCGCGCTGCTCATAGGGCTCCTGAGCGGCCTGTCTTTTACCGGAACCAGGCCTCGGTCGTCGGGGGGCCGGCGGCATGGTTGATGTTGATCGGCGGCCTCTGCACACGCTTTCCCAGAGACCTTGCGGCGCCCTTTTAAATAGGGGCATCGCCTAGGAAGCATAGCTGTCAACGTTTCCCTTTTTTTAAGGGGAAGTTCCCTTATTCCGAATAGGATTTCTCGGAAGAAAAGGGAAAAGTTGACAGCTATTCTAGGAAGCCGCCTCGTGCCATGCTACCGGTGCACGGTAGTGCAGCGTTGACTGCGCCAGTAGCCATCCGGAGCTTCAGCTTAGGGTAAGATGTCGAGGGTTGAATTTGGGCACTTTTGTTCTGCCACCCAGATGCAGACCACGTCCATGCTTAGAGAACTGCTTTGTACTGAGTTGTGGGGAGGGTCGTCTAGCCCAGTGTTGCCTCTGTGTGGATTGGCAGCAGCTGCCCATTGTTTTGGGCAAGAATCTTGCCCAGTTGTACCTGGAGCGGCTTGGGCGGCGTTGAACCCTCGGGCTTTCTCTGTGTAAGGCAACTGCCTTACTACTGAGTTACAGACGTTCCTCAAAACGTGGTCAGTACTCAGGGATGGTGGAAGTTGCAGCTGAACAGCATCTGGAGGAGTCCCAGATTACAGTCCTGGCATCTTTGGAAGGGTAACAGAGAGGGTGGGGCTGTAGTTCCATGTTGCCTACCTGGTGGTAGGTGCCATTGTGCAAAAGTTGGAAGAAATCATAGTTACCTACATGTGCAGTAGAGAGAGAGTACTCACACACAAAAACACACATATACATAATAGCAATTATTAACCACCACAAGTGTGTTCTGCGAGCAATTGTTTGCATGGAAAGCATACCAGATTTGTTGTCCTGTTTTTTAACTAATGTGATATATTAGTTCATATATTGGTTCATATGAGAGATGCTATTTTCCCTTCCGAGCATAATAATTCATAGTAGAGCACATTATCTATGTCATGGAAACATTTTCAATAAGTTATTAAGAGGTTGCTTGAAAATGGGATCTGAAATGGATATGTGAATAAATGTATATTGCTCTTTAAAATGCTGATGATTCATCACATGTACATGCTAGGTTGACTATTGGTTATCTTACCTGTGTGCTTGTTTTGAACTAGTGCTTGTGCTTTGTTTATACTGTATTGTAAAACATTGGTTTCCAAATTTTATTTATTTGCAAATTATGTAAGTAAACATCTCATACATTGTATATAAACTTTATGTCCCTATGGTCTCCAGCAGAATAGTAAGATGACTATTACAGTAAGCATAATAACATAAAATAATAAAATGAAACAATACAGTAAATGCAAGCAGCAGACCAAAGAAGCAAGAGCTTACTAAGATAGTAACCTCTCCTTCTTTTTGCAGCTTATTTCTAGAGTAATTGGGAGGCAAGGAGGGCGGATCTGGATCTGGACCCTGGTGGAGGGGTGGGGTACCCTGCTGCAGACCTGAATTGGATCTCCCTCCTACTGCATGGCTATTTACTCTGGGGAAAATGGTTAACATAATTGCTAATTGTGTGAATTACGTCATGTCTAGTTACTTTCTTTGGAACTCTTATTTCCATTGCCTCTTAACCTTGCAGTATAGTTTTTTGTTGGCTTCTTCCTGTTGTATCACAATTGATGATAGATGGCTGGTATATAAATTCTTGTTCAACAACAAATTATTCAGAGTGTAAATATGCACAATGCTTCATATGTACAAAGTGTGTGATGTAGTTTTTGTGGCTTGTGTGTAGTGCTAAGTATTTCACAATGTGACCATTACGAGTTGGCTGCACATGGAATTAAATTTCCCTATTGTAAATTAGAGTGTTCACAATTGAGAGAGAGAGAGAGAGAGTACAGTGGTACCTTAGGTTACATATGCTTCAGGTTACATACGCTTCAGGTTACAGACTCCGCTAACCCAGAAATAGTGCCTCAGGTTAAGAACTTTGCTTCAGGATGAGAACAGAAATCGCGCTCTGGCGGCGCGGCAGCAGCAAGAGGCCCCATTAGCTAAAGTAGTGCTTCAGGTTAAGAACAGTTTCAGGTTAAGTACGGACCTCCGGAACGAATTAAGTACTTAACCCGAGGTACCACTGTATAAATATATCATTTCTTTTCTCTTCCACACCGATTGGTGAATCCTAAAGCTCAGACTTCTCTGCATTGTAAAAAAAAAGAAACTGAGTTCTTCTGTATTGAAACATGTTCACACACCTACACTTGCACTTCTTATCTGTACCAAAATTCCATTCTCTCCCACTTCATGATTTTGCAGCCTACCTATAAAATGCTCCCCCTGAAAGCTACAGCAGTCTGCCTGACAAAGAATTCCAGAAGAAGTGTCAGCAGTGGTGGTGGTGGCTGCTGCTAAGAAAGAGGCATGGCAACCTCAGTGCCTAGGCGGTAAGCTTGCACCACCTTGCCTGCCTGCCATTGGTGAAGGGTTTTGGGGGTGTACACTCCCCCAAGGTGCCTGGGCCAGAGGCTGCCATGCCTGCCACAAAGCATCAACTGGGTGTCAAAGTTGGAAGATCAAATCTGGCACAGGGAGGGAGGCAGCCCATGGTATCTGGTGCCCCAGGCTTTTTCCTCCCTCTGCAGGCTCCCCACAAACCTTTGAGAGACGGCTGTGCATCCAAAGGGACCACCCAAAGCACCCAGCTCAATGAGCCCTGGCCGTCTGAAGCCCACCCCTGGGGGTGCTAGGTGGCTTACATCTCTGCAGCCCAGCCTAGTCGAACTCCAAGCGAGGATGGCTCCCACTGCAGCAGTTCCTAGTGTCCTGGAACTGTCTGCACTCAAATCACCTGCTCCCTGGGAGGTTGTGTTCCTCTGGAGCCCTGGCAACCTAGGGATGCTGCCAGGCTCCAAGCTGGCCTGAGAGCACAGCCTGGCGGCTCCAACAATCTTGCGCCTTTGGCTGTGGCACACGCTCTCCACCGGCCTTGCTCATGCTGCCCTGGGTGGGGTTAGAGGGTGGGGAGATGGAGGGCCGCTAAAAACAGTGGTTTGCATGTTGGACCACCCTTATCTATATTGTAATCATTGTAATCCATGATTTTTTAAAAAGAATTTTTTTTTAAAATCAGATTTTTAAAATAAAATGCTTCTGGAGAAAAAAATCTTTCTAAAGATAGTTTTCTATTTAAGTTACATTATAGTCCAAAGGCTTTTCATCAGGAAATAAGGATTTGTTTTAAGTTTTTCATGTGTGCTAAAACTCAGTCTTAGTTTTTTTCTTAATTAAAAAAGGTTTAACCACATCAGTTAACAAACATGGATACATATGCTATAATGTTATTGCTTTAATTAAATAAATGGTTTAAATTGTTATTAAGGAAATGATTCTTTTTCTTCTTCCAATAAAGTACAGCAGAAAAGTTGTACAAATATAAACAGTTAACTTATTAAACCTCACAATAATTTCATAATTATCTGTGTATTTCTAATAGTATAACCATTTTTGATATCTCTAAAAACTACTCTGAAAATTTATTCTTCCAAAAATGAAACCTTCATATGGTTGTAAATATTAAGATTATACCAGCAAGAATGAGTCTTTCTGTAAAAAATATATGATTTAAACCAAGTCTTACTGACCAGTGATTTAAATCAAGTCTTACTAACTACAGTCATACCTCAGGTTGAATGTGCTTCAGGTTGAGCGCTTTCGGGTTGTGCTCCGTGGCAACCCGGAAGTAACGGAGCATATTACTTCCGGGTTTCGCCCCTCGCACATGCGCAGACGCTCAAAATGACGGCACATGCATGCGCGGAAGCGGCAAAACGCGCCACACGCAGACGCGCCATCATGTTTTACGTTTCATTCAGGATGAGAACGGTGCTCCGGAATGGATCCCGTTCGCATCCCGAGGTACCACTGTAGTGATTTAAATCGTGATTTAAATTGATTTGATTTAAATCAAATACACCCTGGTTGTAATCCACTAGGGGGTTTTGTGATGGCGTTGAAGGGTCTGGAAATTGACTGAGCTGTTATAGGGGTTTGTGGCGGACACACATGTGTTCCTTTGGTAAAGTTGCTGTACTGTGTGGAAAAAGAATGGTAGACAAGCCTTGGAAAAGAAGAAAAGGAGTCAAACAAGGCACACTTGGAAGTTGATTGCTGGTTTGGGATGGGATGTAGCTCACATAAACAAGTGGAAAATGAACTGAACTGAAATGATAGGGCCAGCAGGTGCAAAGGTAAGGGAAGCTGAAGTCCAGCCATAGATTAGAAATAAATCTTTGTCTGCAAGTTTTTATTAGGAATCTGTTCCCACAAGGTCTTGAATTTTATAATTGCTAATACTGGAAATTACATAGTTCTTATAACATGTATGGTCAATGTTTTGAAGAAGAGTGCAGTAATCTTATGTGTGATTAGTATCTTCAATTTTTAATGGACTTTGGTAGAAACGTGGTAAAACAAAAGAATACTATTCCTGTAAAGAAACTAACTAAATTATTTATTTGTAAGTTTGCATCCTGCCGTATCTTCCGGCTGTTAGAGAGCGCATAAAAACATATTGATTAGAAGGAGTTGTATATACAGTGGTACCTCGGGTTAAGTACTTAATTCGTTCCGGAGGTTCGTACTTAACCTGAAACTGTTCTTAACCTGAAGCACCACTTTAGCTAATGGGGCCTCCTGCTGCCGCCGGAGCACGATTTCTGTTCTCATCCTGAAGCAAAGTTCTTAACCTGAAGCACTATTTCTGGGTAAGCAGAGTCTGTAACCTGAAGCGTATGTAACCTGAAGCGTATGTAACCCGAGGTACCACTGTAATAGTTTGAAGAGAGGCCTAGATGACTATTCTACAGTGTAAGAAATCCTCAATTGGACCAACAACTGGTGTGGGTCCAGTTCCGACCATGTGGAGATCTCTGGGTGGTGACTGACATCTCCATCTGGCTGGCTCCAGGCTGGCCCCAGGCTTCCTATGCAGGTAAGCAGAAGAGCTTATTTACTGCATTTATATCCCATCTTTTTCTCCAAGGAGTACACAGTTCAGCCTCCTCCTCAGGTAATCCCTACAACCACCTTGTGAAGTTGGTTAAGAGGTTGTGACTGGCCCCAGATCACCCAGTGAGCTTCCTAGAGTACTTCTATGGGGCAGCTATATAAGTAGGTAAATCAATATGGAGAAAGAAAATACCACTTAGAGAATGATCTGAAATATTTTTCTTGAAGCTTGAATTTGTTTTATTCTTGATTGTTAAGATGTTTGAATGTGATGTAAATTACTTTGATATTTTTCTTTGAAATATAAAGCGGTATATAAATGAAATTAATAATAATAGTACAGTCGTACCTTGCTTCCAAATGGAATCCGTTCCAGAAGTCTGTTCGACTTCAGAAACGTTCAAAAACCAAAGTGTGGCTTCTGATTGGCTGCAGGAGCTTCCTGCACTCAGTTGGAAGCCACATCAGATGTTTGGCTTCCAAAGAAAGTTCACAAACCGGAACACTTACTTCCGGGTTTGCGGCATTTAGGAGCAAAAACGTTTGAGCCGCAATGCATTCGAGAACCAAGGTACGACTGTAATAATGTTTCATTGCAAAAATAAAATGACACCTAGACATTCTGTTGTGCCATTGGGCGATTAGTTTATATACCTGAGTTTCTACTACAGTGGTACCTCAGGTTAAGAACTTAATTCGTTCCGGAGGTCCGTTCTTAACCTGAAACTGTTCTTAACCTGAAGCACCACTTTAGCTAATGGGGCCTCCCGTTGCTGCTGTGCTGCCGCTGCGCGATTTCTGTTCTCATCCTGAAGCAAAGTTCTTAACCCGAGGTACTATTTCTGGATTAGCAGAGTCTGTAACCTGAAGCGTCTGTAACCTGAGGTACCACTGTATATCCCCCCCATGCTGCTTCACCCCCCCAAAGAAAAGGCTTAGCCGTTGACAGAACTGACACGATCCCTTCACGTGTCTCAAAACCCTGTCATCCCCACATGCTAACATACCAAACACAAGTGGAACAAATAAAAAAAATTTCTCTGCCTTACAGAAAACCTTGATTGCCTTTGCTTGCCAAGGTTTCTCTTCCCCCAACCCCTTCCATTTTAAATTAAGCCTAGAGAAAACTGGGAGAGAGCTTAAGTACAGGCACTTCCCCATTTAAACTGGGGTTATGTTCCGAGGCATCATGCGTTTTAGAGAAATTGCGCATATTGGGAGCACCATTGAAAAAGCCTGCAAACACACTCTAAACCTCTGGAAACCCTTTAAAAAACCCAAAGTCCACCACAGTTGCTCCCTCCAAACCTCTTAGATTATTATTTACACTGGTGTTCCTTCCTTACCAGCAGGCTTTGCATCTCTTTGCCATACCTTTTTCATGTTTTTATTTTTTATCTATAGACAGAATGCTTTAAAAATGTTTCCATAGGCTCTTCCTTTTGACCACCAGCAGAGATTAAATTGGGGCATATCTAGAACCTGGGTACTGGGTTGCTCTTTCTTCTTTCCAGTGTCTCTGCTTTTTTTTTGCTCTATATTGGCCAATCACCATCATAGAGACAAAGTAACAAGCAAAATTAAATTCCCAAAATAGATAGGCTGAAGAAAGATTTGAGCTGCTGCTGCTCTGCCTCTGAGTATTGGGGAGGACCGCTCCCCCTTGAAGCCCATTCTCCACCTTGGGCCTGGGGGTGGGCCCCATACTCACCACCATAGCTTATAAGGCTCTAATAACACCAATGCTATCAAAGGAGGCACTAATGGGGCTTGGAATTACTACCGTGGAACGGCAAGGAAACTATGGCGGTGGGGGCAGATCTTGTAGGCGAAGGGGTATGAGATATGGATATGCTTGTACCCCTTTCTACCTGTGCCCCATCCCCAGGGACGAAGGTAGGGTGAGCAAGGATTACTCACCTCCATCACTGGTGCTGTGCAATGACAGGTCTATAGGCAACAAAACCGCCACCCTTGAGATTTATTTACCTTGCAGGGGGTTGACCTGGCTTGTGTAATGGAGACCTGGGTGCCCGAAGGGGAAACAGTTACCTTACGAGAGATGGTGCCCCCAGGTTTCTCCGTCCACCAGTTGCGGACTGTGGGTTGGGGTGGGTGGGGTGGGTTGGCATTGTTAATCTGGGAAGATTGTTCTTTCAGGCCTCTATCATTGTTGTTGATCCCCGGCATTGAATGTGTTAGCCTGGTGTAGGGTTCTGAGGAGAACTTGGCTGTCTTGCTGGTGTACCAGCCACCTAGTGTACCAGCAGCCACGCTGTCAGACCTGCTAGAGGTGGTGACCGCCTGGGCCTTGGAGTTCCCCAATCTATTGGTATTGGGGAACTTCAACGTACATGTGGATGCCGCCCCTTCCTTACAGGCTATGGATCTGGTGTCTTCCACGGCGACACTAGGGCTCTCTCCATTTGTTTCGGGCACCACACATAAAGCAGGCCACACGCAGGGCCTGATCTTTGGCGCAGGCATAGATGTGATCACATCCCCCACTATGGAGCTGCCATGGTCTGATCACTATGCTCTGAAAGCCAGGATTGACTTCCTGCTCCTACCTTGCTTAGGTGGTGATCTTATTTGGGCTCGCCTGCAAAGGCTGATGGATCCTGATAGATTCCATCAGGCCCTGCGGGATCCTGCTCCCCCTGGCGACTCATTGACTGAGCTTGTTGAGGTTTGGAATACCCGGCTCTTGGCGGCCATCAATGAGATCGCATCTAGGCACCCTCTGCGACCCCGCAGAAACTGGCCCCCCTAGTTTACCGAGGAGCTCCGGAAAATGAAGTGGGACCTCAGACGACTAGAGCGAGTATGGCAGGATGCCCGCAACTGACCCTCAAGAACATCTTATAGGGCGTTTATGAAAACCTATGAGATTGCAGTGAAGGTTGCTAAGAAGTCCTACTTCTCAGCCTCCATTGCACCCACTAGCTCTTGCCTGGCGCAACTTTTTGGTATAATTAGGTCTCTAATGTCCCTAGAGGGACAGTCAATTTAAATATGAATCAAGCACATAGCTGTTAGGCATTTGCAAGCTTTTTTGTGGAAAAATTCCTGACTCTCCACCGTGACCTCCCTGCCAATTTGAATACAATAACAGAACTGGAGGTTCCTCGACTGTCCTCGGGTCCACTATTGGACTACTTCAACCGGATACTCCCAGCCGATGTGGACAAACTCCTCTGTGCCAGAAAGCCCACCACCTGTTGACCCGTGTCTGTCCTGGCTGATTAGAGTGTGTCCAGACGAGGTGCGGGCACCGGGTGAGATCATTGGCTCTGGGACATTGCCTGGGGAACTGAAGGAGGCAGTGGTGTGTTTGCTCTTAAATAAAACATCATTAGATCCTTTAGATCTATCCAATTACCGCCCAGTTTTGAATCTTCTGTTCCTGGGTAAGGTGATTGAGAGAGCAGTTGCTGAACAGCTTGGCGGATTTCTGGATGAAACATCGGCTTTGGATCCATTCCAGTCCGGTTTTTGCTCTGGTCATTGGACCAAGACGGCTCTGGCCACCCTAACAGATGACTTCTGTAGGCAGCTGGATTGAGGCGGGTCGGGGCTGTTGATTCTTTAAGATATGTCAGCAGCCTTTGACATGGTCAACCATGAACTTCTAGACCACCGCCTCGCCGACATGGGGATTTGGGGCACAGTCCTTCAATGGCTGCGCTCATTCCTCTCTGGTTGGGGACAGAGGGTGGCACTGCGGGGGGGGGGGGGAGCTGTTGTTGCACTACTTGGTGTGTGTAGTACTGCAGCGTGCAATTCTCTCCCCAATGCTTTTCAACATCTTTATGCGCTCCCTCACCCAGCTTGTCTGGAATTTTGGTTTGGGTTGCCATTAGTATACTGATGACACCCAACTCTGTTGATGGAAGGCTGTCCTGGCTTGGCCCCAGGCACACTGATTAGATGTTTGGAAGCTGTGGTTGGATGGCTACGTGGGAGCCGGTTGAAGTTAAATCCTTCGAAGACAGAGGTCCTTTGGCTGGGTTGGAATGATATGGGGTTGGGGGGACCAACTCCCATCCCTTGCGGGGCACAATTAGTGCCAGCGCCTTCTGTCAAGAGTTTGGGTGTAATCTTTGACGCCTCCCTTTCTATTGAGGTGCAAGTTACAGCTACAACAATGGTGACATTTTTTCATCTCTGCTGAGCTAAGCAGTTGGTCCCTTACCTCTTTTGCCCTGACCTTGCCACTGTGATCCATGCGACGGTCACCTCCAGGCTTGATTATTGTAACTCACTTTACATGGGGCTGCCCTTGAAACTGACCCAGAAGTTCCAGCGGGTGCAGAATGCCACGGTGACACTCCTTATGGGGTCTCTGCCATGGGATCACATTCACCCAGTGCTGTAGCAGCTGCTCTGGCTCCCGGTGGAGAACAGGATCAGGTTTAAGGTGCTGGTTTTAAGCTTTAAAGCCTTAAATGGCCTAGGACTCTCGTACCTACGGGACTTCTGGTATGCCCCACGGAGGACCTTACGGTCTGCTAAGAACAACACTTTGAAGATCCTGGGCCCCAGGGAAATTAGACTGGCATCAACCAGGGCCAGGGCCTTTTCGGCCGTTGCCCCAGCCTGGTGGAACGCTCTCCCACACGAGACTAGGGCCCTGCGCAATGCGACATCTTAAGGGCCTGCCAGACGGAGCTGTTCCCCCAGGCCTTTGGGCAGGATGCAGTTTGACTTACTTTCCTTTGTATAAAATAAACCCAAAGGAGGCCCCCAACCCAGTCACAGGTCCTTGTATGCTCAGTGGAAACAGTTGGTCGTGGCAAATATTAACCACTCTCAATTCCAACCTGATAATTGCCACCTGCCCAGATTTTAACTTGTATTTTAATTAATTGATGTATTTTAATTAATTGATGTCTGTTTTTATGCATATTGTGTTTTATGATGTTAGCCGCTCTGAGCCTGGCGTTGGCCGGGGAGGGCGGGATTCAAATTATTGTTGTTGTTGTTGTTGTTATTATTATTTATTGTGCTGATTAGAGTGGTTCTCGTATGTTATATTTTGAGAAAAAATGTTAAGATTGTGTTTCATTCTCAGCTAGATGATTCTAGGAAGAGGAGTTATCTACCAGCTGCACTGACTCCCGGTGGAGTACAGGATCAGGTTCAAGGTGCTGGTTTTAACTTTTAAAGCCCTATATGGCCTAGGACCCTTGTACCTACGGGACCGCCTCTCCTGGTATGTCCCACGGAGGACCTTATGGTCTTCAAACAAAAACACCTTGGAGGTCCCAGGCCACAGAGAGGTTAGGCTGGCCTCAACCAGAGCCAGGGCTTTTTTGGCTGTGGCTCCAATCTGGTAGAAAGTTCTGTCACAAGAGACTAGGGCCCTGCGGGATTTGACATCTTTCCGCAGGGTCTGCAAGACAGAGCTGTTCCACCAGGCCTTTGGTAATTCTTCACAGAACTCCAGCCCAATGGTTGCCATCAATGTGATATGAACTGATTTTATAATGAATTGATTTTAGAATGCTGTATTATTTTACTGTTGTTAGCCGCTCTGAGCCCGGCTTCGGCTGGGGAGGGAGGGATATAAATAAATTATTATTATTGTTGTTGTTAACATGGGCATGAAAATGTAGCAGAAGCCATATTTTAAAGCTCTTGATCCATGTGGTGGGCTCTGCACACAGAGAAATTTCACATCCCAGTTATATGCTCATATTTGCAGACACTGCATGCAAAAGGGGTACATTTGTTAAATTTTGTTGTATACTTTTTGGAGTGTCCATGGATGGAACTGTTCTTTGTTGATTTAACTTGTCAGAATTAGTCCTGACCAGCTTTGGAAATTAACCAGGCACCAGGTGCATTTTGCACATGGCTATCAGCCACTTGTGACCAATTGAAGATGCCTGGGCACCAGGATGGGAGCTGATGTCTCCACTATCTGGAGGTTCATGCCTTGGGATCCTTGGATTTTGCTGGTTTTCACAGACCAACACATCCTTTGGAATTCTATCCATGATATTTTATCTGTACAATCAGAATGAATTTCAGGAACCAAAAAGTTGAATGGAAAGATACAACTTTTGAGCCTTCCGGCTCCAAAATGGCAACTAGACATTACGTTTTGGTGAAAGTAACCCTGGCTTAAGGAGCCATTTGGCACCTAGCTCATACATTTGAGTTTCTGACACTGGTCCTGACTAGGGCTGGGCAATGTTAGGTTTTCAACATTGCAATGTATCCTCAGCCAAACATCGTGTTTGGGGTGAAACCGCTTTAGCTCTCATCGTGGGAGCTGAGGCAGTTTCACCCAAGCATCTGGCGGGCTGGGGCCAATGCAGTTGACTCCAGCTTGCTGGTCACCTCCTGAGTCAGCCCTAATGTCCCTGCCTCAGGGCTCCTTTCTGAGGTTGCCTTCGCTGATGCAGGGTTGGCAGGCTACCCCGCACCTCTCTCCCTGAAGTTGGACCAAGCTACAGTAGCCAACTGCGGAGGGTCTTAGGAGCAGCGGCAGTTTCGCCAGTGATATATTGTTGAGTGAAGCTTTCATTGTGGTCTGTTCCTCATACTGGTCCTGGGTGATAAGTCGCTACATCACCCAGGTCTAGTCCTGACCCTGAAATGGTTTGATGAGAATGTCATTAGGCTTCTCAGGCATCGGGGCATAGAACATTCCAAGGAGGGTAGATAGAACATGCATAGCAGTCAAGTGTGTAGACCTTGGAAGACAGGAGAACAGAATGAGTTTGTTTCTCCCCCCATCCTTCACTCCCCCTTTCACTTGAGGCTTATATTTGTTTCTTAACCCAAGAGATGTCTCGAAAACGGGACACTGCTATTTTTGAGAGAGTTTGAGATTGCATGTCGTAATGGAAATAAAGCTTGTTTCACACTGTGACAATATTTACAAAAAGGCAAACATTCAAATGGTGCATTTTTTTTAAAAAACAGTGAAAGCAAGTTGACTACATTGGTGCAGAAGCTTCATGACTTTTTGGCTCACTCATCAGAAGAATCTGAGGATGCAAAGTCTCCTCCAAGATTAACTATAGGTAAAACAGCCTTACTAATTAAAACCTGTTCAGATCTGTGCTCCTTGTATGTTCATTCTGTCATGCCATTCAACAAAACTATTTAGTTCTGAAATAATAATTACTGCTGTTGTGTTCTTGATGACTCTGAGAGGTGAGTTGTACCTTCTTTGATGTATTGTTTAGGCATCTGTAACTTAGGAAGTAACCTTGTGCAGTTTGTATAAGTTAATCTGCACCAGATCCACCCCCCTGCTGTGCCTAAGCGTGGTGGATGGAAAACAAGCCTTTAGAATAGTGTTATAGGCTGTATTGCTAGGTCACATGACTGAGCTGAACAGGCTTCAGATCCAGCCTAAGCACCTCCTTTCTAGTATCGCTACACTCCTGGAACACCTTTTGGGGCCTTACACTAAGGTGGGCTGAAGCAGAATGAGCAAATTATGCTGGTGTGTCTTTGGCTGAGCTGGAGTTGAAGACTTAATGCTGGCTTAGCCAGGAATCACCTGCATCCTAAACTGCTCATTCTGGCTGATCTTGCCACCAATATGACTAAATCATTCACTTTATTAATAAATATGTTAATAAATATGTCAGATATGTTTACCTTAATGTGTTCAGTGTTTCCATAGTTCTTTATATTAGTTCTGCTTACACAGCTCTAAGTAGTATACGGTATTATCTTTCTGCCCATGCCAACCTTAGTTCTCAAGTATTACGTTGAATGTTGCTAGGAGTTTTGTGGCAAATTCAGAAACTGTTGCAAAATAACATAGAAATAACTGCTACATTATCAGATCTGGGGAATTCTAATGATTAATGCCAATTACTGTAAAATAAACCACCTACTAAGTTCTGAGAGAGTAGGGATCCTTGCATACATGGGCAAGGTCTGTGTGACAAGGTCTGCTCACGTATGAAAACAAAACTGAACATGTTACATGAAGAAAAACCAATCATTTCAAGTAGAGGAAAGTGTTTGCAGCCTTCCAGCTTTCTTTTTATTCTTCATTCTTTCAGTTTTCAGGTTACTTGATGTTCAGTATCTCTTTAGATTACTAGTAGTTTGCACTTGGGATTTTTGAGGCTAGATTTTATAGGTACAGGTATAGGCCCACCACTTTCATGAGGGTTGGGTCCCTGTGCAAAGGCGAAATGGCACAAAGTCAGGAACCCCTGGAACTACCTTCCTGCAGGTGGAGGACTGCTTACTGGAGTCTGGGAAGGTCACAGGAGAACTTTATAACTTTAAATTTTGATAATTTGCAGTTCTGTAAATTGAATGATTTATCTTATTCTTGTGTTTGTTTTTTGATTTACATTATAAATTGCCCTTGGCTGTAAACAATAACAGTCTGACTGATTTACATTTTTATGCAAATATTGGTGCTAAAAATGATGACCATCTGTTTTTGCATTGGAGAATCACTCTTTTCCAGAAACTGCAGATGTGGATTGTCTAAGCAAAAAATGTGGTTGCCATGGAAATGTGGAGGGGTGGGGGCAGTGTTAGAAATTGATATATGAAAGCCAGAAGCTAAATGGCACCTTAAACCTAGATTATGGCCGCAAGAACGAAATGTCTAGGCATACTTTTTTATAACAAGAATGGAAAGCTAAAAACGAATGAACTGCAGCTAAAATATTGTGTTCATTTTTCACATGGTCTAGTCTTTCACTTGCCCACCCCTCTAATATTCTCTTCTCTAGTCTTCAGAGAGTAGCTGGAAGGGGGAAGGCAGAAAAAGGTCTTCCTTCCACTCTTCAGGTTTAATATGAAATCTTAGGCGCAATACTGTACCCAGAGCTCAGAAACCGCTTGCACTAATGAAATTCCCTGTTGCAAAATGCACCTAGAACAAGGGGAGTTTCAAACACTGGGTGGGGGGAGCATGCACTGTTGTGTACCTTTGGGAAGGAGTACCCCTTTGTTCATTAGTAGCTGACACTCTTCTCTTTTTTTCCCTTGTCCCCCACTTTTTCCAGAGGGAAATGGGAAATTGGCCTGCATTGTTGGTTGTCACTTTCTAAAGGTACTCTGTGACAATCTGATTTTATTTTCTGAAGAGAATCCTTGGTTTTTAGTGTTTCTTTATGATTTGATCTAGTACTAAATAAATACAATCCAACCAGGATCAGTTTGAGTTGTTTGTGGAAGATAGTACAGTACTTTGCCTACAGTGTAGTTATATGCATTGTTGCTGTTTTGTGTATTTTGAATCATTACTATCCATCTTTACGCGTGAACATATTCCATCCGTTTCTTACAGATAAATTTGCTATGACGGAAAATATTCCAACTCCAGTTCCAACTCCAATGGAAAACTGCAGGGAAGAAGTAAGAACAATTTAGTAGCTTAGTTTATAATAATGAAAAACAGTTGTGGAAAGTGGTGATTGATTTCATATGAGCGCAGATTGCTTAGGTTACTTTCTCCATGGTGTGTAAGAGTGAATTTGTATAGAGCATCTATTTAGAAATGATTTTGTTTATATTTTTGGAAATTCCCAGGATGTATAGTGCAGCTTTAATAAGCCAGTGATAACAAATGAACCACAACAATAATAACTTGGTTTTATTTTTTGGTATTTTGAAAACTTGAGGAATTATCTTATATTCAGCATATAAATTCAGTATTTTTTCAGTTCTTTCATTTTTATGAGATCCAGCTATTGGTTTCTGGTTTTTTGTTTCAGAGGCAATTTTCTTCTTACAAATAATTTTTAAAAATTGTTTGTGCCCATTAAGCATCTCAACTGTGACTTTTAATTTTGTGGAGGATGATAATTTTACTGATGTTAGGATTACTTAACCTAGAAAGATTGTATGTTCTGGCCTGTGGTTCATAATATTCATGCAAACTATATTGTTCATATGGACAGTGCTTTCCTGTATGAGATTTACAGGTGTGCAAACCTTCCTGCCCTTGCTATACTTTATTAATGTGGCTGAAAGCAGATGGTAAGATCATCGAGATTTGAAGTCTAGTGTTTTACTTTTATACAATTATTTAATTCCATTGCATTTTATAGTTTATATTTAAAGCACAAGCCCAGTTAGTTACATTTACATATATAAAAGTAGGGTAGAGTTGTCCTTAAACTTCATAGTAAGTTATGTATTAATTGATGTGCATGCATAGGGATGTTTAAGTGTATATGGCTTGCGATTTTGTGTTTCCTCTCCCTTTCATATTCAGGGTAGCAGCTCTTCTGAAAAGTCCAAATCGTTATGTTCAGCACGTTCCAAAAGGTTAGTTTGATATTCTGTTTACCAGTTTGAATTGCTTGCTACAGTGAGTCTGAAGGAACAACTCACTGTCTGTTAGAATCCATGGTGGTGATTTTAAGAAATAGTACATGTTACTATGTTACATATTTTTCTGTTTTTATACTGTAACCTGCCCTGTGATCCTTGGAAGAAGAGTGGTATATAACCCCTCCTTAAATTCTTATTTATTTTTAAAAACTTAAATACAAAACATAAAAAGTGAGTTTTTTAATATAAAAAATGAAGAAAGAGAAAGAAGTGTTGTATATTACTAAAACAAATGTTAACAGTTAACAAACACAATTTTAAATCTACTGTATTTTGTATAAATGAGTTCCAAATTTCATTATACCGTATTTTTTGCACCATAACACTCACTTTTTTCCTCCTAGAAAGTAAGGGGAAATGTCTGTGCGTGTTATGGAGGGAATGCCTACGGGTGGCATGCCTACGGATTTTCCTCCTCTAAAAACTACGTGCGTGTTATGGTTGGGTGCGTGTTATAGAGCGAAAAATACGGTACATATCCATGCAAAGTCTACGTCAATAAGCAATCTGCTCATAGGTGGCAACAGTAGTCAGCTTCAATCCATTGAATAAGTGGAGCCATACATTTATCGTTCCAGTGCAGCAATATCAGTCTTTTGGCCATAGTAAGGGCACGGAGAATCCAATTACATTGTCTAGTTGTCAAATTCCATATAGTAGGTATGTAGTTCAAAAGAACATAATCATCTGAAAATTTTAGCTTTTTTTGCACAGACATATTTATCAATCAATCAATCAATCAATCAATCTTTATTACGGTCCAGAGACCCAACAAATCATTACAAATCAATACACAGTTCATACAGCCTACCTCCAGGTTAATCAAGCATTTTGTTTAGAATATAGGGCTCATTTGTTCTTGCAACCACCGATAAAAACTTTGCCACTGCTAACGTTCTAGCATTTGTCCGGTCTTCCAGTAGGAACCTGACATAGTGAGCCTCTGATTTTCCCAGGAAAGATACCAGCAAGGGTAGTATCAGTTCAGCCCTGGCCTGCTCATATTTTGCACAATGCAACAAAATATGTTTTATGGAATCGATGTCTTGAGCACACGAGCAAAGTCTGTCCTGGTAGGGAACTCCTCTCAACCTGCCATCCAACACTGCAGAGGGAAAGACATTTAGTCTGGCTTTGGTGAAAAGCCTTCGGTAGTTTGGTACTGTCATGTTTTTTATGTAAGATGTTAACTTAAAGACATACCCATATTGAACTCCTACTGCCAGCGGACTACAGACTGCGTGTGATCGAGATCGCAAGTCACTGTGTGCATTATCCCATAATCTTTGCTTTAAAATCTTTTGGGCGCCTTCATAACCCAGGTGATACAATTGGGGGGGGGGGGGGAGACAGACCAATAGAGGTGGCTTTTTTAGCCATGGTTTTCTGCCATTTGCTGACAAATTCCTCATTGGTCAGGTGTTGGTACAAACCCTTCCCTAGATTAAACACTGAAATCCTGAGCCAATGTTTTAGGGCAGCCCACCACGCTTTAGTTGAAATTGGGCATTCACCAGCTTCTAACAGAAGTATGGAGTTGGGGACGCAGTTAGGTACCTGCAGCAGAGATTGCATAAATTTTGCCTGAAAGCCATCTAGCTTTGGCAGGTCCCCATTATGCTGCATACAGGAGTTGGGAAACGGGCTTTGTGTTGAAAACCCTTAAGGCTGCTGGAACATATTTGCTGCCCTTTGTGAAGAAAAATCTAAGTATGGCTAGCTTTGCAATCTCCGCCTTTTGAAGGAGGTTTGCCAATGGTGCTTCCAAGATCCTGTATGATGGAATGTGAGCCCTAGATAACTGAATATTTAATATTGCAGCAATATCAGTCTTTTGGCCATAGTAAGGGCACGGAGAATCCAATTACGTTGTCCAGTTGTCAAATTCCATATAGTAGGTATGTAGTTCAAAAGAACATTATCATCTGAAAATTTTAGCTTTTTTTGCACAGACATATTTATATAATTCACTACTTTTTTCCAGAACATAGTAAGTATAGGATATTGTAAAAATGTGTGTTTTAAAGAAGCATTATTTCCAAAATACTGCTGTCTCAAGACAGTCCTTTTCTATACAAACATAATGGAGACCAATAAATTATAAATATTATTTTCTGTTGTGTAAGTAATGATTTAAGGTTCATTGACACCCTTGCTATAGAAGTTAAAACACTCCCATTGTCAAGGCAATATAGGAACCTCCAATTCTTTATTCCATTCATTTCTTAACATCTGCATATGAAATTGATTTATTTGTAACAAATATCTTTAAAAAGTAATCATGGGTTTTTTAGTTCTAAAGGATTTGACCAGTTTTTTTAGTATCTCAGGTGTCTCAGAAGCTGAAAATGCTGGTCCAAACCTAATTGTTAAAAAATGTTGTAGTTGTAATTGTAAATTGTAATTGTAAATATTGCCATTGGATTACATCCGATAGCTGATATTTATCTCATAACACAATGTAAAAATTCATTGTTAAATTTCAGTTGATCCAAAGTCAATACATCCACGTCCATCCAATTTTCCTTATCACCATATTTTTCTTAATTTTTGATGGCTTTCTCTGTAAAGTCAATTTACTGTGGGAAAAGGGGTCAAGTTGTTTTTATTAGGCATCACATTCCATAACTTTCTAACAGACATACAGTCGTACCTTGGTTCTCGAATGCCTTGGTACTTGTACGTTTTGGCTCCCAAACGCTGCAAACCCTGAAGTAAGTTTTCTGGTTTGTGAACGTTTTTCAGAAGCCAAATGTTTGACGTGGCTTGCGCTTGAGTGCAGGAAGCTACTGCAGCCAATCAGAAGCCACGCCTTGGTTTTCAAACAGTTTTGGGAGTCAAACATACTGCCGGAACAGATTAAGTTCGAGAACCAAGATATAACTCTAATTATTTCGAGAGATACCAGAGTTCTAATGTATTTTGATCCTCATACTGTTTATCCAAACAAAAGTGCTATATGTGTATATTCCAAAGTTGTCCAAATTGGAAAAATACAGTGGTACTTTGGGTTAAGTACTTAATTCGTTCCAGAGGTCTGTACTTAATCTGAAACTGTTCTTAACCTGAAGCACCATTTTAGCTAATGGGGCCTCGCGCTGCCGGAGCATGATTTCTGTTCTGAACCTGAAGCAAAGTTCTTAACCCGAAGCACTATTTCTGCGTTAGCAGAGTCTGTAACCTGAAGCGTATGTAACCTGAAGCGTATGTAACCCGAGGTACCACTGTAACACCAATTGTTGGCTTTCATCATTTAATACTTGACAATAAATATGCATGATAATATAGCTCCAGATTCAGAATCCTGAATCCTTCCCCTTAATTTGTAATTGCATTTTCGGTAAAGATATTCTCAGAATTGAAGACTCTCTCCCTAGAATTTTTTTTATTTTCTGAAAATACTTTCCAAGATAGATGAACTAGGATTCCTCTTAGAATATAAATTAATCTGGGAATAATGTTCATTTTGAGAGCAGTCACCTTCCCAAAAGGAGTAAAGTTTAATGATTCCCATCTATCAATATCTGAAGAAACCTCTCTTTATATTTTATTTAAATTGCATATTACTAATTGAGTTATAAGGGACGCGGGTGGCACTGTGGTCTAAATCACAGAGCCTAAGGCTTGCCGATCAGAAGGTTGGCGTTTCGAATCCCCACGGTGGGGTAAGCTCCGGTTGCTCGGTCCTTGCTCCTGCCCACCTAGCAGTTTGAAAGCATGTCAAAGTGCAAGTAGATAAATAGGTACTTCTCCAGTGGGAGGGTAAACGGTGTTTCCGTGCGTTGCTCTGGTTCACCAGAAGCAGCTTAGTTATGCTAGCCACATGACCTGGAAGCTGTATGCCGGCTCCTTCGGCCAATAAAGCAAGGTGAGCACCGCAACCCCAGAGTCGGTCACGACTGGACTTAACCATCAGGGGTCCCTTTACTGTTACCTTTAATTGAGTTATATATTTTGGTATAGGCATACCTAAATATTTAATAGATTCACTACAAATACAGAATTAATACTCCAGATCAGGCATAGGCAAACTTGGCCCTCCAGATGTTTTGGGGCAACTCCCATCATCCCTATTTAACAGGACCAGTGGTCAGGGATGATGGGAATTGTAGTCTCAAAACATCTGTAGGGCCAAGTTTGCCTAAGCCTACTCCAGGTGGTATATAAATTGAATGAATGAATGAACTAATAAATGAAGGTATAGATAGCGGTATTTCTTGTTTTCTTTTTCTAATCATGTAATTCAGTCAGCCTTTAAGCTTTCAAAAATGGGTCAAATATGACTTTCTTAGTAATAAGCCACTTTGGCATATAAGCAGTACACATACTAATAACAATAGTAATGGGTAATTAATACAGCATTATGTAAATTTGGCATTATATTTTCAGTGTTTGTAATCTGCACATCTTACAGCTCAGTTTCATTGGCCATTATATTGCCTATCTATATAATACTATTCACTAGATTCTGTTGTCTAAAAGAATGTTTTGATAAATAGTGGAGATAATTTGGCTTCACATGTACTGGTTGTAGTATAAATATATGTGTCTGCTGCTCATGCAGGAAACCTACAGTTGTAACAAAGTATGTTGGCTCAGATGATGAACAGACCTTAGATGAAACCACAAATCAAGATGTTTCAAATGAAAACTCCGAAAATGAAGTTGATATGAAAAGCTTGCCTAAAGGTAACTTATTCCATAAATTATGAAATATTCTAACAGCATACTGTGTATATTAAAATTTAGCTAGGATACTGCCTGTACATGCTACCTAGAAGCATTGAAACTTGTAATTTCAGTGAAACTGGGATAAAACTGGAAATTATTTTTGTTCCTTTTGTCAAGAACTCATTCCTGGGAATTTTCTTAAAGCTTCAGACCAACAAAATATTGAATTCCTCATTATGTAAAACATGTTTTCCCTCTCTGCTTTACTTTGTTACTTCAAGTTAGGGGTGGCTAGTGTGTAGCCACCAGACATTGTTGGATTCCAGCTTCTGTCAGCCCCAGGTAGCATGGCCCATAGTCAGGGATGGTGAGAATATGAATCCTGGAGCCCAGCAACATCTGTAGGATGCTTTTCTATGATAACTGTGTTTGAAGTGGGGCAAATAATTATTTGCAAAATCCTAGACTAATGGTTCCCAATTGGTGGTTCATGGCACATACACATCAACTGTCCGGGACAGCCTGCTTTTTCGACGGGGGGTGGCATCTTGCGTGGGTCATGTGACACCATGATTTCCAAAAGTAGGGGGTTGGCTTTTGAAAAAGAAGGGGAGGGGTCTGCTATACTTAGCTAATTGGGAACCACCATCATTGGACTAGGAATGGATGTTGCGATATTGCTGAGTGCTGCTGCTTAAAAGAGCAGCCTCATGTTTATTTCTCATGTCTCATAGGATGTGGTGGATTCTCCTTCATTGGAGGTTTCTAAGCAGAGGTTGGATGGTTATCTGTCAGTGATGCTTTAGTTGAGATTCCTGCATTGGAGGGAATTCAGCTAGATAACCCACAGGGTCACTTAACTTGACAATTCTATGATTCACAGGGTATCCATTCCATTGTTGAACAGATCTTACTATCAGAAAGTTCTCCTCAGGATGTTTACTCAGAATATCTTTTCTTATAACTTGAAGCTGTTGGGGTTGAGTCCTCCCCCCCTCCCTCCCAGGGCAGGAGGTCTCCCATTCTTTCTACCGTTTATCTCACTTTTTTGAATGTTTTGCAATCTGCTGTAGGAAGGCAAATAGGTCACTCTTGTTTCACTCTTGTACATTTTTTACCCATATATCAATCTGCCTTCCATGCTCCAGGTAATGGTATATACTCGTGAAGAGATCATCTTTTACATATATTGCTTCTCCTCCCTTTTTGTTTAGTTTTGAGGTAGTCAACTTTTTTATTCCCAGCGCCCACTAATGCATCTTTCTTGATGGTAAAATTTCCTTACCGCCCACCAGTGCTCGATAGAAGGAGGATTCAGCTTGTGCCATAGAACCCCCTACAACCCACCTAGAATTCTGAAATGCCCACTTGTGGGCAGTAAGGTCCAGGTTGACAACCCCTGGTCTAGTCTGTTTCTTTTGAATCGGTTATACCCCTCAGTTTCTACATTCCAGTCATGAGTCTCATCCCACCAAGTTTCAGTAATGCCCATTAGGTCATATTTGACATCCTGCATAAAGAGCTCAAATTTTTCTTGCCTGTTTCCCATACTCTGTGCATTGGTATAGAGATAACTTAAACCATGAGTTAATTCCTCTACCTGCTTCCTTCTTGTAGTTTTCTACCCTTTAGCAGCTTTCTGTAGCATTGCCTCAGTTTCCTATGCATCAATGAAGCTATTATCCCCAGTACCATTTGTTCCCTAGTCATCTCTAATATTGTCTCCCTACCCTTCAGGATTTAATTTAAAGTTCTGTTAGTCAGGTTTTTGAGACTGTCAGCCAACACATTTCCAACTACTTTGAGGTGCAACTCCTCTCTTGCCAGAAGTCCTTCCTCAAGGAAATGGAGAACATGGTCTTAAGATGCCTATGCCTAACCTTTCCTGATGACACCACCAGCACAGTCAGCGGTCTACCTCAGTATTTCCCTCTCCCTGGGCCATGACCTTCCAACAGGAAGAAATGATGAAAAAAAACCTGTGCCCCAAGGCCCTTCAATTTCCCAGCCAGAGTCCTTTGCTATACATTGAAAGCTGTGACTGACAGAATTGTTTGTACTTGCATGACTCATAAGGAAGGGGCTGTGGTCAGTGGACTTTATAAGACCTGGCAACTTTGTGAATCTTTGCACCTGAAAAACAGCACACCTCCCAGGACATCTTGTTGCTTTCTGTCTCTATCCTCAGTAGAGAGTCATGTATCACCACCATTAACATCCTATGGTAAAACACATGCCATTCTGTTTTGATTTTCCCCATTGTCTCGAGTGGCAGCCGGTAAAACAGCCCAGAAAGGGCATAGTCCATGCTTTGTATTACTGAATGTATTTTGAGAGAGGGAAGACCACTTGTAGTTGCTGTAATTGGTTTCTGCAGTGCACGTATGACAAATAGTTGCAACCTTAATTTCAAATGGTCTAATATTATGACAGCTATTAATGTTCCTGGCCGTTTCGTGGGAGTGAGGGTAAGGGGAACATGGCAATTTAGTCTACTTTCAGCATAAGATATGGGGTGAAAGGAATGAGAACTAATAGAAGCATCGCCGCCTGTTTATAAGAGTAGGGATAGACGGCTAGTGGCCTGAGGCTTAATATAACCCATAACTATTTTTTTCCTGGTCCTCTGATGGTCTTGCCAGAACTATGCTAAAGTTCTGTGTGATAGATATGGAACATGAATGAATGCAATTTCTCTTTTAGGCTTTGTATATAGTATGTTAATCTCCATATTTGTATGCCCAGCACTATGTGAGCCACATGTACTGTATAACTTTGATGCCTTTTGTGTTAGATGAGTTGGTCATCCTTTCAGTAAGAGTATAGGAAAACCCTGCTAGACTTTTATATTACAATTCTGCATTTAATAATTTGGTGTAATTTTTAAATTGTCATCTTAGGTACAATTGTTGTACAGCCAGAGCCAGTACGTAATGAAGACAAAGATGACTTTAAAGGACCTGAATTTAGGAACAGAAATACTGCTAGAACGAAACCTGAAGCTCAAAAGAAGCGTGGAGGTAAATGCACTTGAATTAAGTTCAATGATGCATTTAAATCATTCTATTATCATTATTAAAAAGTCTGAATTACCTCTGCATTCTTGATGCTTGTGAGCTTTCTAGAGACACTGGATTGACCACTGTAGTAAACAGACTGCTTGATAATGAGATGGGACCCTTGGTCTGACCTAGTGCAGCAATTCTTGTGTTCCTAGGCATCAATGAATTCTAGAATAGTTTCACCAGAAGTGCAAGGGCAGCTGTGCCCTTAAAGGAATTTGGGAGCAAGGAGTAAGGCTGAGTTGTTGATGGGAAGAAAGATCAAGGGACCATTGATAGCCCCACCAGGTTTGGGGGCTCTTGCATTAGCTCAGCATTACATTAGCAATTTATTTCAAATTATAAATTTATTATAGTGAGAGAAGAACAGAGTGTGGGACACATTTAGATGAGTTCTTTGCATAATTTGCCTCCTGTAATGTGCAACTTTATTTTTGGATGCCAAAACTGATGATTGCATCGTAGTGGATTTTTTTAAAGCTGCAATCAATACTTAAAAGATTTTTCAGTATCTTTAAGAATAATATAGTAATATGTTATTAATATTACATCATAATAGGATTGCAGAAGAATTATAACTAAAATTAGTTTTTGAAAAGCAGCAAACAGAAAAGAGGAGCCCCTTTTGTGAATTACAGAAAATCCTAATATCAGTCGGATGATTAGGGAGATAGTGAAGCAGAAAGAAGATAAATGGGAGGTGGGATGAAGGGTATGTTATTGTGCGTTGGATGGAAAGGAGTCAGCTTAGCAGGTTACAGCAATTGTTCAGGGGCAATATTTTTCTTTAGGTGTTTTTGTTTAGTTTTTAAAAATAATTTTAATACAACATTTCCCCCTCTGTTTTCTTCTTTAGTCTTTCCTCATTTGAAATGTGAATAATCTTAAAAGCTTTCATAAATTTGTGCTCTTGGGTGAATTAAATGTTATTTTTATGCTCACAACGTAGACTGCAATTCTGCACCCTGTTGAACAATCAAATTCCCAATGCAGTTGTTAAATCTCTAGCAAAACTGAATGCAGGATTGCAATCTGTGAAGTCAATCTTTAAGATTTTTTACTGATTATTTAGGTTGCGCCATTCCATAAGAAGCTAATTTAATATTTATGTGTGAATCCAATGCTTCAGGGGGAAGAAAATAATTCTTAACTGGTTACAACAGTTTTCTTTAGCCTTTTAAAGATACCTCTGCAATTGGTGATATTGCAGAAGTAGTGACACTCAGAGTCCTTCTAACAATGACATGCAAGCTAAGTTGTGTTGGAAAAAGGAGGTTTTTGTAGAAGAAAAATTGATATGGTCCTTCTGACTTTTTTTGTAGAGGAAGGGCTACATGGTATTGTGAGCTGTACAGCTTGTGGTCAGCAGGTGAATCATTTTCAAAAGGATTCAATCTATAGACATCCCACATTAAAAGTACTTATCTGTAAGGTATGTAAATGTTGGATGTGTGTGTATACCCTCTTATGTGTATATAGAATTCAATTTTTTCACTCAGGCTTAGAACAAAACCTGCTACCCACAAGAGACAGGGTTCATTGAGGCAGATGACAGGTGGTTCCATTCCCACAGTATGTGTAGATAGATACATCAATTTACTTTCTCTCACATAAGGGAACGACAGTCTTTTATTTCAGTGATAAGTTTTAAGTTACTGCACTTGGTGACATTGCGTCCAAGGAGGGCAGCTTATGTATCTTTCCCATTCAAAATATTGGTGTCCTAGCCTTCACTGAGGCAGATTTCTCTAGGGAAGATGCATTGGTTAGTATGATGAAGATGAACTGCAATGAGCCTTGGACATGTGCGCCTGCCCCTCCCACTTCACTGCAAGGAGGTATTCAGAAGCTTCCATTTCCTTAATCTCAGTCTGCTATGTTATATGGTTTGACAAACTTCGTAAATGTTTTGTAAAAGCCAATTTCATCACCTATGGTTTGATTCAAATTACTCGTAACAGTAACCACAGTTTAGGATCCAGATGACCTAGCAAGGTTTTTGCTTAACCAGAAGTGAGTGGTTCCGAATTCCCCCTCGCGGTTATGTCAGGGGCTTGCTATGGCTCATTCTTGTCATGCTAAACTATGTTTTAGCGTGACATCTGGACACAATCTGGATGCATTAGTGGAAAAAAAAAAGGAATGCATCTCTGTGCATAGGATATGTATATAGATATATATATATATATAGATATATATATATATATATATATGTCTCATTTCTTGCTTCCACCAGATACTTGTGATATGCAGGTCCTGTCTCTGTGTCCCACTCTCCAATCCATTGTCATATTGTTCTATTGTGGATTTCATTTTTAGTCACTTCAGACATTTTTAAAATCAGAAGGCAGGGTATAAATGAAGTGTTAGATATTTTGATAGCCCCGCAGAAAAGCTAGCTCTCTACTTTTCCATGTTCTATAGTACTTTAGAGAGATGGCTTAATTATGGGGGGGGGGAGGCTATTTTTGCATTCATTTAACAATAAACCATGCTTTGGCACTCCATGGGCAAGCAGGAACAAATTTTATAATACGTTTACAGACAAATGAAAACACTAAAATCATACAATTTGTAACATACAAAGAGTTAAAATATATGTTATATAAACTAAGTATAAAAGCAAACTAAGATGCAATAAAATTAATATATTTATAGAACTTTGCAGCAGAAAAGAGAAATTTAGCAAGTGTTTCTATTAATATTTTGTTCATGTCAGCCAGTAAGTTGCCCAGATGCCATTCAGAAGTTATTCCTTGGTGTTTTAGTAGGATGAAAGTAAATTATTTTGCACCTCTCTACAAAAAGGACATGTATTAATGTTTACAATGCTCCTTTCCTGTAGTGGTGGAGCTCTTTGTAAAACCCAGCCATCCAGTTGAGGAGAAGGAGAGCAATTAAATGTAGCCCTAGGAAAAAAAAATCAGCCAATATTTCAGAACATTCAGGCTTGGTCCTTCAAAAAGGCAGATGACAGAATAACACTCCCCCCCCCCCCCCGTACAGTTTACATGGAGTACAGTGACCAGTATCCTTAATCTGAAAATCAAGAATAAGTTTTGCCTGGCAGTGCCTTGAGTATGAAGAAGTTTCTTTCTATTGTGCAAAGTTTATTCACTTTAACAGCAGTATGAGGTCAATAATAATGTTTAGTGTATATTATTACATAGTCTGCAAAATTGTTAAGGTTTCTGAAAGAAGAAATTTATTTTCTTCATAGACTTGCTTCAAATATTATATGAGTGATGACATCAGCCGTGATGCAGATGGAATTGATGAACAGTGTAGGTAGGTGTATAAAAATTCCTCAATATCCTAAAATTTTATAGAGTGAACAGGGGCATATTTGAGCCTACATTGATCAGTATTAGCGAGTACATTTCTTGAAGTGCTTGTCAGTATTTATAGTTTGGATATAAAGAACCATGCAGCTTGTTACTTGCACTGCAAGTGATTTCTGGACTTTAGTTTCTTCAACAGCACTTTGCCCTCATAACTCATGGCAAGCTGTTTTGAAACTGAATGAAATATCAGAGTAGTTATACTGGGGCTTCTTTGTTGAAAGAAAAAAGTCAAAAGCCCAAGTCTCAAGTGCTCTTTTGGCTTCTGACCTAAATTATGAATGTTATGTTAAAGTAACATCGTATATAGCATTGTATAAAGTTGATTAAAACATTTCTGTGGTTATGATATAACATTTTGTATATCATTTTTTTCTTGCTAGTACAAGTATATTTCAGCCAATTGGTTAAGTCAGCTTTTCCCAACCAAGTACCTCCCCTCTGTGTGTTTTGGACTAGAACTCCCATCAGCCCCAGCCAGTGATTGTGTTGTCTTGGGTGAATGGGAGTTATAATCTAAGGCAACTGGATGGCACCTAGACTGTGGGGGATAGCTGAATTCTAAAGTGCAGAAAGAAATGGAAAGTTAGTATGGAGTAAAAAATTCAAGTTCTCCATGCTCCTGTGTACTTTGAGCCCCTTTTGGATGAAACATTCCTGCACTGCAGGGGGTTGGACTGGATGATCCTCGTGGTCCCTTCCAACTCTGATTCTATGATCTATGATTTTTCTTATTTAACTTGCATGTTGTCTTGCCACTGTGCATGTACAACACAGGTGCAATAAAATTGAGGGGGGAGGATGTGGATTTAGCGGTGCAGGACATTATGTGTGTTGAGGCAAATGTGTCACTAGCTCTGCCTGAAAGCAGTATTTGTGAAAATAGCACTAAATTTCTCTTGTTTTCTCTGGATACTTGTATCTTTCTGATACCAGCATAGCTATTTGCACTTCTGAGAAATATTTTTGATGATCAATAACTGACTTTAGATACTTATGTAACAGAGTTTTCCTAATTTATGCCAACATATTTTTAAAAATATATATTCAAACTTTATTAATTTCAGATGGTGTGCTGAAGGTGGAAACTTAATTTGCTGTGACTTTTGCCATAACGCCTTCTGCAAAAAATGTATATTACGAAACTTAGGACGAAAAGAACTGTCAACCATACTGGATGAAAACAGTCAATGGCATTGCTATATCTGCCAACCAGAACCTTTGCTGGACTTGGTTACTGCCTGTGATAGTGTGTTTGAAAATTTAGAACAATTATTACAGCAAAATAAAAAGAGAATCAGAGTTGACAATGACAAAGGTAAAATATATGATAATACGCTTAAATATTCTCTGAAGAAAAATAGTTCAAGTTGTAATGGAGAAGAAAAGAAACAAAACCATCCACATTCTGGTGCTCTAACCTATTCCTACAAAGCACTGATGGTGCCAAAAGTCCTGCTTAAAAAAACTAAAAAACTAGTTGAAACGACAACAAATATGAATGCTAGTTTTGTTAATTTTTTGAAGCAGGCAATTGAAAATTCTGAAATAAACCCGACGGTGCAATTACGTCAGCTGAAGGCTTTTAAATCTGTGTTGAGTGACATAAAAAAGGCTCATATGGCATTGGACGAAGATCTGAATTTTGAGATTCGGTCTCTAGATTTTAAAACCAAGCAAAAAAACACCAAGGATAGTGAAACTGCAATTAATTTGGATACCGGTGAAGAGAAGAAAACGGAAGGGAAAGAAATAAAAGAGCATAAAGTTGGATTAGAAGTCAGTGAACATACAGATCCAAATGTACCAATAATCGATCAATCAGGAAGCAAAAAACCCAACTGCAAAGATAAAAAAGCTGTGAAAATTGATCTTCAGTATGAACCCAATAGAGCTGAGGCAACAGATATGGATATTGTATCAATTCCCTCATCAGTTCCTGAAGATATTTTTGAATCTTGTATGGAAGCACAAAAAGCTGCCGGTGAACAGGGCAGTGGAAGTAGAGCAACAGAGCAAGGGGCAGTAAATGCAGATATAAGATCTAAAGACAGCAGGAAAGGAATGAAATTGATACCAACAACAAAAGTAACAAAAACATTGGTTGTGAAACTGACTCCAGTTTCCCTCTCTAATTCTTCTGTAAAAGCTGAAGATCCAGATGGAAAGCCAGAAAAGGGAGATGAGCTTGAAGACGGGAAAGAAAATCATGGCACTGAATGTCCACCTGAAAGTAAAATTACTCCTTTGGTAGAAGATCATGATCTCAGAAGGTCTCCACGTGTTAAAACTACACCTCTGAGACGCCCAACAGACATAAACACCTTACTATGTAATTCAGAAGAGGACAGCAATGATGCATACAGTGAAAAACAAAGGAGAAAATCCACACCATCTAAAAGGAAAAAAGATAAGCCAGACTCTCCTGTTACTACAGTTCACAGTCCTCAGTCTAACACATTTTCTGAGACAAACAAACCAGACACAATGGACCAAAGCTCTGATTCTGATGAGGTGCCTGCAGTCCTGCAAGCAGCAACCACAAGCAGCCACAGTACTTCAGATACTGACAGCAACAGTGAAACACCCAAGGATGTGTTAAATGCTTTAAAGAGGCGGCCAGTGAAGATGGACAATGGAAAGCGTAAAAGAAAAAGTTCCAGTTCTGGATCAGATTCCGATGCTAAAGAGGAAAAAGCAAAGCAGGATTTGGTTGCAGCTGCGAAAAAGCAACGCCAGAACTGTTCAGATTCTTCCAATAATGATTCTGAGTTGGAGACAGAGAATTTTAGTAAAACAGAGTCTGCAAGAAAAGCTGCAAAAAAAGAACCAAAGAAAGATAATGATTCTTCAGAAGAGGAACCAATTAAAGAAGGAAAAAGAAATTCCAAGCAGAAGGGTGAAGTGTGCAATGAAGTTGATGATGTTGAAGTCTCTGCTCCAGGAAAAGAAAAGCTAGACAATTCTTTGGAAGATGCACCTTGTAAAGAGCTAGGTTTTAAGGGGAGACGAACAAGGGATTTCAAAGGGAGAGCCTCCAAAGGTAAACAGAATATGTCTCCAGAAAAAGAGAGTAGCATTTCAGGCAAGATATGCGAACCACTGGCAAAGGAAGGACGTGATGTTTCTTCTGATGATATAGGACTGCCACTAAAGCCGGAACAAACTGGTGAATCATCAGATGATGCTAGAAATAAAGCTAAAAAAGGCACAGAAGGAAAGGAAAGTGGAAATCGGAGAAAATTTTCTACAAGGGGACAAGGTGATTCCTCTTCTGAAATGGAGAAGTTTTCTCCTGAAAAAGAGAGTTGTTCTTCTGGAAGTAAAGGCAAGAAACAAAGTACTGCTGAAAATAAAAAGAACTCAAGAGAAAGGGTTTCTAAGAAGTTGCAGGGTAACGCTTCAGACACTGCAAAGTCTCCCAAAAATGAACAGGTCTGTGATACTTCAGAAGATAATTTAAATGTAAAAAGAATCAATGCTAAAGAAAAGAAAAAAGTAAGCCCCAAAAGAAGAAATTCCAAACAAGTTAGAGGTGACTTGCTTTCCTCTTCTGAGGAAGACTTGTATGAGGAGAAAAAGGAAAAAAAAAGAGGGGCAGTCACTAAGGGAAATTCCAAGAGTAATCGTAAAGAGAGAGGGAATATTAATGTTAAAAAGGCAAAGAATGAAACCCTCAATTCCACTACCACATCACCATCATCATCCAATGAAGCTGAAAACGAGGACCTGAATTCAGCAGGCGAGGCAAGCAGTGATGAACAGAAAATTAAGCCCGTGACAGAAAGTTTATTGGCACCAGCAACAATTGGATTTTGTCAGTCTTCAGGTGTGCAAAAGTTTTAAATCTAATTTTTTTGTTATTAATACAAAAAAGTGTTTGCAGCCTTTTAGCTTAATTTAGAAATTCTAGCACTTCTCTGATAAAACAAAACAAGTGCCTTAAAGTTTGAATGTAGTTGGAAATCCTTACTAGTATGGTGTGTGTATGGGTTTTGCAGTTTAAGATATGAATTTCCATTTTTTAGTTGATACTTAATCATGTATCAAAACCCCGTTTTGGTTTTTAAATGATGTTCAAAAAATGCTGAAATGTTGATGATTTTTATAGCACTCAAATTGATTTCTATAGCACTGTCCTGTTTCCTATAGTGCCCAAGTCCTGGGGAGCTGACAAACAGGACATGCGTAAGAGCCCTCTCCTGCTCTTCCCCAGAAACTGATATCCATTGGTAGCCTTCTCCTCCATGAATTTGTCTAATTCTCTCCTGTGATCTTCTAAGGTAGAGATATCCAGACATCTTGTGGAGGTGAATTCCAAAGGTTAATTATGTGGAATGTAAAGAAGTACTTGACCTACGGAGCTGTGAATTTGTCTTACTGCTAAAGTCACCTAGAATTGCATCCCTAGGTTCATGGTGTAACAATAATAATTCAACATGCACTTCTATTATAACTTCAGTTGTGAAATTCAGTCCAGCAGTTTTAAGTATATACAGTAGGAACCAGGACCAAGTAGGTTACAGATGGGGAACCTGTGGCTCTTGCCTTATTGTTATCTCCAGATCACATCATTCCTGGCCATACTACATGGGGCAGACAGGAGCTAGAGTACAACAACACTGGAAACTACAGGTTTCCTGTCTCTGGGATAAGGTGAATACCAAGGTTTCAACCCTATACCCATTTAGGAATAAACTGCATGGAAGAAAATGGGACTGACTTCTGACTAGGCTTGTGTCTAGTTGTGCTGTGAGTCCAGTTGCATTTACTATATTGAATGTCACCTCAGAAGGTCTCACAGAGGAGCATAAAGAACTGTGATAGCTGAGATCTGAATGTTCACCAGTTCATTGATTGGATATACCATGAGTATCCCCTTTGGATCCCCCCTCCCTTTATTCTCTCTAAAACTGAGTAAACTAAAGTTTTCTCATACCATCCTGTTGTCCACAGTTTATAATTTTCAAATACTCAAGAAGATAGTCACAGTTAAGCTGAATTTTGCTGTAGTATGAAAGATGAGCACTTATATGATGCTGTTCAGATTTATAAACATTCCTGGTAGTTTCTGGGTAATTGATTCCTGGGTGATTGAATTTATCAGGGCTAGAAAGCAGATGTGGTATAGCCCAGTGTGGTTTGTTTAGAGTTTGATCAGCCTTTAGGAGGATTGGCCCCCTGGTATACACCAGAGCTTAGAGCGAGGAAAAAAGCTGGGAGACAGCTTGAATGCAAGTGGAGGAAAGATCTGAATGAATGCAACCGAACACTGGTAAGGGCTCATTATCAAGCCTACCAAGTGGCAGTGAAGACAGCGAAGAAGGCATCCTTTGCTGCCTCCATTGCATCCTCATCATGTCATCCGGCAGAGCTTTTCTGGGTTGTACGGGGCCCTTTACAGGCTGGCCCAAGGGAGGTGATAGAACCAACTGTAGCTTGCTGTGATTTGTTTGCAAAGCATTTTGAGGATAAAATTGCTTGTATCCACCAAGACCTTGACTGTTGTTGTAGCAGATGAATCTCATGGGGTGTTCCGAGCACTGTCTAGTCCAGGCATAGGCAAGCTCGGCCCTCTAGATGTTTGGGGACTACAACTCCCATCTTCCCTAGCTAACAGGACCAGTGGTCAGGGATGATGGGAGTTGTAGTCCCAAAACATCTGGAGGGCCAAGTTTCCTATGCCTGGTCTAGTCCTGTTGTGTTGGATGAGTCTCAGTAAGGCTCGAGGATTGCACAAGGTGCTTGGATCAGTCAGGGCAACCACTTGCGCTCTAGATCCTTGCCCCTCTTGGCTGATAAAATTCAGCAGGGAGGGGACAGCTGCCTGGGCCAGGGAGGTGATCAATGCCTCTTTACGAGAAGGGGTGGTCCCTGCCTGTTTGAAGGAGACAGTGGCAAAACCACTCGTTAAGAAACCTTCCCTGGATTCGGAAAACCTAATTAACTACTGGCCAGTTGCTAATCTCCCTTTCCTGGGCAAGGTCCTGGAGCAAGTAGTCACAGAGCAGATCCAGGTGCTTTTGGAAGAAACTGATTTTCTGGATCCATTTCAATTGGGGTTTAGGCCTGGTTTTGGCACAGAAACTGCCTTGGTTGCCCTGTATGATGACCTTTGTCTAGAGAGAGACAAGGGAAACAGGCCCCTTTTAATGGTTCTTGACTTTTCAGCAGCTTTCGATACCATCAACCATGGTATCCTTCTGGAGCAACTCTCCGAACAAGGGGGTGGGTGACACCGCTTTGCGGTGGTTCCAGTCCTACTTGAATAGTCGCTCCCAGAGGGTGTTACTTTTCAGCCCCGTGGAACATTCAATGTGGAGTTCCTTAGGGCTCAGTCCTATCCCCCATGTTGTTTAACATCTACATGAAACCACTGGTTGGGGTTATCTGGAGGTTTGGAGTATGTTGTCAGCAGTATGCTGATGACACTCAGCTCTATTTCCCCTTTACATCTGCAGGTGAGGCAGTGGAAGTGCTGGACCAGTGCCTTGCCTTGGAAATGAACTGGATGAGAGCCAACAGACTGAAGCTCAATCCAGATAAGACTGAGGCACTGTTAGTGGGTGGTTCCCTAGACCGGATGGGTGGGAGGTTGCCTGCTCTTGATGGGGTTACACTTCCTCTGAAGGAGCAGGTTCATAGCTTGGGGGTACTCCTGGATTTATTAGGTATTTTGTGATTTTATATCTTGATTTTATTCTGTGAATCACCCTTAGACCCCGGGTATAGGGCGGTACATAAATTCAGTTGATGATGATAATAGTTCCTTATGTAACTAAAATACTTGAAGAGAGGAGCACTGTTAGATTTAAATGTTGAAGGATAATAGCTTTAGATAGAACATGTGAAAAGAAATCTAGTAGATACTGGTACTGCAAAATGTTGATGTTTGAAGTTTTGGGGTTTTTAAAAGCAATTGGATTCTGGTCAGAGCAGCCTAGGATTAGAGGGCTGTTATAGGAAGGAAAATATGTAAATGAGGAATGGACAGCAGTACAACACACATGGAAGGTAGGAAACTTAAATGTGTCCTAGTTAACTGCAGTGCAGCTTCTGATGATGGTGCACCGTCTCTTTTCTAAAACTGAAAGTTCATTTTGTCATTATTGGAACAGCTATTTGCATTGTGTGTTGACAGTTTCTTGGTAATTTGGAAGAGGGAAGTATTCAGGGTACTAACTAATTCCACTTTAGGCACAGAATAGCCATGCATAGAAAGTTGCAATATCGCTTCACTCCATAACAAGCGTTCCCAATCACAGCTCTGGCCAAGCACCCTTTCCTCTCAAATGGGTGACTTACAGCTCCTCTCAGGGCTGTAGGCAGTAGAAGCAGGACAAATTGCTTTCCTTTCACCCTCCTCTTACAAACTGACAACATTCTGTATCGCATGGTGATGACTGAGCATGCTTCATCTTCATTTGGTTATTTTCTTTTGAGAGAGGTGTGGCACTATGCTGATACTTCCTCCTTGTTTCTCAGTAGCTTGTTATAGCTCAATTTCTATTGGCATGGGGCACTGAATTCACTTGGAGTTACCATAGACATTTAAATAATATTTGCTATTCCTAGAGCATATGAATTTTAGTTTAAAAGATTGTGAATGGGGAGATCAGAATGAAAACATTGGGATGAGGTGGGCAGAAAGAGAAGACACACCTATAAGAGTAAGAGAGTGGGAGGTCTTGCCTACCCTTCTAACTGTTTCTTTTCCTTCCTCCCACCGCCAAGTCTGCAGGGAGCTAAGCTGAGAATGGTGGACCCTCTTTATGTTCTTCCTGTTTCTTGCACCGCTGTGCTTTGTAATTGGAGGGGCTGGTTCTTCTGGATGAGTGCGAATTGACCCAAATCTGTAGAGTACCAGTATATTACACACAGTGAATCTGGTTAATCTACAATTGGCAGCTATTTTTGTGTGCATGTAAACTGCAGTGATCATTACAAAGGATGTTACAAAAAAAATGGTATTAGTTTTCTTTTCCTCTGTTTATTATTACTTTTATTATTCTGTTCTTAATTTTATATAGCAGTCCTTAGAAAAGGATGAGTTGCATTTAGTAATTGTAAGAAACGTTGATGATCACTATTCAGGTGATTGATGATATAGCATTTGATGTGACAAAAGTTTATTCTGCTTGTGCCAAATATATTTCCTTTACCCCTCCCCCTTCCCAAGGAGACGAAGGAGACAATAAATTGCAGACTGTACCAATGGAAGAGGAGGAAGATGATGACGACGATCCTGAGAATAGGTATGATTCCATCCGTAAGGACTTTAAAAAGATTATAACACACCCTAGGCGTGGGCGCAAACAAGAGCAACGGAACAGCAAGCAGGTTGTAAAAACCAGAAGTGCCTGCCTTGTAAAGACTCGCTCACAGGCTTCCCGCAAGTTTGAACGAGGGGCCAGAAAACAAACCCCCAAATCCAGAAATGAAAAGAAACTAAGAAAATAGTGATAATTCACACACCTTGCATAGGGTGTGTTATAAATGCATTGCAGCACTGTCTGTTTTAAGTTTCCATGTAAAATGCAGATTTTGTGTAACTTTAACACAATTTGATAATTATGGCTACCTGTAGGAATAAGAAATACCGTTTAGCTGGTATTGTGACACAAATCTTTGTTTTCGGTATTGAATATTTTTGAATTGGTTTGCTCATTCATTCTTAAGAAAACCTGATTAGAAAGTAGAGCCATGCTTTTGAAGAAATCCGTTCTGTTGTATCCAGAAAGATTCACTTTTAAATTTAAAAGTGAATATCTGGTGGCATTAATATAATGAATGACTGGGTTTTTTAAAAAAAAAACACACACACCCATTCCTGTCATTGAGGTTTTATTGGCATTGTTTGGGGGTGTTCAGTCACATGTTAAATTAAACGTGCATATATGATATTGAAGTTCAATGTTAAAGTATTGCTGTAGTCAAAAGCTTTTAGTTTCGTAGGCCATACGATAGGGCTGGGCAATATATCAAAACATCGTGCAAAACAGGTTTGAAGTCCATATTGTAATAATGGTTTCATAATTTTTGACCTGGCAATTTATTGTGAATCATGATATGTGCATGCGTGTGCACTATACAAAAATCACAATGTGCGAAAAACCGTAAAACCCGCCACTGCTTCTCTTGATTCCTGCAGCCTCTCTTAACTCTGCTGGCTCGGCTTTCTGCTGTCTCCTGCAGGAGGAAGCGAATCACAAGAGCAGCTGCTGGAAAAATCACAATGTGGGAAAAATCATGAAGCCAGCCATTGTCTCTACATAGCTCCATCCTTATTTCAGACATTGTGATATATCAGTATATTGCCATGTTTAGCTGATGATAGATCACAGTGTTGAAAACCAGATATCGCCCAGCCCTACCATATGGTTTCCTAATACCTAAATTCTGTAATGGAAGAAATTGCCAAATAGTAGACCGGAGGGTGGGGGGAAGAGAAGAAGAAACAGTTGAGTAAAGTGAATTTTTTATTGGGAGATTTGTTGGAATACCAAGAGTACTTACTACCAAGGCATCTAAATTCTAATGTTGGTTACCAGGAAGTTTCTTTTCTGGGCACTGTTTCTACAAAACTCAATAACTATGTTTTGGAATGAGGTGTCTTTGATAATGATGTGTGCAATCAGCTTTGTGGGGTTAAGAATTGTTTGTTACCAATTTATCTGGCTTTTACATACAGAGGAGAGCTTTTCGTTTCTCCCTAAAGTGAATATTAATACTTGTTCTGCTATATGCACCTGGCTATAGATTAAAATGCTGCTAATCTAGCTGTTACTTGCTTTTCACACACAGCGTTAAAACAAATGTATAAAGGAATGTTTAAAATAATTGTTTAAAGATTGGCAGTATAAAACGATGAGCATACTTTTGAACAAAATGGGACTTTTAAAAAAGATGCAAACTTGAGTCCCTTTTTAATTACTAGATTTTTAATTTTTAGTAGGTATTTTTAGTTAGAAAGTTGTTAGGTGCTTGCTTGGAGTATTATACTTTATTTCTTAATACATAGCATGGAGTATTATACTTTATTTCTTAATACATAGCAGATGTATCTTGAAATCATGAAGAATAATTATATCTAATACATCAGTTCCTGAAATTTTATTTAAAGGGGGTGGGGAGATAATGAATACAAGCAGGTCCCGCTATCGGAACAAAATGCGTTCCCAGCAAATTGTTTGTCAGGTGAGCATTTGCATAACAAGCTGATGATTTCCATTTTTTCTTATGGAAACATTTCTAACCTATGTTTTTTGCCTGAAACTGCTGCAGACAATTAACAAAAGCCAAACAAAAGAAAATTTGATTTGTTCAATCACTCCTGCTCCCTAATATGTCCGATCTTTTTAATAGAATCATAGAATTTGAGTTGGAAGGGATCTAAGGGTCATCTAGTCCAACCCCCTGCAATGCAGGAATCTCAGCTAAAGCATCCATGACAGATGACCATCCAACCTCAGCTTATAAACCTCCAAGGAAGGAGAATCCACCACCTTTCGTGGGAGTCTGTTCCACTGCTGAACAGCTCTTACTGTCGGAAAGCTTTTCCAAATGTTTAGTCAAAATCTCATTTCTTCTAACTTGAAGCTATTGGTTCGAGTCCTACCCCCCAGAGCAGGAGAAAACAAGCATGCTCCCTCTTCCATGTGTTATTCCTTAAGATATTTGAGGATGGCTATCATATCTCCTCTCAGTCTCCTCTTTCCAGGCTAAACATACCCTGCTCCTTCAAGTTCTCCTCATAATGTTTAGTTTCCAGACCCTTGATCATCTTGGTTGTCTTCCTCTACACACGTTCCAGCTTGTCAACATCTTTCTTAAATTTTGGTGCCTAGAATTGGACACAGTATTCCAGGTGTGGTCTGACCAAGGCAGAATAGAGTGGTACTATTACTTCCCTTGATTTCGACAGTATACTTCTGTTGATGCAGCCTAGAATAGTGTTAGCTTTTTTTTTTTTTTTTTTTTTTGGTGCATCTAATTTATGGATCTAAGTCCCCTAGATCCTTAAATCAGATATCTGAGCAGCCAGTTTTGCTGTTTGGCAGCAAACATTTTGGTCAGAAACCATGGATGAAGCAATGCTTTTTTCCGTTCCAGTGCTTTTTTCTGGGGGGTACTCAAGGGTGTGCAGCACTAGCACTTTTTTCTAGAAGAAAAATACTGGTTAAAATTGTGGCACTTACTGTAACAACATCATGCAGAGTACAGGCACTTTTTTTTCTAGAAGAAAAAGCACTTCTCTATCCATGGTTTCTGCCCCAAATGGCTTCTGCCAAACAGCAAAACTGGCTGCTAAGATACCTGAATTAGACATTCTTGTAGTGAGGTTTGGGTATGTTCAGATAACTGAGATTTTGGATAACGAGCTTTCCAATAGTGGACCTGCTTGTACTGTTTAATCCAGGAAAGAATAAATCTACCTCTCTTAGATGGAGTTGGTGTTCATCAAATAGTCTTCACCAGTATGCAAGGTGAATTTTGGCTGACTTGTATTATATCTTTTTGCAATGCTTTATGTTGTACCAGAATTAAGAAAATCATGTTGTACCAGAATTAAGAAAATGCAATTTAAAGAGTCTATTCACTGACTATGTATGTTAGATAGATCCAAAGAGCTGCTAAGGACTTCCATAAGACACGAGCACTTCTGGTCTTCCTTCCAACCCTTCATCCCCAAGCAGTGACTGCTGTGGAATAAAGGGATGCAGCTTGGGGTATTTCCCCATCCCATTTGCACACCAAAATGCTTTCTTCCAGCATATGGGGCTGTTCGGATCTCAACCATAGTGATTACTGTTAAGGGTTTGGTGACTTCTTCCTTGATATACCAATCCCAGACTTCCAAGTAAATGCACTTAGGTTTGCAATTTAATGGTTGCTTGTTTTTTGGTCAAAAGACCCATTTCCACCAGGCCAAAGAGGGATGCTAGATATTTGTTGTAATGTTACAGCTTAGGCTGTACCTACAGCTTTCTTTTTCTGACAAAACTATTATTTTAACATGTTTCTTCCTAAAGTGTAGAAATAATCTTTTGCCAAAGTACAATATTTTAGTGGGTCATAATATAACACAGAGTGTCATATTTCATTGTGGTGTGTATTTGTTTCTTCTTGGTTTGTCTGAAATTTGAAATAGTACTGTTTTAATATGTTTGGAGTTATTTTTGTTCATTGAGAGATTCATAGTGTATTCATGCACAATGACTTTGAAGTATTTGATGGATGCAATAAATTTTTGTAAAACATGTTTCTTGTCCAAGCATTTAATTTAAGAAATGTAGACTGCCAGTTTTTCTACAAAGATGGTAGGGCACAATTTATTGAGGTATTTTCTTTCATATTAAAAAAGTGTCCACATATTAGTCAATTTTGTGGTCCGCTAGGTTAAAGCTGTGTTAAAGCATGAAACATCATTAATAAACAAAACGTGTATAGTTTGCACACTGTTGAAGCTTATAAGCTACTCTCAAGCAATTTAGGAGCATGTAAAATAAATAATTGTGAATTTGTGTCTCGTTGGAGTTGCCAGCATATCTCAGAAGACTTGTGCATGCATTAAGGATTTATCATTTTCTTTCAGATGCAATAGTCTGCATGATGCAAGCACGTGTGCTGGCAAATTGCATAACACTTTTCTTCCCACAATATCAAGAGTATTGCATTGATTTGTTGGTTGTGTGAGTGAGTCAGCTTAGGAGCTGCCATTGATGTCTATGGAAAAGGCAGCAGGCACATGCGTGGCATTAATCTTGCATTGTAATTATAACCGCAAATGACTGCACAATATTTGAAATGGGGCAAAAGGTGGTCTCTCTTCAGTGCTGTAAATGAAATGAGTATCAATGTGCTAATCAGCTATGCTTATTGGGGGCGGAGGCGGGAGGCCCTAGACTCTGATAAAACTGCAAAGGAGTGCCAGTTCGTTAATCAAATTCTGTATGAAAGCAGGAATTCATCCCTCAAATACTTTACAAATGATTGTTTTATTAAGGTACAGTGGTTGACCAGAACCATGATTTAAAACAGTTGCTTTGTTCACATGTTAGGGTAAACAAAGTTAATGATTTACCCGGAATGCACAGATGGCTCCTGTCCTAGTATGGGCAAGAGCAGCAAGTCATGAGGTGAAACCAAGTTTTCTTCTTAGCTTACCAATCATGGTTTGAGCAAACAAACCATGATATCCAATTTGGATGCAACACTTAAACCAGAAATCATGGATTTGTTACTTCTGCAAAGTGGGAATGATCTCCATGTCTATGTTAAAGCAATAATTATTATTTACCATGACATGCAAACTGTACTAATACATATAATAAAGTTGAAGCAAGAGAAAGAAGTGAACTAAAGTCCCATTAATAAATAAATGGAACTCAGCTTATTTCATGGGGACTAAAACAGTGGTTCCCATAGTGAATGGTACTGCCCCCAGGAGGATGATGCGATTTCCTAGGGGGGCACTATGTTGATCACTAGAGCCTTGTATTATTTTTAAAGTTTTACTCTTTCCACTTTCAAAGCTATTTCCTTTGATAATGTTTGTTTGTATTTATGATTTTGAGTTGTCATGAGTCACAAGATAGCCAATCATTGGTAATAGCTTTTGATTTTCTTATAAATTAGTTACAGTACATCTGTGATAGGTGAAAGTTTGTGCATGTTTGGTAAGTAGTTATATATAAACACTTTATGCTATAAATTTCCTTCACCTTACGATTTTTTAGTAATAATTCGTAAAATATTTTTCATGCAATATCTGGTATCAGTGGATCAAATTCTTGAATTAATTAAACTAAATAGTTTTAATTGTATTTTGAATAAATGTGCAGTTGTTACCATTTTGAATTTTATTGTGTTAATATCTTCCTTAGTGGGTTGTGCAAGACCCTTATTCTGAATTCTGCTTTTTATAGGGTAGGGGGCACTGGAAACGAGTTTATAGAACCATGGGGGTGGTGGCCTGAAAAGAATTTGGATCTAGTGGTCTAATTTGGCTGGCTTCAGACTTGTTGCTTTCAGAATTGTGCCCTACATACACCAAAGCCATCCTACTGTGAGGGAGATGGTTTGTCTCTTCTTGTAAACAAACAAACAAACAAACAAACAAGTAGGCAAGTAAATAAGTTAACAAAGTTAATAATTATATATATAAATAAATGAATAATAGGAAGTAAATGTTAACTTAATAGTAAGCTAATAGCAAATAAGTGAATAAATAGGTGAGTAAATAAGTACATAATAAATAAATAAATAAATAAGTAAATAAATAAATTAAAGTCATTCCATAAGTATGCAAACAAACAAACAAACAAATAAATGAATAAGTAAATGAGTGAATAAAGCTCACTTGATTGGTCAAGGGATGTGGGATAGTTATTTTTTAAAGGTGATTCACAAATTGAGTCCTTATCAAGAACTCAGTAACTAAATTCTGTTTGAATGCACTTTATTTTTTATAACTCATGCGACTCACTTTTGCATTTGGTGGCCATAGAAATACAGTATTTTTTTATAAACTGCTAAATCTGTAAGGAGATTGTTGGATAGACCAGTGCTATAATCTAAAATGCTTTCTTGGGATGTGGTTTTCTGCCCTTCAGAGATACAGATTTCTTGTGATATTTTGGAGGCTACCAAGATTGATGTGGGAATCTAATATTCAGTTAGATATTGCTGTGCAGCTATGATTATGACTCATGAGAGGGTGACACTGAAAAGAGGCATATAAAAGTGTAACCATGTCATGGTACCAAGTCAGCAAAATAAATACTTCTGAAATTGCAAGGCTGTTTGACATTATTAGGGGGAAAATCAGCCTTTTCCTCCACAAGCAGGTTAATCCACCAAATTACTCTTCCATTTCCAGCTTTACTCTTGCTCAGTTCTTAAAATTCTCTGTTCAGGTTTGTTTTCAACCATTAATCTTGCTCGGTTATTATGCATTTACTTTGGCATTTACTGATTTTTATTGCTGAACCAATGGAATACACCTTTTTTGTTTTACTTCAAAGAATTGCCAAGAAAATGCTTTTAGAAGAAATCAAAGCCAATCTTTCCTCAGAGGATGAAACTTCTTCTGATGAAGAATCTGATGAAGGGAAAAAGAAGAAAGGAAAGCATTATGAAAAAAGAGGTGACAATGGTGAGCACCACATAGTAATACAATAAGAGTACTAAAATGTGATTTGTGACCTGGGTGGGCATTCTACCATATAGAGGGACTGTTATTTTCAAATTCATTGTCATTTCAAAATATTTAGTAAGAGACTAATCAGCAAAGCACCTTTTAAACAAAATATGTAAATTGACCAAACATAGAACTTAGAACTGTATTTCTCACAGTACTTAACGGTAAGTACTGACACTCCTTTTTTCCTGAACATGTAGCAGCCATTTTGTGCTGGTACCCACAGCACTTTCATCAATATATGAGTACCAGCACCTCATTTTAGACCAAAAGAAGCTCTAATTGAACTCATATGGCAGCTAGTTGTGAGCAGATAGCTATTATAGCCATCTGCTCACAGTGTAAGGTTGTGCTGAAGTGTTCATATAATGCCTTCAATCCTATGACACTCTTAAATATAACTTGAATACTTAATTATTTGCTCAATATCATTCACATATTAAAAAGAACTGAAATGTGTTCTTCTTAGTGAATAGATTTAATAAATAATAATAAAGTAATAACTGCTAAACTCAAATCCTTCGTAATGTAGATGGTATGTATTGTCATTACCTCCCTTTGATACTGATACGAGCTGGAAAAATAAATTGTATGGGAGAAGCTTTATGTTGATTCCCCCCCTTTTTGTGACAGGAGAGAATGAACAGGAAGATGAGTCTGACTCTGATTCAGATGCTGATGGGGCTAAGAAACCCAGATACAGACACCGCTTGTTAAGACATAAGTTGACCACGAGTGATGGAGAGTCTGAGGAAGAGAAAAAGGAAAAAGCTAAAGAGGCAAAAGAAGTTAAACGCAGGAACAGAAGGAAAGGTACAAAATCTAAAATGTGTGGTGTGTGTCTACATATCAGGGGCTGTATAGGCAGCCATTATTTTGCTAACATATTGCTCCTTGAAGATAGTGGTACAATTCTTATTGCTACTTTATTGGAATGCATCTGTCAAATAGCTGATAATCCATACTCTGGCAGTTCTTGAAGCAAGAATTAAAAATGCTTATTTATTCACATGAAAGGCTTATTTACCACTTTTCAGGAAATGGTCTTTCAAAGTTGTTTACAGTCTCATTGAAGTATATCAATAAAGTACAACAATAGAATACCAGTTCTGTTGGACAAATGAGCATGGAGTAGTGGGGTAGATGCAGCAGAAACCTCTAAGATGTGTGTGCCAATCCCTCACTGATAATGACATATCTCCAAGGGGTCTCACATTGATTAGAGTAGATGAAATCAGGTAGGATGATGCAGAAGGTCAAACAATTCAGGAAAGGGATAATTTAGTTGTGTATTGGGTTCGGAGAGAAAGGCCAGTATTTTTAGAGCATTTTTGTTTTCCCAAGGTTTTGGGAATGCCCAGTGAGAATTGTTTCCTTTGAACAGCAGATCTAATGATTCACAAACTTCTTTTCCTTAGTTCCAAAATTGTTTAGCCATGACATTGAGACAAATTATTATTGCTTGAGGCCGATGACCATTACAGTATAAAACATAAAAACAAAAATGGCAGTCCATATCACTTACCCAAACTACAACCATATCACCCTGAATATGGCCAGTTTTATCTGATCTCACAAGTGCCATGTGAAACAGATTGTTGTTGTTGAACATGCAGAAGCTTAAAACCCCTTGACCTTGTGGAATTACTTCTGCATCCTGGTCATTATAAAAAAATAATTGAGCAGCGAGTTTAGAATTCTGTTGAATCAGCTGCTACTTGATAGTTGAAATCATGATGATTCAGCATGCGAACTTAAGAACATTGTATGTCTTGAAATGATAAATACATAGATTTAGGGAGTTCTCACCTTTTCCCAAATGTTTATTCTAATCTTAATTTAGAACTTTAAATTATCTTCCTGTTTTAGAACTAGCTTGCGCATCCCCAGGAGGCTCTTGACTTGTGTTCTTTGTTTGGGATGGGAGATTACTGTGGAAGAGGAAATCCCACTGGATGCGTGCCAGGCAACAGACACACATACCGTGCAATCCTATGTATATCTACTTGGAAGTATGTCTCGTTATCAATAGAGCGTACTCCCAGGTAGGTGTGTATGGTGTTGCAGCCTTGTTGGGCCTAACATCTGAGTAGACATTTCTAGGATTTCACTGTTAAGTAAGCTCTTTGGATTCTGGCCTTAATAAGTATTTAGAGGGCATGAATGCAAGCAGATTGAGACTGCACTGGTGTTTTGCATCCGGTGTCACTTTCTCTGTTTATTTTCTTCCATTTCTTCACAATTAAAAAAGAAGTTTACCAAAGTCAGGTATTGTCTGCTACTGTTTGTTTTATTTTTATACAAATAAGATAATTACATTTCATTGTTCTGCCTAATTCTGCTGAACTGTTTTAGCATAAGTTTTATTTTGGATAGCACTGAAAATAATATACCTGTTGAAACAGCTTTATATCTTTACTCAGTAAGCACTAGGATGCCACCATCCTTCACTTGCTTGAAGGTAGGAAAAAATGAACTGCCTTCAGGCAAGTGGAGGATCATAATACCCACTTGGTAGTGTCCTAGTACCTCTTAAATACTTACCGGTAAATACCAGCAGTATCTTCTGTACTTTTCTTAGCCCCTTTCCCCTGTTTTTTGTTAGAAACTCAGAAGTCCTAAACCCTCATTATTCTTCACCCACATTTAAATAATGAAATAAGTGTTTCTTCTGAAACATGCCAGTGTGTGATCAGCAGGTGGCACAGGTTCTACTTTTCTCTTTTTGTTATTTTTTGTAATATTGGACATATTTCTACAGTTGACTCGCAACTTGTGTGTGGGGGTGGGTACATTCTGGGGACGTAGTCAAAATTACATATAGTTAAAAAGAACCCCATTGAACATACCCACACGGCCACCCTTACCTTCTGGAGCCGGCACACTGAATGAGTCCTACCCCCTGAAGCAAGGCCCAGGCTCTGGAAGGTTCCTGTGAAATCTCTCAGGGTCATTTGAGTTCTTAGAAGAGCCTCCCAGAGCCTAGTAAGCAAATCTGAAAGCTTAAAAGCTCTTTGTGGCTGGAGAAGCCTGTGCAAAAAGAGCTTTTCAGCTCTCCACCTTTCATGCATTTGATTTGTGTGATTTCAACTGGCCAGACATCACCTACCTAAAGGTTTTGTATTAATTTTTAAAGCCCTGAAGAGTTTAGGTCCAAGGTGCCTCAGGGGTTCCCTGAGTCCTTATGTCCCAGCTCAGTCACTGTGATCATCTGCAGTACTGTTGTTTGTCATTCCCTGAGTTGGTGAGGCTTATTTGGCAAAAATGAGAAACTGACCATTTTGTGTCATCAGCTCAGTTCTGTGGAATACTCCTTTCGTGCAGGAGGCACACAAAGAAAGGTCTTAAATTGTGATCTAAGGGTTCATATGGAGAGAGGCAGTCCTTGAGGTATAATGGTCCTGAGCTGCTGAAGCCTGTATAGGTTGAAACCAGTACTTTCCAGGCAATATATGCTCAAACCATCTTGCTTTGGTGAGCAATCTGGTCACTGAATTCTGCGCTAGCTGAAATTTCCAAACCACCTTCAGAGGCAGCTCTACATATAACTAATTTAATCTAACCTAGAGGTTACCAGAGCCTAGGCAACAGAAGTTAGGCTACTCCTGTTTAGAGAGGGGCACATCTGGGCCACCAGCTGAAACTGTTGGAAGGCATGCCGCCCCACTGAGGCAACCTGTGCCACAAGTGACAACAGTGGATCCATAAGTATCCCCAAGCTGCAGTACTAGCTGCATCAGAGGGTGTGTAACCTCATCAAGAGCAGGCAACACCCCATCCATCCAGTCTAGGGAACCACCCACCAACAAGTTGCTCAGTCTTATCTGGACAAACCCCACATGAATTGAAGACAGTTAAAACAATTAAAAAACACTAATACAGTCAAAATGTAGCAGTGGTCCAGTCTCTGCTTTTAACTGGTTCCACACTCCAGAGATGTACATTTCAGGTGCAGAGGTTACAAGATTACTCCTGCTCTCAGCTGTGGGCTGGCTTGCGTGAAGCTGAGTATTTCAGCAGTTGCAATGTTAGTAGCAGGGAGTGGGTAACTGTGGTTGGTGAAAGGATTGAAATCTCTCTTATTACCCTCTCTCCTGTTTGCCCTTTGCCACAAACTGAATTCTCTTGGTTCCTGGACCAAAATAAAAAAAGTTGAAAATTTGCAAATTAATTGCATTCAAGATGTGAGTCAACTGTACTTCTAGTGGCTTTCTATTAAAATGTTGATAAATGATGGTCAAGTACTTAACTACAAGTGTTTTAATACTGATGCAGCAATTATGATACCAATTTTTGTTTAACCTTAAAGTAAGCAGTGAGGATTCAGATAATTCGGAAGCAAATGAATCTGGAGTCAGTGAAGAAGTCAGTGAATCTGAAGATGATCAGCGTCCTAGAACAAGGTACTTCACTCTAAAAATATGCTCTTGAGAGTTTGATTTTCAGCCAGGAACTGTATTGCATATCTTTCTTTCTGGGGTGGGGGAAGATGTGAAAACTGAAGGATAACTCATTCAGTCCATGTTTTAAAGTAAACCAACCTGGTTTGCACTTCCCAAACTAGCATGCCGTTTTTCTGTTTTTAAACATCTACAGATTTTTGATGTAGGCCAGGGGTCCGCAACAAAAAGAGCCACTTGGACCCGTTTCCGAAGAAAAAACAACTGGGAGCTGCAAAACTCGTCATTATAAAAATAACTTTTTTTTCACTTTTTTATTATTTCTTTGTTTGACCCCTCAGAATTACTCCTCCTCATAGAAATAAACATTAAATTAACAAGTTACCTTTTTTTGTGTGTGTGTTCTTCACTCCCCTTCAAAACAGTGACCAGCGTACATGCCCCCTTTCAATGCAGTGACCAGCGTACATGCCCCTTACAATGTAGTGGGCGGGCGGGCGGGAAGGTGACGTCGGGATGGTGCGTGACTAACGCACGCACCGCCCCCATGTGACGTCACAGCCAGTACAGCGCCCGCCACAGTGGGGAGTGTCGGGACGCACAATGCGCCTCCTCCCCTCTCTAGTATCCGCCCCGGAGCCGCAGCAAAGGTGTAAAAGAGCCACATGCGGCTCTGGAGCCATGGGTTGCTGACCCCTGATGTAGGCCTTCGCTCAGAAAGGTTCCAAAATGCATATAAAATAACATGCCTTTCTGGACAAAATGCAAACAAATATAATGTGTCTTATTGGATTAAATGCAGATTGATATAGGAAAGCTGGATAAAACAGATTGATGAGTGATGAACACGTGTGAAACTGACACAGGAAATCCCCCCCCCACCCCAAAATAGAACAGAACTGGTCCATAGCCCAGGCAGTGGTCGATAGGAAATCCCCAAGCCAGTGCATCAAACTTCATGTGAGGCTTAGCTAGTAAACCATCAGAAATGGATCAGACATTGTTTTTATTTGCCTTTATACTACTATTTTACTGTACTACAGTTCTACTGTTTTTACTGTCCATATTGCTTATAATGATCCTGCATAATGTTTTTATGTTGTAGATTTTAAAGAGTTTTAAGCAGTTTATCAATTCTAAAAATTTAATATATCTTCAGCTTAAGTTGTAAAACAGACAACCCTTAAATCTCTTCAGACCAATGTTCCTCTACTGCAATACATAATATTAGGTCAACAATTAGTCAACAAGGAGTTCATTAATATGAATACTTTACCACAAGTTTAGCATGGTATGTTCTACCTCTACTGCTGGAGGCAGCATGGATTTGAATACCAAGTGCTGGGTATCACAGGTGCTGGCAATTGCAGGTGAATATAAAGTGCTGGTGTTGCAGTTCTGTAGTGCCCGTGTTTTGCCTGCTGGCTTTCCATTGGAAAAGGGTAAAGGTAAAGGACCCCTGGATGGTTAAGTCCAGTCAAAGGCAACTATGGGGTTACGGCACTCATCTTGCTTTCAGGCCGAGGGAGCTGGTATTTGTCCACAGACATCTTTCCGGGTCATGTAGCCAGCAGGACTAAACCACTTCTGGTGCAGCGGGACACTGATGGAAGCCAGAGCACACAGAAACACTGTTTACCTTCCTGCCACAGTGGTACCTATTTATCTACTTGCATTGCTGTGTTTTTGAACAGCTAGGTTGGCAGGAGCTGGGACAGAGCAACAGGAGCTCCCCCTATTTCGCGAATTCAAACTGCTGATCTTCCGATTGACAAGCCCAAGAGGCTCAGTGGTTTAGACCACAGTGTCACCCACATCCCTGCGGCTTCCCATTGGTACATCTGGTTAGTCACTGTGAGAACAGAGTGCTAAACTAGATGGGGCTTTGACCTGATCCAGCAGGGCTGTTCTTACGTTCTTATACCAAAACAGTTCATTGTGTTATAAACATTATTAAGGGGCCATTAATTTCAAGTTTGTTGCAACTACCAGTTTCTTAATTCCTTAAGCAGGAGTGCATTCCTGGTTATCTGAGTCACTAGTTTTTGAGTAGAGCATAGGAAAAGAGGCCATCATCATAGTGCTTCATTATGAAACGTTGGTGCAGGTGAAACTAGAGGCGTTAATTAGTTAATAACAAGTAGCAGAAACAACCGCTACAGTTTGTGTTCAAATTGATACATGATATATTTAATCTTCTGGCAGAGGAAGTGAAAATGACATTTCCACTGTTAAGTTCAGTTTTGGATCTGTTGGTTTAGTAGTAATTGAGCAGAAAATCCATGAACAGAAGATCTGTGAATCCTCTTCAATGTTTCAGATCTGCCAAGAAAGCTGAATTAGAAGAAAATCAGCGAAGTTACAAGCAGAAGAAGAAAAGAAGACGCATAAAAGTCCAGGAGGATTCATCCAGTGAGAACAAGGTATTGCACAGAAATAAGTTCTGTGGCCTTGAGGATTTAGAGTGCACATGTCAAATAGTGCCTCTCCCCACAGTAAAAGGCAAACTCCATTTAAACCTGAAGAGAGTTTCTAAAAAAAGTTTAGTATGGCAGAGGGATGGGTCAGCTCTTCAAGGTGAGTGAGGGAGTCAGAACTGTCATTTTGTATGATGCTGTTAAGTCCTTTGCATGATCCTAAGAATCTCTTTGGATCCTGGCCTCTCTTTATTATTCTTGTGAAATAAATTGCCATGACTTTATTTATATGCTGCTTTTCAACACACAAAAATAAAAAAAGAGTTGCTCAAAGCAGCTTACACCAAGGAGAACAGCAATACATCACAAGATCTAAAACCTCAGGAACACTTTCATATTAACAGGAAGACTAAAATAACAAAATAATGACAGAAGTAGCAGCATACAAAAGTAATATTTCTTTGCTGTATATGTAACAACATTGAATTTAACCATGTATTTCCTGGCAGTGGCAAAAATGACTGAGCTTCACCCTGAATGTAGAAACACGATTCCTCACATTCCCCCTACTGTTTCAGCTTCTTACAAGGCTTTCTTATAATTTTGGTGTTTTCCATGGGTGACAGGCCATCACATGGGTGTTGCTTCGCCACCTATTATCCAAGGAAATAAATGATTATAGAGTTGAGTTCAAGGCTGCTTCCTGCCCTCATTCAGTCCATTCCCTGCCTTCATCTTGGGGTGGACATGTCAGCTTTACTCTTAACTTAGCCTGTCTCTCTTTGTACTTGCTGACCTTGGACCCATTGTGAGTTTTTCTAACTTGTGTGAGTGGTTGAGTGTGTTACTGTTTTTAAGCTTTCCTCCACCACTGTGTTTTAGCCTTTTGTTCCCTTGATCACATGTTTTTTAAAGTTCACCTTTATTCTGTGGTTTTTCTCCCTCCTCCTGGCTGAATTTCTCACTATTTTTTCCTCACCTTGTTTGAAGCAGCCTAGCTGCTAGCTCAAGACCTCTTTCTGTCAACCATCCCGGTCATGTCTTGGGCTCTTCACACTTGGTAAAACCAATGGTTCCTGTTGTCATACCAGCTCTACACTGCCAACTCTCAGCACAAGCTCCTTTACGTTCCTCTATCAGTTTGCCTCTCACTATTGGTAGACCTCCATTCAACATCTCAACAAAGGGGTCCCATTTCAGGATGCCAGATGCTAGTCTCTTAAGGTTTCGGGGGGGAGGTGTCCATTGCCAGGGTGAGTTTTTAGAACAACTGCATCTGTTTGCCACACCTCAGAAGCCTCAGCTGCCAAAGTTCAGTGCAAGGTAGCAAGTAGAAGGGGCTCTGGGCATCAGTGCCCTGTCAACCTAGCCCCCATCCCCTGATTATTGTTTGCCTTTCCTCCTCTTCCACTTCTGGCCCAGACTCTCAGATAGCTGTGATTGGAATGGCCTCAGTACTGCTGGTGCCATTTTGACCTGACAGCCTAGCATTTGAGTGGCGCCATCTAAAGCATTCTGAACTGCATAGGTGGTGACTACTATTCTAGCATCCCATTGACCAATAGAAGATACCAGAGCATGTGGTAAACCATTCATGAGTGGTGCTGGTTTGAAGGTATAATTCATTTAGTGCCCATCCACTGTTGAAATTCTTCTTGAAAGATGCCTCCCTGTTCTTGCCTCCTGTAGTACACTGCTTTCCATCTTAGGAGTCTTCACAAAGTGCTGCAAGCTCTCCAGTGGCTTTCTTTGAGCTTCACACTGTTCCTCTAGGAATTCTTTCCTTTAAGGTGCTCTTCCTCCTCACCATCACATCAGCTCTGTGTGTTTCCAACCTGGGACCCCGTCTACTGACTGGTTCCTTTGTGTTTTCAAAGACTCTGTAGTTCTCTGAACCGATCCAGCCTTCATTTGCAAGGGGAATTATTGCTTTTTATCACAACCCAGGGCAGTTTTTTTTGCCTTCTTTCTGTTCAAATCTAAGTCATCCCCTTGATCTTTAGAAGGCATGGCACTCCCTCACTGTCCAGTGGACCTTCAGTTGAGGTATATAGTAACTGCACAACATAATGTCTCCTTTCATCCACAATCCTTGGGCAAGAAGTTCTCTCGAACTGCAATAACTTGTTGGCTGAAAGCCTGTATTTCTTTTGGCTACAAGTCTTCTAATTTACCTGTGCTTTCAAATATCATAGCCCATTCTACTAGATCAGCTTCGGTTGTGGTGGCCTTTGCGACCAATGCCTTGCTTCAGGACATATGCAAGGCCACGGCATGGGTTACTTCAAAATCCTTTGCCCAGCATTACAAAATGGATAAATTTGCATATGCAGATGCTTCTCTTGGGTGGCGAGTTTTTACAACAGGTGCTTCTGCAGATCTAATTCATACATCCGCTGCTGCCCCCCTCTCCCAACTATTGAGAATGTCTCTTTTGGTACATTCCATGTGATGGCTTGCCACCCATAGAAAGTGGACTATTGGTCTCACCTGAATAGTCAATTTCATGGATGTCACACCACCACAACCCCCCACCCCCTTCTATGGGTGGGCTGCAAAACTATGTAGGCTCTTTCCTTTGCCAAGGTCCATTTCTCTTGTCTATTGGTTCAAGTTTGTTTGTGCATGAGTTGACTTCTCTTCTTCCAGTATTCATTTTGTTAATCATCTGCTCTGGCTCTGTGTCATTCTCGTCAGAAAATGGATTGAATGAGGGCAGGAAGCAGCCTTGAACCCTGTTTTCTGCCTTGGACAATAGGTAGTGAAGTAACACCCATTCAGGTAAGACAAATGGTTGGATTCAATTGGTAGTATCTAATAGAATATGCTTTGATACGACTGCCATATGGTAGTATTTTTTTGGTGGAGCTTCTGAAAGAATTAAATATGCCCCATGAAGAGTTTATTACTGCAACATGTTGCAATTGCTGTACTCAGAATAAATTGTAGTTTGCCACTGTTGCACGTCTTACTTTCGATTCCCTCCTTTTTGTCCTACACTGCATGCAAGCCACTTTTGAAACAGGAGGACCTTCAAAAACAGTTTGTGTTGCAACTTTGGGGTATTTAGGGTGCTTCTGAAATACACTAAGGGCATCCTTGTTTGGTAAGTGCTCACGCGAATAAGTAAATACAATTGTGGCAAACTAGCCATTCAGTTTTGAAAACTTCTTTTCTCATGCACTTTATTCAGCTACGGTTGCCGTGTATTGTATACTACTAATACTTGGCACCATTTAAAATAATATTAAGTAGCTAGGTTCATATTAGTGTCTTTATTTACAAGACTATTCATTGTTTCCTTTTTATTACAACACTCATCAATGTGCATGAAAATATGGTAGACTTTCAATCAGTATTTTCTTCTGATTTTAACAGAGTAATTCTGATGATGATGATAATGATGATTCAAAATCTCCCGGGAAAGGCAGGAAAAAAATACGGAAGATACTTAAAGATGATAAGCTCAGAAGAGAAACTCAAAATGCTCTGAAAGAAGAGGAAGAGAGAAGACGGCGCATTGCGGAAAGGGAACGTGAGAGGGAGAAGCTAAGAGAAGTAAGTTTGCTTATTATATACAAAGGGCATCAGGGATTAGTCTGTTTGTTGTTAGCTTTGAACACTTTGGTGCTGGGGAATCTTAATCCTACCAGGTGCTGGTAGTACCTTGAAAGCACTAAGAGGGAATTATAATAGAAAACTTCAGTGTGCAGTAGCATTTCCTGGGAAACTTAAAATGCTACAAACATTTTAAACGTATTCATTTATTATTATTACTCTTACCAACAAACTACTCTTTCAGACACATGCTTACGATATTTTTATTTACCCAAGCCCATTCTAGTTGATATTTTAAACAATAGGTGTACCTCCAGGTAGGGCTAGAAAAACCTGTCTGAAACTCTGAACAGCCAGTGCTAGTTGGTGTTAACTATACTGAACTAGATGGCCCAGCAGCAATTGATCTCAAGTAGCTTCCTGTGTTCCTTTGGAGGACAGTTTTCATCTGTCCTCCAGACCAGATGAATCCTTCCAAATAGCCTCCTTCCCTGTTTTGCTCATGGATGCCTTCTGCCAGTGGGGCAGCACAAGCTGGATAGTACCCATGTGTGAAAAGTACAATAATGTTCAGAAAACACTTGTTGAATGTATTTAACAACTTTAAGAAAAATTACTCTTGATTATCCAATCCTATGTAAAAACATGGAACTGTTAAGATTGTTGGTGTATCTAACTCAATGTTTTCTACACTGATTGGTAGCAGCTCATTAAGGTTTCAGACAGAAATCTCACCCAGCCCTATGTGGAGTACTGGGGTTGAACACAGCAACATAGACATGCACATCATGTGTTATTCCACTGAACTATAGCCCTTGCCCTCAACAATGAACCCTTCAAAATTATTGCAGTTCTTTTTAATGAATTTTTGTAGAGGTATATTAGAAATTTTTACACAAAATGTATACACACAAAATCACAAAACTTTGTATGAAGATAACAACTTGTCTGCTGAATGAAATGTAAATAACCATAAAAAGTACTACTGTCATCATTCTCATTATTAGAGGTAATGTCATGTTGTTTGGGACACTGGTGGCCCAGGGAGACTATGGGCTTTATTGATATACCTAATGAAGAGAAACCATGTAACATTAAAATTGGCCCATATCACTTAATTTTTATTTATTTCATAAAATTTACACCCTGCTTGATTGTAAAGCACCTTAATGACTTGCCTGTGTTGGGACAAGAGTTCATATTATATTGTCTCCCCTCCCCACCTTTTTGTACCTTTCTTTCTCTGTGGGCATAGAAAGCCCCTTCCAACGACTAGCTAGTTCCAGCTGGGCAGCAGCCGGTAACATCGCTAGTAATTTTCTATATTGAACTCCATTATTATTACCACTTCCAATCGAGAAGACAAAAATACTAGATTCTCTTAAGAGAGTTCTTTTTGGATTATCTTTTAATAATTTTTCTTTATCTTTCATCTTGTTATTTATTATGTCTCCTAGCTTGTGATTAAGAGAATCTCCTGTTGTTGCATGGAACAAATTATTCAAAGATCCAACTGTTAGCAGGTTAGAAGCAAGCATTACTGCATTCCCCAGAAACAGGATATAGATTTAACCCAGGGCACTTTCATTTCTAGCTTAACTATTATTTATGCTTTAGCTCATTTCTTTTGACCAGAGTGCCTCCATTTTCCAACACTGTCCCCATACACATATGAAGCACCAATTTGCAGTTTTCAAATGAAGTCCATGACTATGATGCAAGCCTCATTTGTTGACTTGGCATGGAACGCTCCCTGTCAAATACAAAGTAATTGTTTCATATCTTGGGATAAATCCATTTTCTTGCAACTGAAAAAGTGAGGCTTCACAATATTTATTCTGGTGTTAGCTCTGAGTAGCTTTGTTGTTTCTGTAACAGCTTGAATTAATTGCACACAAAAATCTTTCCAGGTGATAGAACTAGAAGATACACCAATGAAATGTCCAATTACAACTAAGCTGGTTTTAGATGAAGATGAAGAAACCAAAGAACCTATAGTACAAGTTCATCGTGACATAGTTACAAAGCTGAAGCCACATCAAGTTGATGGTAAGAAACTGTGGCAGGAGCTTTGCCCCCAAAACTCTGGATTTCTATGAGTTTACCTTTTTAACTGGTAGGGTTAGAGAGATGTTGCCATATTCTGTGACTGCCATTATAAGCCAAAGCAAGAAATAGTGCTTGTTTATTGCTGATTTTTTAAAAAAATAAGTAATGCAGAGTATTTATAATTTCTATAAAGATCTTTTGAAAATATTACTTCTAGGTGTACAGTTTATGTGGGATTGCTGTTGTGAATCTGTGAAAAAAACAAGGAAATCTGCAGGCTCTGGATGCATTCTTGCCCACTGTATGGGTCTGGGAAAGACCTTGCAGGTATGTTTAAAGAATTTGTTGGCAGGGATAGAACTTGCTCTTTCTAGCTTTGGTAAAAGCTGCAGCATCGTGTAAATGTAAAAGCCTTCTCCTGACTATTTGTGTGTGTTTTCCCATTGCCTTTTTTAGCCTTATTGTTATAGTTTCCATCTTAAGGCAATAATACAATATCCAGTTTATTTGTAGTCGCTGTAGGGAGAATAGCTTGGTGCAGGGAGGAGAGATTTTATTACATCTTGATACCACTCTTCCTCCAAGGGGCTCAAACACTTTCCATGAAGGGTGGGTATCCAGTTTTATCCTCTGAACAATTGTGTGAGGTAGGTAAGACTGAGAAAACAGCTTGTCCCCAAATCATCCAGTGAGCTTGATAGTTGATCTGGGAATTTGAACTTTAGCTTCCCCTGTGCTGATCCAACATTCTGTTCTGCACAATCAGAATGAATTTCAAGAACGAGAACACTTTTTCTGTGCAGCCTGAGCAGGGGCAGTCATCATTAAGAAAAGAGATAGGAATAGGCCAACATATAAGTGGACTGTCCCTGGATCAAGCGACTTTTCTTTAAGTTTTCAAGTTCTTAACCTAGCTCAAGGTGGTCATCTGAACTAGCCAGATGTTTAACTGAGAATCAATCACAGTCAGTCCATCATTTGAAAAATAAGACCTTATAGCTGTCTTACCCAAAAATGGGAACTAGACATTCCATTTTGGGACTGTAATCTTAATTTGGCACCTAGCTCATATATCTGAGTATCTAACACTGCGCGCACGCGCACACACGGTGTTACTTCTTTCGAAAAAGAACTGGCAGAAGCATAGTGTAGCTGTGTTGATTACTGGAAGAATGTTCCTTTGTTGTAGTATTACAGTCATTGAACACCTAGCCCCTAAAACAATAAAAAAAACTAAAAAAGAAAATTGAGAAATATCTCACAAAATACCATGGGCATGCACATGCCCATCACAGCTTATAGCATGAGTGATGGTTGGCTCCCTGTGATGCTTGTGAAATTTTGTTCCTTAAAGCAGTCTCAAAGCAGTAGATGTGCTATCTTAGGGAAATACTGCATTTTTTCAGGTATAACAATGCATTCTGGGAAAATGCTGTAACCTTGCAGGGGAGAAAACATAATAGGAAAATATCAGGACTGCACCCAATAAATGAGTAAAAGGCTATGCATGTGTTATTCTACAGTCAGAAGTTTGAAAGGCTGAGTGTTTGAGGGGGTATCTTTTGCCTCTCTGGGTAGCATTTCCCCCCCAACCTGAATATAAACAAAGTATACCTTTAAGTGCCAGAGTTTCCTTGGGTTTTCCTACACTAAAGTTGTACATCTTGGAATGGATTAACATGCTACGCACAAGCGCCTTTTCACACACAAACACCTGGCAGTGAATTTAACTACCTAGAGAGAGATGATCCACTAAATAGCTATATTGGAAGAAATCAAAATTAGTTGGTTGCATAGCAAATACACGCAGGAGAAAGGCTTTGATTCACACACAAACCCCTAATAAATAATTCATTATGAAAATCAGCTAGTTTTGCCCCATGTTAGTCACCACATTTTTTAAAAAGCATATTTGTAGCTGCTTTTTTCTTTATAAAAATGTGAAGACATATATTAAAGGTGATTTGTTTGACTTTCTCTCTCTTGAAGGTAGTTAGTTTTCTTCATACTATTCTGTTGTGCGACAAGATGGATTTCAGGACAGCTCTTGTTGTTTGTCCGCTGAACACAGCCCTGAATTGGTTGAATGAATTTGAGAAATGGCAAGAAGGCTTAGAAGACGATGAGAAACTTGAGGTATGTATAATTCACGATGGACTTCAGGGTACATTCAGTTTCAATCATGAAAAATTACATAATTAAGAAATGCAAACAATAACATTTGTGTTGAATGTGTGAGAAGTTTATCCATTGAGTATGAGCATGTTCAGTATTTAACATTCTGCAAGTACATTAATGGCATGTTTGGTTGGGGGTGGAAATTCAGTTTTTTTGTCTGTTTTCACAAGGTCTGTGAACTAGCAACAGTGAAACGCCCTCAAGAGAGAAGCTATCTGCTCCAAAGATGGCAGGATGAAGGGGGTGTAATGATCATAGGCTATGAGATGTACCGTAACCTTGCACAAGGGAGAAATGTGAAGAGCAGGAAACTCAAGGAAATATTTAACAAAGCACTGGTTGATCCAGGTAAGCCAGAATGTTATGCAAATTGTTTTATGTGAACTGGTCATAGTGATCAGATCGCTTTGATGCTTCCTCTGTTGCAGGGGACATTGATGGATAGGTAGTTCGTCCATTACATATTTGGAAGCAGGTATGTGTAAAGTGGGTCCCTCTAGCAGCTGGAGTTCCACACACAAAACACAACTCCGCAGTCTTCTCCAGCTTCCCAAGAGGAATTCCAACCATGCCAGAATAGAAGCATTGAAACCTCCTCTCAGAAAAGAGGAGAGGAGGTGGTCTCCCTTCTCTTTTCTACACTCCCACCCCTTCTGCAATAAAATGCTGGTGTTTGGGGGTTCTGGAGAGTGGGGAAAAGGTGTTTTTGCTTTCTGTTCTCTTAAAACATTCCTGTATAGTGCAGGAAGGGAAGTTTTTTGTACCTCATGGCATGCAACTCCCCAGCTCTAACCTCATCATCCAGGATCATTTACTTTAAGTTGTTAGGAGTTGGAAGAGGCCACGTATTCCCAGCTGCCTCCCATTCTCCTCCCCTCTCCCTTCTCAATGGGTACCTCAATATGTCATATGTCTTGGAAGCACACAGTCTTCTTGTCAGACTGTTTTGGGGTTTCATATTAATTCCTGGAACAATGCTGCAGCAATACATTTGGTGTTTCCTATTCTGTTGATCGTTTATATATGATTGGTTGTTTATTTCTGTATTATGATGATATTTCTGCATAGTATCTTAGATTGAGGATTGAAATCTTTCTCTGTAGTCAGTTGTATTTAATCCTTACTTCTTCTGTGACTATATTGTTTTTTTAAACTTTTTTAAATTCAAAACTAGAACAAAATATATTAACCAGAAACATATCATCCTTATTCCCCCCCATTTTTCCGCCCTCCCTCCACCCTCCCACACAAAACCCCCCGACCCCCACCCCCCTGGCTTCCCTCAGTTCCAGTCTTTGATTTTTCTAAGAATGCTGTTTTCTGCATGTTACACAGTTGTATAGATCCTCAAACTATTTAGCTGATTATCATCAATAGAAAGGTTTGTGAATGTTTATTCAAAGCCAGCCAAGGAGTCCAGTTCGCTTTGTTGCATCTTCAAATACTTTGTAAAGGGTTCCCATTCATCTTTAAAGTCACAGTTATCCTTGTCCCATAGCTTATATGTCAATTTTGCCAGTTCTGCATAGTCCATCAATTTTTCTTGCCATGATTCTTTAATTGGGGTGTCTTCAGTCTTCCATCCTTGTGCTATTAGAACTCTCGCGGCCGTTGTTACATACATGAAGATGTTTTTCAGCTTTTTTGGCAGATCTTTCTCTACAGTCCCTAGCAAAAATGCTTCAGGTTTTTAAACAAATGTTAAATGGAACATTTTCTTCAATTCATTGTATATCATTTCCCAAAAAAATTTAATTACCATATTTTTTGCACCATCACTCACTTTTTTCCTCCTAAAAAGTAAGGGGAAATGTCTGTGCATGTTATGGAGGGAATGCCTACAGGTGGCATGCCTACGGATTTTCCTCCTCTAAAAACTACGTGCGTGTTATGGTCGGGTGCGTGCTATAGAGTGAAAAATACGGTACATTACAATCCCACCACATATGATAAAATGTCCCTTCCTTTTCCTTACACTTCCAACATATATTTGAACTAGTTTTGTACATTTTCCCTAACTGCACTGGTGTTGTGTACCATCTGTACATCATCTTCATGTAATTCTTCTTCAGTAGGGAACAATCTGTAAATTTTAAATCAGTTTTCCATAATTTTCCCCAATCTTCCATCATAATGCTGTGATCTACATCTTGTGCCCATTTAATCATAACTGATTTTAACTCTTCATCTTTCGTCTCCCATTCTAATAATATGCTGTATGCGGCCTTCAGTAATTTCACTTTCCCTTCGATCACTTCCATTTGAAACCTAGATCTTGTGTAACTGAATCCTTTCTTGCTGTCTTTTTTATGTGTTTCATATAGTTGTCGTTAATGTGACCAACTCTGAAAGTGGTCTTTGATCTCATCGTAATCTCTTAATTTCCATTTTCCATCTTGGTCTGTGACTATATTGTATCTATATGCATATGCATTCCTGTGTACCAAGGGAGTCCCCTGAGTATGTAGGAACTGTTGCCTTGTTTTCATTTTTGCTTTAGTCCCCCCCATATATTTGTCTACCCTCCCTCCAATACTTGAAAGGCTGCCTTGTCACCTAATGACTGCCCATCTACTAACATGTACCTGTAGGGTAAGGGTAATGTACGGAATAGATCTGCCAGGTGGCATTTTCTTTCACCTTGGAGAAATAGTTAAATTCAAGACATAGTTTTGTACAAGGTGTTGCCCATCTTGCTAACTTGACTTGGATATTGCTGAAAATTAATTATGGAGAATGATCATTTTTACAGGATTATAGTCAAGATTGACTTTATTTCTAGGGTCCAGTAGATGGTGGTATAGCCTGGAATTATAAATGCATATTGAGAAATACTGCTAGAGAGAATCTGCATGGTTAATTTCTTGGGACACTTTTCAAGGGAATTGCTACAGAACGCTGTGTTTTGTAATCCGTGGACCAACACATAATGTTCAATAAGCTGTTGGATCAATTGATGTTGTTTCTTGCACATATTTATTAAAGTTGTGATTATCATGTTAATCTTGCCTTTCTGGCCTATAGGTATTAAAAACTACCAAAGGTAATCCTCTTGTTTTCTATTTGAGAAAATGCCAAGGAAAATCATAGCTAGTATGAAATACCCAGTAATCTTCTACCACGTTCAGGAGGGTCACATTATGCACATTGAAAAGCTGTTGCACATGAGCAATTCCTTGAAAGATCTTACTTTGAGCACAGAGGTGCCATGGCAGTACAGGGCAGATAGAGAACTTGCCCTTTCTAGACTGGAAATGCATATCTTCCATCTGGACTCTCATGAGTGAATGTTTTGCCACATCAAAAGACTGCACATATGCTTCCCTTTTGTAGGTGTAGTTACCTCTGGATAAAAGTAGAAGTGGCAGTTAAGCTGCATGTTTGTAAGAAGCCTGTCAAGTATTTCTTCTTGGTATCAGCAAGATTCAAAGTAGGCTCTCCCCCCGCCCTTTTTTAAACCAGGCCCTGACTTTGTCATATGTGATGAAGGACACATACTGAAAAATGAAGCGTCTGCTGTTTCTAAAGCTATGAATTCTATAAGATCCAGGAGGAGGATCATTCTTACAGGAACTCCATTGCAAAACAACCTCATAGAATGTAAGTACAATTTGAGTTGGTTGCTGATGACCTGAATGGGTTGGGTATCATCCCTCAACACATGATGGAGGCAGGAGAGCAAAGAACTCTGGGAGCCAGGTGCAGTCCCCTCAGTTTTTTCTTTCCTGCCTGAACATCTATTTTATATATGTCTGTGATTTCAGTAAAATAAAATTTAAAAGCTTTGTTAATATGAGGAAGTGAGTATTCCTGAAGCCTTGATTTTCTTCTTCCCTTGTAATCCTCAGGTGTATTCAGTTATTTCCTTTGTCAGTCACACTCAGAGTAGATCCATTGAAATTATTAAACTTTACTAATTTAGGTCCAGAAAACTTACTGAGTCTACTATCAGCAAAACTTGGTTGGATACAGTGCATGGTGTTTTTTTAAACATGTGCCTGTGTTTCAGCTGTTATTACCTACACAGTGTTACCACATTTATCAAATTATCAAATATGCCTGAGAGAACTTTGCTTAGGTTTATTCCCTGTCTTTGTTTAGCAATAGACTTCATGTGATTTAATATGGGTATGCAAGCATTGTATACTTACCAGGTTTGACATAGTCTGCAAAGCTACAATCCTGTGCCATGGAAGGACAGGATTCAAATGATCTTTTGTTGGGTCCCAATATGCATGCTCACGCACATATACTCTATTTGTCCCACAGAGTGTGCTCTTCCCTGTGTACACAACTCCTGCCTCTGCAATATGCAGACCTGAGGTCTTGAAAGGAAGGGACTGGAGTGCGTCACCTGCTCATAAATGGTGTGACTGAACTGGATGCCTGGAAGAGCTTTGCAGTAGGCAGAGAGGAGAGTCCTAGCTGGACCCTCCAGGGCTTCCAGAAGTATTAATGTATGCAGAGTACAAGATTGTAGTGCCCCTTTAAACAGTTTTCTTTTGAACTTGCTTGCCAAATAGGAAATGACATGGTGCATTTAAAAAATATTTCATGGGAGCTATTTTGGCATAGAAACCTATATAGCTAAAGTTTAATTTGTGGTTCCTTAGATCACTGCATGGTTAACTTTATCAAGGAGAATTTGCTTGGGTCAATTAAGGAGTTCCGAAATCGATTTATAAATCCCATCCAGAATGGTCAGTGTGCGGACTCTACCTTGGCTGATGTCAGGGTGATGAAAAAACGTGCCCACATCTTGTATGAAATGTTAAATGGATGCGTTCAGGTATGTGAATCTTTGTTTTTTATTGCCTTGCAATCTGAGAGTTAAGGATTACTTAACTTTTAACAGCTTTTGAATTCTGTTTATTTGTATTGACCAAAGATACACTTCTTTCAGTTCTTTAATGACAATAGGAATTTGCAGAAAAAAGAAGAAAAATCACTGTAAGTTGTTACAGTGGCTTATAAAGGAGTATAGGATGCAGCTTTATGATTTACAGAATCAATAGTAAAACATTCTGAGAGGAAAGGGATGTAATTACAATGTGTTCCATTGCCTAAAACAAAATAATTACAATTTTTTACTTATTTCATAAAATTTATACACTGATTGATTGTAGAAAACCTCAAAGAGTTTACAAAAAGAAAAAAGAAAATTGAGTAAAAATAACATTATTTTAAATACTGTACATACAAAAGTTAAAATACCAAAACAGATTAAAATTACCTCAATGCATCTGGGTAGGCTTGTCTAAACAGGAAAGCTTTTAGCAGACACCAAAAAGGGTTCAATGGGCAGGGAGTTCCAAAGTGCAGGTGTTGCTACACTATATGATTGGTGAGTTCTTAAAATTGTGGAACAGGTATTATGTGGCAGCTGTAGTAGTGCCAGTTCTGCCAATCAAAGTGGGCACATGTGGGGTGGGATAATTTCATACTTAAACTGCCCCTGGTTCTTAGGGGTTTTATATCCTAATAATAACACCTTGAATTTGCTCTGGTAACAAAGCTACATTCAGTGCTGATCTCTGAGCACAGATGTTATATCCTGACAAGGCCTCGCTCCTGTCATCAGTCATGCTGCAGCATTCTGCACTAATTGCAGTTTCCAGATCAAGTGCAAGAGAAGTCCAACATAGAGCACTTCAGTAATCTAGTCTTGGAAGTAACCAATGCCTTAACTACTGTAGCCAGGTCCAGGAATGACTGTAGCTGTTGAACCAACTGCAGTTGGTAAAAGGAACTTATAGCCATTGAGGTTATCTGAACCTCCAGTGTCAGAAGCACTTCAAAACTGAACTTCAGGGAGAGTGTAACTTCATCCAGAGTAGGCAACTGATCAATTTCTCAGATAGAGGAGCTGCTTGCCCATAGTTTCTCCATATTGCCAGGATTCAATCTCAGCTTGTTTTCCCTCATCCATTTCACTACCATGCCCAGGGACCGCACTGCCTCTCCTGATCCAGATGTTATGGAGTAGATGTCAATCATCAGGGCAAACCAGGGTGACACAGTCTCGTGGCCAGGCCTGAACCCAGATTGGAATGGAGCTAAATAATCTGTGTTCTCCAAGAATGCCTCCAGCTGCCCCACCACAGCGCTATCCACCACGTTCTCTAAAATGGGGGTGGGGGTATTGGAAACTGGCCAATAGCTGCTCCAATCCAAACGGTCCAGGGCTGATATGTTTAGGAGCAGTTGCACCACTGCCTCTTTCAGTGCAGCAGGGTCCACCCCTTCACTAGCAAAGTGTTCACCACACTCTGCACCCAACGAGTCAGCCCACCTCTGCTGGATTTAGTAAGCCAGGAGGGACAGGGGTCACGGGGGCCGCAAGGTCGGACACATGGCTGCCAGCAAAAAAAATTATGTGATAAACATTTGAATTCTGGATTGTGGATTCCTACATTATAAATGTCTTTCACCAAGTTTTGTTTTCTGTAGTTTAGATTTTGGAGCTGTCCAATGTTTAGTTGGTTTGCTAATTGTACTATTCTATAACAATATTCTATGGCACATTAAAAAAATACTTACAATTTACAGAGGAAAGATTATACAGCATTAACAAAGTTCCTGCCACCAAAATATGAATATGTTCTGGCTGTTAGAATGACTCCTCTTCAGTGTAAACTGTATCAGTTCTACTTGGATAATCTAACAGGTAAGTGATCATCCATTATCACTTTGGGCTTTATTTTATTTGATTCCATTGCATCCTTGAGCTCTATGTGTGGATGCAGGTCTAACTGTCCAGAGGCTTTTTGCTGTGACAGTTTTGTTAAATTTCTACACTAGCCTCCAAAGTTTAGACCCTGCATGTGAAATGCTGCAGTTTGTGTGTTCAGCTGGCATTCAGGGGAAAGGCTGCTTTGAAAGTTTAAGTCAGTTATTGTCGTCAGATTTTAATACCAACAAGGAGCTGATCCATGGGATCTTGTTGACGGTGTGTGGTGTAGAAGTGGATTTGCACTTATTCGCTGGACCCATAGGTAGCCCATGTGGGCAGCGCATTTTGATAATGCCTATTAGACAGGAGTGCCTGGCATGCTCTGGTCCATGGGGTCACGAAGAGTCAGACACGACTAAATGACTAAACAACAAATTAGCGAAAAATTGAGTGTGTGTAATCCAGGATTGCACGATCAAATCCCACAAGGCAGTGAAAGGTGGTCAAGGTATGAAAAACAACTGGGTATGTTTAGCCTGGAGAAGAGAAGACTGAGGGCTCTCACACAGCAGAACTTTGATCTTCTGCCCCAGAGGACAGGGCTAGGTCTAATTGGCTTAGGTTATAGGAGAAAAGATTTTAGTTGAACGTGAGAATATATGTCTTGTCAGTAAGAGTAGCTTGGCAATGGAACCAATGAGCTAGAGAAATTGTGGGATTTCCCTGGCTAGAGGTCTTCAAGCAGAGGCTGGACAGTCATCTGTTAGGAATACTCTAGGTCAGGATTAACTATATTGGGAAGAGCATTGAACTAGATTGTCTCCAAGGTCCTCTTCAGTTTATTGGGCTTGGAGAATTCTCTGTTTAAGGGCTGCCTTAGATCATACTGAACTTCCATTCATATGGGTTTCTCTACCCCTTGTAGAGTATATCTCTATATTATATTTGGACTCCTTTATTGTTGTGCTGGTGATTGCGTATGAATGTATCCAAGACTGGTAGTCTTCCTGCACTGTTGCTGCCACTGATGGGAGAGAGCGGAATGAAGGAGAGGAAATCTTTCTCCATTCCCCCTCTCCCTCTGCCAGCAAGGTTGCGGGGGCGGGGGGGGGGCAGGAATGGGACAAGCTCTAAAGTGATGCAGGGTTGGGGTTGAGTCAACTTTTAAGGGCATGAGAGGAGGGGGATTGGAAAAGCTATGGGGGAAGGTGGGCTGAGCAAAGTGTGAGAAGAAGACGTTTTTTGGGACATGCTCTGAGGGAATGGGGGGAAGGATATTGTGGGAATGAGCTGTGAAAGGGAGCTGCGAAGGGAATGTTTTTGTAGGGCAAGGTGTAAAGGGAGGAGTTGAGATGTTAAGTGAGGGAGGATTGGATGAGGTGTAGTGGGAGCAGGGTTGGCCAGCAGTGTTAGAAACTGTGATAGAAAAGCTAGGAACCAAATGGCTTCTGGGACCTGAGTTGTGGGTGCCAAAACAGAATGTCTAGTTGCCACTGGGGGGACAGCAACACTTTATGTTTATTATTGTGATAAGCGTGAATTGATAAGCAATTCATATAAGTGACACATTGTTAATATCACATTTTTAGTCGAAATTGTTAATACATGTTTAATTTGGTGCTGACAATAAAAAATTGGTACCATACTCCAGTTTTCCAAGTGCTCTACTCTTTTTTTGTTAAACTCCTTAACATATTGTCTATCCTTAACGTATACTTTGAGGCTTCAAAGCACATACATGTCAGTAATCCTTGAGCATCAGCCAGGCGCAAAAAAATGGCACCCAGTCTTTTGCGGGTGCTCACAAATGGAGAATCTTTAGGCGCAAAATGCTCCTGGCACCCTGCTAATTTCAAACCCTCTTGGCCAGATGTAAATGTAGGGGGCTGGCAATAAGGGTGTGTGGGCTGGCAGGGCTGGTGAGCAGTGTGAGGAGGAGTGGCAAGCCCAAGTACACCAATATGCACAATTCAGAAGGAATTGTTACATTTTTAAGATGTTGGGGAAAAAATACCACCAATATACTGAATGTTGCACAAGCTAAAGTATTTTTATAGCATTTACATACACAGAAATTCTGGAAATTTTTGAGGCACTGTAGATAAGCTAATTCATTATTTCTTTGGGTTTATTTCCATAATCTCTGCCACTTAGGGAATTGTTAAATAGACATTTTATGTTGTTGTCTGAATTAGATTTATATCTCACCAGTGTTGCTGCTTAATATCCAGAAAAGCTATACTTCTTTGATCATTCTTGAATAACAATTATAGACCACAGCTTAAAATGTTAAGGTCCAATAATTTAACATTTCTGATATTTAAAAACACCATGTTTATAGACTTTCTCAGAATTTGCAGCCCAGACGAACATCAGTCAGGGATACAGTATTCAGTTTTATATTTTTAAACCAGGTTTAAGTCCATAGAAATAAAGTTGGCATTTAGTTAAGATCGTAAGAAGAGCTTTCTGGATCAGGGCAGTAGGCCTTCTAGTCCTACTAATGAGCCCTACTCTCACAGTGGCCAACCAGATGTCTGTGAGAATCTTGCAAGCAAGACCGAAGCGCAAGACCCACCCACCCTGCATGGTTTCCAGAAACTGGAATTCAGAAACATATAAGCTCCAAAACTTACTGCCAAGAAATTAAACAGCATGTGTGTAGATATGTTGTTACAGATTATCAAATATGAGGAACAGCAGGAATTACAAAATTTTAATAATTTAAGCAGAAGAAAATGTTGATTCAGTCATTTAAATAACTTCCTCTGTTATAAGAGATGTTGTACCTGTGGAAGAAGCTTGTGTGAGAGAGAGGTGGGCAGGAGAGATGTATTTTTAAGAAGCAAATGCTAATTTGGCTAACTTCAAGTATGAATATTTTAGTTTAACTTCTGAACTCTATTGTCAGGTGTCGGCAACAGCAGTGAAGGTGGAAGAGGCAAAGCTGGAGCTAAGCTCTTCCAGGATTTCCAGATGTTAAGCAGAATTTGGACTCATCCTTGGTGCTTGCAGCTGGATTATATTAGCAAAGAAAATAAGGTAAATCACATCTGTCTGTCTCTAATGAAAGTTTCAGTGAGACATGCCAAGTCCTAGACAGTTTCACTGAAATAATTGAAATTTATTTTCGGTATGACAGCTAGTTATTTTTTTAATATATTTTAGTTGTAACTGTTAACCACTTTTCCTATGTGTTTTGTCATTACTAAAATAGTCCCTTACTCACCCTGGCATTGTTCAGATGAGTGAACAGATGTTCTAAACGCTTAAGCAAGGACAGCTAAACTTCTCTTCTAAAAATATGCAATTTGGTGTTTTGCTCAGGGCTATTTTGATGAAGATAGTCTTGATGAATTCATAGCTTCTGATTCTGATGAAACATCAGTGAGCTTAAGCTCTGAGGAAGAGATCAAGTAAGTTGAATTGTTCCACATAAACTGTAAATGTATTTACTCTGAGTTGGTGAAATTTGTGTTTGTTGTAGAATTACATTTTTTAACAACAACATACAACCCCCCCCCAAAAAAAAACCCACCCTAACTTTGCAAGTTTTTTTTTATAATAATGAGCATCAAATGTTATGCTTATAGGAAGAAAAAATCGAAGGGTAAAAAAAAGGAGAGTAGCAGCAGTGAAAGTGGAAGTGATAATGATGTTGAAGTGATTAAAGTCTGGAATTCAAGATCTCGTGGAGGTGGAGAAGGAAACATAGAAGAACCAATAAACAATCCTCCAGCCATTGCAAAGTCAGATGAAGGTAATGAGGGATTTCAGCTAAATTTCAAAATTTAGACACCATTGCAGAGGAAATTCACCATACAGGACTGGAGTAGAAATGATAATGTTGGGTGTCCTACTCTGAAGCTCACTCAAAATATCAGCTTATTATACAGTGGTATCTCTGGTTATGTACTTAATTCATTCCGGAGGTCCGTTCTTAACCTGAAACAGTTCTTAACCTGAGGTACCACTTTAGCTAATGGGGCCTCCCGCTGCTGCTGTGCTGCCGGCACACGATTTCTGTTCTCATCCTGAAGTAAAGTTCTTAACCTGAGGTACTACTTCTGGGTTAGTGGAGCCTGTAACCTGAAGTGTTTAAAAAATGTTTTAAACAAAGTAAATCAGTCAATCAAAAAGTACTTATACTTTTCTGGGTAAAGCCCTCCCTCAGTAAAAAATATTATTAGTTTGATGTAAGTTATGCTTCCAAGTAATTTACATCACTTGAAACACTTGCAGTGCAGGCCCATAATGATCTTCCTTTCATCCATACACCTGTGATTCATCCTGCTTTTTAAACACTGCCTTTCAGCTCTCAGAAGAGCCCACAAAGCTTAGATTAAATCAACACAATCAAAATAAATTGTAAATCATACAAAATCAGAGAGGATTAAAACAAGCCAGTAGTCGCATAAAGGTAGTAGTTTCTGTTTCTGGGGGTGAATGGTTTTTGAAAGGCAGCTTATGAATCTGTTAAAGTAAAATAAACCAAAGGTGGAAGAGATATGTTTTTACTACCTTCCTGAAAGCAATTAATGGGGAAATCATTCTGATTTCTCTTGGGAGGTTTTGGTGCGATGACTGAAAACATTGCACCCCATATTCTCAGTGGCAAAACACATAGCAAAGCTTCTAAGGGTGAATGCAGTTTGTAGACTTGTTCATGCAGGAACAAAAGGTCCTTCAAATATCTGGGTTCCATCCATCTAAGAATTTTATTGGTATTAAGTAGCATTTTGAATTGGGCCTGGAAATAAACTGGAAACCAGTAAAAATTAAACAGGAATGTAGTGTCATAAGGTCCAAAAAGCTGACACCAGAGATTAGTTGGGCTGTAACTTTTGAATATTTTTAAAAGGCAACCTGAAGTAGAATGTGTTAAAACGGCATTAAAGCAATTTTTTAAACTTCCAAAAGGACTGCTTGAGAGAGGATTGCAGAACTGTCCCTTGCAGCTCCTCTCCCAGCTGAACTAACATTTGATAATTGCAGGTTCTCTAAGGAGAAAAATGTCTAAAGGTGACAGATTGTATGGGAAGGGCTGGTGGGTAGGGTAAAGTTGCATACATCCCCCCTCCTTTGCACCCCTTTCCTCATTAGAGATACTATTTAGTATGTGCTTGGGACAGAGATATGTTTAATTTTTCAGATCAGCCAGAATCCCTTCTAGTTTGGCTTTGAGACTGGAAGTGCATTAAAATTGAAGATGTAATCAAAGCATCCAAATGACAAAAAGCAGTCTGTAGCAGGTACCAATGATTGCAGGTACCAGGGAGCCAAGCAGATTATGAGGATAGATAGGGACAGTTCAGTGAAAAGCAAGTCTGGGAAGGTATTTTGGGGGGGGGGCGTTATGGCCCATGTATATGCTTTTAGGATGCTTTTGTGATCAAGGACTGCAATCTAAGGCCTACTTTCTAGGAAGTGCATTCTGTTGAACTCAGTCTGCCAGTCAGGCTGGAGAGATGTATTAGGTTGGGAGCATTACAAACAATTCTGTCTTAAAAGTAGCTGGAAGGTCTAGAGCTCTCACTTATATGAACTCTGTTTCCTCTCCCCACACTATCCAGGGCCTTAAGATGTTACTTGATTGCTGTATTCCATATGCCCTTTGCATTCCATACAAGGGAGGTATGGAGCATAGCAACATGAGAACTGGCCTTTTCAGTGGTGACTCTTTACATGTGGAATGCTTTCCCCAAGGGTGCCATCCTTATTGGTTTTCAGACATCAGGCAAAAAAAAATTCACCCAGGCTTCTTACCTTTAATTTGGAGAGCATTAGGTATATTTGTGCCTTATTTCTTGATCATCTTATTGTGTATATCTTATTTTTAGCAAGTCAGTGTTTTGGACTACCAATAAGATAATACAAGGAAAGAATTCTGTGGAAGAGCATGCTGCAATTAGTAACCATATCAAAGTTTTCAAGACTCCCCCCCCCCCCCCAAAAAAAAATTAACAATAAGTAACACACGACTGAAGTAAAATTAAAGCCACAAAATTAAAGCCACATATTTATAGTACTGCCTAAAGAATGTAGGTAACATAAATAAAGTCAACCCTGGAATCTTGTATCAATCTTATAAATTTGTAGATGTATTTGTGTATGTGTTGGAAGTCATCACAGTGAAAGGAATGCAGATAGCTAATGGACCTCCAGTATTTTCCAATTTTAATTCAATTCAGATCTAAAGTTTTGCATCAAAATAGTTCCACAGTCCAAAAGGCATCACAGCTAACTCTGAGTGCAACAGTTAAACCTTTCCCTCACTAAATTTTAAATAGCAGACCTCCTCCCAAGCTAGGAAATAGCTGGTAAGGAAACAGCTAGCTACTTTAAATGAATTCAGATCTCCAGGGTCTGACGGGCTGACCCAATGGTACTAAAGGAGTTTGTAGATTAACTCTTGTAGAGCTTGTAGAGCCTGTCTATTTATGGCCAGACTGCAGACTGGGGATGAGCAAATGTCCTAAAAGGGGAAGAAAGGACCCAAGTTTCTATTGATGAGCTTGAAGTTGAAACCAGAAAAGGTTATAGAACAGATGATTAAATGCTCACTCTGTGAGCACTTAGAAAAGGATGCTGTGGTTACTAAGACCCAGCATGTGTTTCTCAAAAAACAAGTCATGAGTCAACAGTATGATGCAACATCCAGTTTGCAGACAACATCAAACTGTGAGGGGCACAGAAGACAGATTTGGGATTCAATATGATCTTAACAGATTGGAGACTAGGTCCAAATGAACAAAATAATTTTCAACAGGGGCAGATGTAAGGTTCTATACTTAGGTAGGAAAAACCAGCTTTAAAATTATAAAATGGGGGACATTTGGCTTGCCAGTAATGGCATGTGGAAATGTTCTACGGGTCTCAGTAGGTAACGAGCTGAACATGAGTCAGTGTGATGCAGCAGCAAAAAAAGCTAATGCTGTTTTGGCTGCATCAACAGAAGTACAGCATCCAGATCAAGGGAAGAAATAGTACTATTCTCTTCTGCCTCGGTCAGACTACACCTGGGGCACTGTGTCCAATTCTGGACACCACAATTTTAAAAGGCTAGAATGTATGCTGAGGAGTGGGAGACCAAGATGATCAAGGGTCTGGAAACCAAGCCTTAAGAGAAACAGTTGAGGAAGTTGGGTATGTTTCACCTGGAAAAGAAGAGGCTAAGAGGAGATATGATAGCTATCTTCAAACATCTAAAGGGCTGTCACATGGAAGATGGACCAAGCTTGTTTTCTCCTGCTGTAGAGGGTAGGACCCAAAGCAATGCTTCAAGTTGCAAGAAAGGAGATTCCGACTAAACCATCAGGAAGAACTTTGTGAGAGTAAGAGCTTTTAGACAGTGGAATGGACTCCCTTGTCTCCCTCAATGGAGGTTTTTAAGCAGAGGTTGGATGGCCATCTATCTTGAATGCTTTAGTTGAGATTCCTGCATTGTGGGGGTTTGACTAGATGACCCTCAGGACCCTTCCAATTCTACAATTCTGTGATTCTATGAATTTGGCATAGGGATATCTTAGCCTTTGAGTTCCTTAAAAAGAGCCTTCTGGGGGTTTAGGATGGGTAGTGCACCACCCCCACTTAGTGAGAAGCCTCCACTGATATACAGAAATCAGAACAGAAAATCATGTCATTCTTGGAGCTAACATCAGTTGTGAACAGTGGGAGAGTGGTGGAAAAAGTGTGGTGGAGAGAAGTGTGCAAGCCCCCCCCCCCCCGGCCAGCACAAGCTGGCAGGGCTCGGGGAATATTGCCTTCTCCTGAAGAGTTTTAAGCCCTTGCTGTAATTTGAGTTTCAAATGTTGTAAATGGTTCATGTTTCAGAGGAAATGACAGCTGTGTAAGCTATCCAGATATTGTGTTAACTATATTAGAAAACATAGTTGGTAAGCAATTTTGAGTTAAAACCAACACTGAAGACGCTTCCCTTTTGCTTTTTTGAAATGCATTTCTTGCAGTCAAGGCTGAAAAAGTATTGCTTACTGATTTATGCCTTATGGAAAATATGTCAATAAAGCAGACATAAATACATGATGCAAAACATACAGCATTACTGCTACAGGCATTTAAAACAGGATAAAAGCAGCATAAAATCTACCACAGTAGAAAAAAAACAAACCCTGAAAAATGTCTTAAGATACATATATTAAGGTGTTTATTTGTTTTTGTATTTTCCCGTAGGTAAAACTGCTTCCAACCCAGGCAGCCCAGCTCCAGATTGGTACAAGGATTTTGTCACTGATGCGGATGCTGAAGTGTTGGAGCATTCTGGAAAGATGGTGCTTCTTTTTGAAATTCTTCGCATGGCTGAGGAGCTCGGGGATAAAGTGTAAGAGTCATTCTGGAAAGATTCCAAAGCATTTGTGCTTTAAGCAGACTTGGCTTTTTAGAATTGGCAGATTTAGATTAACATTCTGCTTTATATCCATAAAGTATGTCAATGATACTGAGAGTGGTGAGGCAAATTGGTGTGCTAGTTAAATTGAAAACTAGTAACTGTTCCTCTTTTTCTCAACTTTCAGCTTAGTGTTCAGCCAGTCTCTGATATCACTGGATTTGATAGAAGATTTTCTGGAGTTGGCAAACCGGGACAAAGAAGAAGACAAACCTATTATATATAAAGGCAAGTGTAGAAATGCAAGATTTACAGAACTAGAAGAATTGTGAGACAAGTCATTTTTTAACTACAGTGGTACCTCAGTTTACAGTTGTACCTCGGTTTACGAACTTAATCCCTTCCAGAAGTCCATTCTTAAACTGAATCTATTCTTATACTGAGGCGCGCTTTCCCTAATGAGGCCTCCTGCCGCCGCCGCCGCCTTTCTACCATCCAGCTTCCATTTTTAGACCGAGGTAAACTTCACAAACTAGGACACTACTTCCGGTTTTGTGGAGTTTGTAAATGGAATAGTTCGAAAACAGGGCTGTTCTTAAACCGAGGTACCACTGTACTGTTTAATTTTTGGGTTTTAAACAAAAAACTCTGGTACTTGGAGACTTAAGGAAGTTCAACAGGAGAAAGGTTTTGATTTTACAGAACAAAATTGGTAAAACAAAAGATGTATTAGGAGATAGGATTCTTTCAAGAAACTGTGTGTGTTATAGGCTTCTAAACAAGGTGGTAAACACACAGCTTCTTTTGCTTTCAGCTTATTAAGATAACTGTTTGAGTGTTATAGCTTAGGTCTTAATACTTGGGCTCCAAGGTGGTACTTTCTGTCACTTTCCCAGTCTTCTATAAATCACAACCCAGAGGCTCCTCTAGCATTATAACAGATCAAGGGATCACCATACCTCTCCTAACTGGTTTGGGATTCTTCTCTTTCTCTAAACGTTCTCTTCCCTTCTTACTGTATTGAGATATAGAGTGTTCTGTAACAACTCTTCTTTTCCTGTCCCCAATTGAGCTTCCCAGTTATTCTTCTTTGGCTGCAGATATTTTCCTCAGAGTGGATGTTCAGGAGGTATACTCCTATCAAGCTGAATGCCAAGAACGGCATCTCTCGCCTCGAACTGCTTTTCTTTTCCCAAAGTGCTAGCTCAACCCCTCTGTGGCTAGCTGTACCCACAGCCAATCAGAGAGAGGCTCCAGCTAAGCGCCATGGTGAAATTCTGCTGCACTGCACAACTAAACTCTGGTCTAGCTAAGCTTTCCATCACAACTTTGTTTGTTTGAAGCATGCATATCATGCAAGCAGCTCGCATTTGAATTTGTAAACCATATCATTATTTACTAAGTTCATTCATAATAAATGTTTTCCTAATCCTGCTTATCTTCCAGTAGGTTTCATCTGACTCCTATTCTCCAAAATAGGGTCAGTCAAATTTGAACAGTTTGCCTTTCTATCCCCTCCATAAATGTGAATTCCTTAGATTGTGAAAATATATCTTACTGGACTTTGTAAACACATCTTCCAGGGATACAGTGTGGGCAAAAGATTTGGATTATGCTGCTCAGCAGGGAAGCTAAAGAGGAAGAACTATGGGGGTCGGTAAGCATAAGACTTGCCCCTATGTCTTATTCAATTGATATATAATAATTTGTTTTTTTTAATTCCTAGGTGAAGGGAAATGGTTCAGAAATATAGATTATTATCGTTTAGATGGCTCTACAACAGCACAATCAAGAAAGAAGTGGGCTGAAGAATTTAATGATGTAACGAATGTCAGGTAAAAGAAACCCACACCCTTTTCTGCTTGTAAATTTATATAAGTGATAAAAGAATATCTTTTTCAACCATTGTAATCTAGGAAATGAGCCCTGTGAAGCAGTCATTAGTGCTGGGGCACCCTGTTCCCCCAAGCTAGTTTATAAATGCCACAGACTGCAGTCCTATACTCACTTGCCCAGGAAAAAGCCTGTGTTGCATTGTCAGGAAATAAAAACAGTGGGAATTAACTTATATGTAAGTAGGTTTAATATTGAATCTTTAACCGCAGCAAGTCATACTTGCTTTATTTATTTCATAAAATTTATATAGCGCTTGATTTTTTTAAAAAACGCAACTCTCAAAGTGCTTTACAAAAAGAACAATTTACCTGTAAAAAAATTATAACCTTCAAACAGTAATTAAAATCGACAATAAGCAAAAAACTAGATTAAAGCACATTTTAAAAACAGTTAATTTCAATAAAATATTTTGAAGAGTTAATACATATTCTGACTTTGGCAAGAATCTCCTTTGGCACCAGACCACGCAGAAGGCGGGAGAGCAGGAAGACCCAGTTGGGCTAGGCCATCCTACTACACCCAGAGTCCATGTGACTGTTCTGAGCCAGCCTGTCATTGGCTAGTGGTGCGCGGTTGGTTTGGAGTAGACCTAAGACATAATTCCCTGCCTACCCCTCTTATTAACTCCTGGGTCTTTTATTGGGGATCCATCCTAGGCATTGTTCAGTGCCTTTTGACTTCCTCTCCCTCCTTTGGGGGCCTTGGGGTAAGGGCCAGTTCAATTTGGGGGCTGATATTCCTGCCACACACTCTAGTTGACAACAGTGGGTGGAGCAGCATACACTGTCTACTTTCTTAGTAACTGTCCTTCCCCAATAGCCATCTTAGCAACAGCAGCAGTCCAGCACTCTGAGACTTGGGGTTGCTGTTCCTGCTGTTCCATCTGCCATCAATAATGTTGTGGCCTATTTTAACCCACTCAGTTCCTGTCCCTGTTTTTCTGGCCTTGCTTTGGTCCCTGCTGCTGGCATAATTAGTTACTTCCTCTCTTAATGAGAAGAAATGCATTTGATGTTTGGATTTCATTTAAGAAAGGGCTTCTGTCACTACGTTAAAGGCTTCCTGTTGAGTTAGTTGATTATAGGTTTGTGCTGACACATGTCCCGCCCTTTGATGTGACAAACTTGCTGTTCACAACACATGTGTGGATTTAGACAATTTTTGACCATAGTAAGGTAAATCTCTCTAGTATTCCTCTGCATGTGAGTGCTGAACTAAAAAATAAATAAATCCTTATGTAATCCTTATTGTAACTTGCAGTTTCGCAGGGAGACTGGGAGCGTTCAACCCCCATGCTTTGTTCAGTTTTGATCAGGCTTACCTATGCGGCACTAACACCACCCCCAATGTTTGTTTCTTATTGCATTTGTTAGGTGTTTTATACAAAAAAGAATTGCCTTAAAGTGACATAACATCAAAATAAAATACAGATAAAAGAAAAGGGAAAAACCCAGATAAACGAGTTTAGTATCGTGTGCACGTAGTCTGTTTCACTAAATATAGTTTTCCAAGATTTCAAGTGTTCCACTCAAACTTTTTGATGTATATTTATAACTGTCTTCCACAGAATGTAGATTGCTTCAGCAGTATAACCAACAATCACCCCAGCCTGTTAAAATTTTGTTTTGCTTTTTAGTTTGACAAACTGTTCAGATACCTTGGGACATGGCTTGGTGATTCGGAGCTCCTTATGGGCACATCTGCTCCGTCCTGCTCTCCTGGTTTACTATGACATCAAAGTGGCATTTACTACAGTAACTGCCAAGTGTTGTTTTCACATAAGCAACAAATTTAAATTATGGGCCAATGTGAAATAAGGTACAAGGTTGTGTATGGGCGTGAGAATTTCCCAGTAGATGAAAAATACTACACACTATAAATATTGCAAAAATAAAACACAATAATATCACATTTTTAAACAACCACCATCTTGTTTTGTCACTCAAACTAATGAATATTCCTTTGATTTGGGGAGGGGAGGGAAGTATCTGTTTAAATTAATTAGGAATGATTGTGAGAGGAATTAAAATTTACTTTCCTTTTTGCAGAGGCCGTTTGTTTATTATCTCTACTAAAGCAGGATCCCTTGGAATAAACCTGGTGGCTGCAAATAGAGTAATTATTTTTGATGCTTCTTGGAATCCATCATATGATATCCAGAGTATTTTCAGGGTTTATCGCTTTGGGCAAAATAAACCAGTGTTTGTGTACCGCTTCTTGGCTCAGGTAGGTTTGAATTAAATGCTTTCCATGTGATGTGTGTATGGTTCTAGATAAGTTCAACAATATCTTCTAGAAAATAGTGTGGCATGACTAGATTCACCCTTGTTTTTTGTCTTCTCATATTTGTTAGCTTCAGTGTAGTTTTAGACTTAAGAAATTGAAGCAAGTTTCCAGAAGAAAACATGAAGCTCTAAAAATCAACCATACCCACCATGTACAGTGGTACCTCAGTTTAAGAACAGCCCTGTTTATGAACTATTCGGTTTACAAACTCCACAAAACCGGAAATAGTGTCTTGGTTTGAAAACTTTACCTCGGTCTAAGAACGGAATCCAAAAGGTGGAAGGGAACTGGCAGCGGGAGGCCTCATTAGGGAACGCGCCCCTCGGTTTAAGAACGGACATCCGGAACAGATTAAGTTGTTAAGCCGAGGTACCACTGTATATTCTTTCAAACTGTGTGACTTGACATTCTCAGAAATTTTAGCAAACACACAAAAGTTGCCCTTCAGCAACTCAGTGGTGCAGTACCTCTAAAGACAGAGGTTCCATCCAATTATCCATGCATTTGTCATATTTCCCCCTTTAAAGACATCTGAACTAGCAGCCGCCACCACATGTTTCATTGCAATGAATTCTGAAAGGTTTTAAATTTTTTTTTTATTTACTTACTTGCCACCTTGCATTCAATAAGGTTTGAAAGAGTGGCATATTTTTGCATCAGGTGAGTTAAAGTGTTTTCTTTCATCTTGAAACTACAGCCAACCAGCTTCATTGGGTATCTCGTTCGTCAGCAGTAGGGTGTGTGTGTGTGTGTGTGTTGCAAAACAGTGGCAGAGAGATTGAGGGAACTCTGGGTTGGTGGTTGGGGTCTCTCATATGTGCGTGTGGACATAAATTGTAATGTATTTTTGTTTTGAAGGGAACAATGGAAGACAAGATCTACGATCGTCAAGTAACTAAACAGTCACTATCTTTCCGGGTGGTTGATCAGCAACAGGTTGAACGCCATTTTACCATGAATGAACTCACTGAGCTGTATACTTTTGAGCCAGACTTGTTGGATGATCCTAATTCAGAAAAGAAGAAAAAAAGGGATACACCTATGTTACCAAAAGTAAGTCAATATGTACAGTTAGCACCTACAATACCAAAATATTTAGGTATGTGCCTTTTTGTGGGGGGAGCAGGGAGTAAATATGAATTGTCATGCAGAATGAAACCAAGGATCTTTTTAGCCCTTCTGTCTGTCTTGAGCAGTACATGCAGGTCCCGATCCACTTGCTCGCTATGTGAAAAGAATTATGCCTGATCCTCACTATAAACTCAGAACACTAGGAGTTTGCTCACTTAATTATTTTCTTGCTTGTTTGATAGTAGGCAGCAGCCATTTTCAGGCAGAAACCAGGCAGGGAGGGAGGGGGCAAGATTGGATGAACCAGAGAGTAGGAGAGATCGGACAAATCAGGTCTTCTTTCTACATTGCATTTCCTAAGTCCAGGCATTCCGCTTGCAAATTTGGCACTGTGAAATTGAAGTAGGAAATGGGGGGTGGGTTAGCATTACAAAATCTCCACCAGAATAAAAGGCGTGACCTGCGAAAAATAATGAAATGGAGTCATCATTCTGCTGCTAATCCCTGGACTGCTTTCCACATAACAGTTTAATTCGCAGAAGTGGTTTTTGCAAGTCACTCCCATGACAAGTGCCTAAAAGTGTGAAGGGTTGCGCTCTTGCCTCATTCATGGGATTGCACAGCATCCAGCTTCTTAGTTTCATAATGGCTTAATAATGTTCTCAGATGTGTATGAGGATTCATTTCCTGGAGGATTTATTTAGCGGGCTTGGCTTTCTCTGACAAGTTTCCTTTTTTAACACCTGAGTCCTCAGTTGTACATTAGGAACTCTTACATACTTCATTTCATTCATTTTGATTTATTGCTGCCTGACCAAGAGAGCTACCTAACAATGTCTCCGTGCCAGTCCATATTGTACATTCCTTGGAACTCTTGTTGGCTTTTATTGCCTGCTAATTTTTGAGTCCTGGGAGATTGCTCCTTGAATAGAATGCCCTGACGAATTCTGACTCACCACTCCCATAATATCTAGTGATGGTTCACTTTGTTGCACTTAATACTACATTACCAAGCAGTCCTAATGATTAGAACATTGCAGCCGCACCTGAAGCTCTGCCAGCAGTTTGTTGTGTTTTTACCTTATTTTACAAATTTCCTATGCTGCTTAACTTCTGGTGAAGCTTCCAGAATTGCAGGTTAGGGTTCCAATTTTTTTAAAAATAATAATAATCAGTGCATACATTTTTTCTATCTATACAAGAACAAAAAGTTCAGCCTTTTAGATTCACTATTTTGGCCCTTAATTGGTCACTTTGGTAAAAGTAAATTGAATATAAAAGGTCACAACTCCTAGTCCCCACCCCCTTCAGCTCTCCTTAGTTTGTTTCCATGCTTAGTTCCATAAGTACTGATGTTACACCACAGTGTGCGATAAAGAAACCAGATATTGCTGAATGTGGTATAGTACTGAACAGTATAGATGTTGATGAATTGCAAAAATTCCAAAAAGAGCAAAAATTGCCAAAGTTCATTTATTTGTACCATGTCTGGAATGGAAATCAATCCAGCAAATGAGGGGGTATTTGCGGTTGATGCTTCACTCTGCAGATGATATGTAAGGTTGTCGGAATTTTTTTAACAAAACAATTTGCATTGTGTTTTCTTTGCTTTGAAAAGAAGGGAGACTTGTTGAGTGCAATTCACATCAGAAAACAATATTCCTATCAATATTGAAGTGTTTATTGATGAGTTCATTGAAACAATGTTTCAAGAATCATGCAAACGTTAAGAAATGTTTTACTGGGGCATGTTGGTGGGTGGTTGTTGAGGGTTTTTTTTAAAGTACTGTTGAGTAGAGATGTTGAGAAGGCATAACTTTCCATTCTAAACGGTATTTGTTGCCAAAATGCATTATTCATCTTGTTATCTGCTGTGGTGAAATATTTAACTTACATAATTAATGTTACATTCTCTGATAGTATTGCACCCAACAAGTTTCTCTCACTCATCAGTTTGAAGATTGAATATTTGGCGGGTTGGTTTCATTGCCTAACCCTGTGTTAAATAGAAAGAGATGTTGCAGTGTGCTTCTTAAGATTATGAGCTTGAAATTATTGGACAACTTTCAGATTGGTTCATGAACTCACTAGTTGAGAAGTATCTAAAATGATATCTCAACTGAAAAAATTACTGAAAAAGTAAACATTTTTATCCTGTGCTTAAAGGAAAATTGAAAGAACACAACTTTAAAACTTTCTTGGGATATCATCTTTATGAAAAAATTCAAAGTTTTATTTTGGGAGGAAATAAGTTGGAAAATAGAGATGATTTTGGGGGGCAACTTTTTAGAAATTGGCTTTAAAAGATGGACATACATTGTGTCCCAAAGCTGAACTTGTTAGTGAGATACTTTCGTGGTTCTTACTTTTCTACACATGTTGTTGCTTTTGCTCAAGCTGTCTTTATACTGAAACTTAGAATTTTTTAATGTACACATTTGAAAAGCAGCTGGGGAGATTTTGTATGATACTGTATAAAAGCCATTTGTAACATCAATATTCTAGCAAAGATATTTTACATTTTTGAAATAAATCTTCATACAAATTCCTTCATTAAACATGCACTTTGAATTGTGAGAGACCATCAATAAATAGTTTATAAAGTTTTTACCTTTCAAGCCTTGACCTTTATTGAATACAAGTTGCATTTCAGACAAAGAAATGCAGAACTACCCAGTTGCGTATAATTTAAACCACATTTTGATGACTCTGTTGGCATGGTATATATGGATTAAATTGCACTGTATTCAACAGTATTGTTACCATAGGAACGAAGGCAAATGCATGTCTGAGAACTCTCCAGCCATTTTAAGTCCTCTTACGTAGCATGGAAGAGAGCTCCTTTGTGCTAATTTAATTTTTGAATCTGGCCTTTTTTCAACTTCCATCTACATAGTTTTACTACTCTACTTTTTTGTTCTTCCCAGTTACTGATATGCTTTGTGATCAGTTTTATTCTATGGATGTGTTTGGGGCTTTGTGACTTAAAAGTGGAGGTTATATCTCACCTGAAGACGAGGTGCCTATCTGTCCTGTTAGCCCTGTAACACCTCCCCCCTGAAACAGGTTCACAGTTCGGGTGTGCTCCTGGAATCAGCTTTGAGGCTGGATGCCCAGGTCTCTGCGGTGGGCAGGAGTACATTTGCACAGTTAAAAACTGAATTCCCCGCCTGGGGGGAACCAAATTGGACTTCAAAAGCTAAATTTCACCAAAAGCTTGATTAGGCCATAGAAATGAGACTGCTGAGGAAACAAACTTTCCTCCTTCCGCTGCTTTAATATCCCCTGATGAGAAGCATGCATCAGGACCCGCCACTTGCCATTAAAGAATTTTTATATGTGCTTACTGAATGTTCTGGCATTTTTTTTTACCAGGATACAATTCTAGCTGAACTCCTCCAGATCTGCAAAGAACATATAGTGGGCTATCATGAACATGATTCCCTCCTGGACCACAAAGAGGAAGAAGAATTGACTGAAGAGGAGAGGAAGGCGGCTTGGGATGAATATGAAGCTGAAAAGAAGGTAGGATGCCTTAAGCCATTTAGATCAATTTCGTTCTGTGACTCAGACAATTGTTCTGCATCTTCAGTATGTTTGGGCAAGGTATACCTCAGAAAACAGGAGCCTTGAGTTTCCAGTATAGACAGACTTTAGTAGATGGATTTGGCCTGTGATCAAAAAATGCATTTGCTAGAGGAATCCTTGTACAGTTTGGCTGCTAAATGTGAAGAGCTCTTATTGTTTTCACTGCCCTACCCCAGTACTACTAATTTGTTATTGACTGGATTGGCAGTGAAGCACTGCTTCATATAAACTACACAAGAAGGAAGACACAGTTAAAATAAAGATAAGCAAAAATCAGGAATTCTTCATGCCCCAGTTCTGAATATATCATTTCAGTGCCTTGTTAAGGCTTTTACTATGATTTCACACATTTGGTTTGGGGCTTAAACAAAACTGTACACTGTATTTCCAGAAAAATAAGTGTTATCCATTGCTATCTGTAAAAGACCAAACATCTCCTTGCCCCTCCAATTACTAGAAAGCCCTCCCAAAATTTTGGTTTGGTTTATTGAAATAAGCATATTGTGATGACTGATGTCTACTTGTGCTTGGTGAGTCTGCAGAACTGAGGAAGGTAGCAGCCTATTTCCTAAACTACACTCCTACGTTCTTCAAGGGGATGGCGCCAGAGCCCAACCTAGTAGTAATCTTATAATTCAAAAGCATCAATTCTTCGGCAATCCGCCTTCTTTATGGTCCAGCTCTCACTTCCATACATCACTACTGGGAAAACCATAGCTTTAACTATACGGACCTTTGTTGGCAAGGTGATGTCTCTGTTTTTTAAGATGCTGTCTAGGTTTGTCATTGCTTTTCTCCCAAGAAGCAGGTGTCTTTTAATTTCGTGACTGCTGTCACCATCTGCAGTGATCATTCAGGTGAGTACCAGTCATATATTCTCAAACCTTCAGCTTTGAATACTCAGAAGAGCTACCTCTGTTTTTCAGGGCCTGACGATGCGTTTCAACATGCCAATGGGGGCAAACATGTTCCCCACCAACTTTAATGCTCAGGCTCCATATATTCCTTTCAATTTGGCAGCATTGTCTGCTATGAGCAACCAGCAGCTTGAGGTAGGTGGGAAAGTTTCAAATACCATTAACATGATAGTTGCTTCATGCTGAGGATGCCTTACATAGTCATATTATTGCGCCCGACGATGAACCTAGTTCTTTTGCTTCACAATGAAAGTGCTGTGTGCATTGACTTGTAAGATGCTCGTTTCTAGGCTGTTTTGTGAAAGTTACTCCTTAATGTAGTTAAATAAAAACCAGAGGAGCAGAGTTGCCTCTCACAATTAAATTGTTTACGTGAGAAACACAGTAGTGTTTGAAATTATTTTCCATTCAGTAGCCCAACATGTGATTGGACATGTATGTGATTGGACATGGTAGTTGTATCATATGGAAGCATTATAAAGAAGCTAGGTAGGAATGGAATTTCACTATATTTGTAGATATCTTAATCTATGGTTATTCAGCAACTCTTAATCATACTTTTCTTTCAGGACCTCATTAATCAAGGCAGAGAAAAAGTTTTGGAAGCTACCAACAATGTTACTGGAGCAAGAATTCAACCCCTTGAAGACATCATTTCCAGTATAGTAAGTAAACTCACTGCTGATAAGAGCCATTTTTGCTCTGAGGTTGCATACATTTCAGAGAACTGCATTAAATGCTGATTATAGCTTGCAATATGTTTCCCCCCCTTCCTTCAGTAATACTGAGATTGCAGATTAATCAATTGGCTGCAGTGCTGTGAGGAAGAAATCTGTTTCAGGCATTTAAAAAGCCCAGTCCTATGGTAATTTACTTATAAACTATACTGTATCTCTGGGGTCAGGAACCTTTTTCAGCCATGGGCCGGTCTACCGTCCCTCAGACCATGTGGTTGGCCGGACTGTATTTTGGGGGGGAAATGAATGGATTCTTATGCCCCACAAATAACCCAGAGATGCATTTTAAATAAAAGTACACATTCTACTCATATAAAAACACGCTGATTCCCGGACCATCTGTGGGCCGGATTTAGAAGGCATTTGGTCCGCATCCGGCCCACAGGCCTTAGGTTGCCTAACCCTTCTGTATCTGGGGGAGCTTTCTTTCAGGGAGGCCTATGTAGGATGACTCCATTAATTTGTTTCTTTATTGTCTTGGCCAAATAGAAAAACTCTTCTAAACTGATTTCTGTTATAATATCGCATAGTATTCAGTTAAGAGTTAAATGGGATGAATGACATCTGAACACAATACAGCCATAGTTTAGTTCTATTTTTTTCTTTGGAGATGTAAGCACATACTTCTAATCCATCAGTCAAAATCAGTGGAGCTTTTAAGTGTTTTGGAGTTGCAGGTTGTGGGTTGTACATGAGGTTATGTTAAGATTGTTGCAGACAATGATTGTCAACTCTGGCACTTATTTTAATGGATGACATCTATATATTTTGTGGGGGGGGGGAGGACTTCATAAATAAGGTTTGTGCTAAAATGTTACTAAATCAGCATCCTGTCAGCAGCCAAGCAAAATATGCCATTTTCAATTTGTAAAAGATTTAGGATTTATATTATATTATGAACTGAAACTGTATTTGCATAATTTTTATGAATGCTTCTTTTTATGAGCAGCTTAATAAAATAACAGTCTGTTTACATTTCTGCAGAATACCAGATACTTCTCTATCTGCATTTCCAAATAGTCCTTATCCCTTTGCAATTTGTACTCTCTCCCTTCTTCCCTTCCCTCTCCCCAGTCTACCAGCTGTCATTCAAAGAGGAAAATTCCACATATCTGTTGGGCATGCTAAGGTCAGAGAGGTACCTAACTTTAGAACCCTAGATCCTCTTTAGAATCGTAGCCCTGGTACATTCAGCAGGCATAATCCTTGAGGAAATGGTAGATTACCCAGAGAACCATTACTTCTCCTCCTTTCAGTTTGCCTTCTCCACCTGATATCCAAGACCTTTGGGACACCTTGCTCTCACCTGTTCTCACATGTCTTGTCCAAGGTGGGTGCCCCTGACCTCCAAGTAGCCCTTCTGCAGCTGTTGAACTGGAACAAGCACCACCCCTTCCCTCTCTACAGCATTACTACCAAACAAGACACTCAGGTAGAGATGAAGAATATGTGGATAGACAAAACCTGCACATGAAGGAAAAATCCCAGTGACCCATATTATGCCTGTCTTCAGCCAGAGCAGTCTGTTGCAGTGTCTCAGCAGATTTATTTTAGACCATTTTTTGAAAACTGAGTTGCTGTATTCTCAAGGCAAAAACTCTCTGTTGACACATTTCAGGACAAATTGAGGCTCTATAAGAACTACTGCTAAAACCCTCTGTTGTGTTTTCATTTGCAGTGGAAGGAGAATCTGACGCTCACAGAGTCCCAGGTCCAGTCTTTAGCTCTAAGCCGACAAGCAACCCAGGAGTTGGATGTCAAGCGCCGGGAGGCCATCTATAATGATGTCCTGACAAAGCAGCAGATGGTAAGACTCACAAACACTTCTTGATTCAGGTAGACACATGGAAAAAACAAACAGGGCAGTAATGTAGAAGCACATTTGAAAAGGGGAGCTATTAACTGATTTATCCCACCCCAAGTGCTTACAAGACTTTTATTAGCATTGTGGATATCAATCTTACACCTCCCTAGGTCTCACTTGCAGGTTAGAGGCATCCCTGCAGTTGCTTGAGCTGTAATTTACATAGTGTGATGCAGCTTGCCTTTCTTGCTCCTAATCTGCACCAGCTCTTTTTTAGCAGCTTAGATTTAGCTTGGTGAGAGCTGGGTGTTTATCACCTTGCCAAGAAATCCTGCTGCAGAAAAAAAGATGTCATGCACAGGTACAGTTCAAGTGAGTTTTAACCATATGTTGTACTGAAAAGGTTATTTTTTTTTTAAGTTTTAAATAAAACAGGAACTTTATATGGCTCAAGAATGAGAGCTAGTTATAACAACAGAATTGAAAATCTAATGATACTGGGTCTTCAAATTAGCCCCACCTGTATCACCGCTAATCCCAATTGCATTGCATCCTTCCGTGTACTCACCTACAAAAACAAACCCAAGTTGATGTGAAAAAAAGAAAAAGGCCTATATACTTTGGCTAATCTCTATAAAAAGGATAACTCTAATAGAGTAGACCAAATTATGGAAAAAATGAGAGGGTACAATGTGAATTAGCTATTCATACATCAGGTTATATACATTTTATTTCAAACCAAGCAATTAAATCCCAAGCACTCACATCATGGCATCTTCTGAAAAAATATTTCTAAATACAACTCAGCATTCCCAAAAAAATTCTGCTGACACTACATAAAATACTCAGTGTTCTGGCCACTGAGTGATGCTCAGCTACTAAACAACTTTGGGAAACTGACCTAGACACTAAAATTGAAGAAGCTGACTGGAACAATCTGCGGGCAAAAAACCCTTTTTAAATCAGTATCAACCCACATAAGCTAATTTATAGATGGCATGTATCACTGCTTAGTGTTTTGGGGGGGGGGGGACTTGCTTTCATCCTCCATCCTGAGAGCCAGTGTGGTGTAGTGGTTAAGAGCGGTAGTCACGTAATCTGGGGAACCGGGTTCGCGTCTCCGCTCCTCCACATGCAGCTGCTGGGTGACCTTGGGTGACCTTGGGCCAGTCACGCTTCTCTGAAGTCTCTCAGCCCCACTCACCTCACAGAGTGTTTGTTGTGGGGGAGGAAGGGAAAGGAGAATGTTAGCCGCTTTGAGACTCCTGAAGGGGAGTGAAAGGCGGGATATCAAATCCAAACTCTTCTTCTTCTTCTTCTTCATCCACCCTCCCACCTGTAATATGAAGATAGTTTTGCTGCCCTCCCTTAACAAGGCTGTTGTAAGAATTTCAGAGATAGTCATACCTCATGTTACGTTTGCTTCAGGTTGCGTGTTTTCAGGTTGTGTCCCACGGCGACCCGGAAATAACGGAACAGGTTACTTCCGGGTTTTGCCACATGCGCAGATGCGCAAAATAACATCACATGCATGTGCAGAAGCGGTGAATCGTGACTTGCCGACGCGCAGACATGGGTTGCGTTCTTTTCAGGTTGTGAACAGGCCTCCTGTTTGTTGAGCCCTTGGGGTAGGGGGTGGAGGATATTGTGTTTTTTCTTCTTTTTTATGTATTTTGTGTTTTTTCTTGCATTTTTATGCTTTGAACCAGCCTGAGATCTAGTGAAGAAGGGTGGAATAATAATAATAATAATAATAATAATAATAATAATAATAATAATTCTATGTAAATACTACTGCAACAAGGAAATTTGTTTCATTCTCTGTATTTTATTTTAAAAGCACTATGCAGACCTTGATGATCAGTATAAAGTCAATATAATTCATAGCACTTCTGAAAGAAAAATCAATTTCTTTAGAAATAGATATAAACAATCTTGAATGAGGAGAACTGAAGTAGTCCTTCACCAGACATTATTGATATTCTTTTCAAGTTCACCTCCTTGCTAACCAAATACTTTTGGCTGGAAATCAGTGCTTCTTAACACTAAGGAATTAACATGCGTGTTATGTAAAGTCTTGCAGGGTTTTTCATGTTATATTATGAAACCTGAAACTTTTTCCGAGGCGTTCTGTCAGACTGGAAGTATTTTCTCGTGTGGTGTTCGCCACGAAATACTTGCTTGGTCATTCACATAAGAATTTTCAGGTTGCTGGACCGGGTGGGGTGGGGTGGGGTGGGGTAGAGAGATGGAAAATGGTACTAGAGGAGAGAATGTTGTAACTGATATATGGGAGCAATTTCACAGAGAGTGCTTGCCCCGATGGCAACCAAGATAAAGGTTGCTTGCAACACAATGGGTGAGTCATTAGGGGACTATGGTCCGAAATGGTATTGCTAACTGGTGCCTCCAGTCACTAGCTTGAAAATGCCGCCACATTAGTGATGGTGGTAGCGGTGCAACAAGTATCAAGTTTCAGGTTTAAATCAATTTGTCAGGGATACTGTGGCTGAAGGGAAAGGCATTATTGAGACAGGTCATGCCCTTATAACAGCTCCACTTTTTCCTCCACAGCTAATCGGTTGTGTTCAGAGGATTCTGATGAGCAGAAGACTCCATCAGCAGTACAGCCAGCAGCAGCCACAGCAGCTGACCTACCAGCAAGCAGCGCAGCACGTGGCTCAGCAAGCAGCCATGAGTCATGCAATGATGCCAAAGCCGGGTTTGATTATGAATCCTTCCAACTTCCAACAGATAGATATGAGAGGGATGTATCAATCTGTTGCTGGTGCAATGCAGCACCCACCCCCCTTGCAGCGGGCTCCTCTTCCAATGAGCGGCAAAGGCCCAGGACCATCCCAAGGGAAACCAATGTGATTATTTTGCACTAAAAGTTTTTAAGGATTGTTAAAATCACAGAGTGAGAGAGAACTTTTTTATTTTTTTAGGAATCAATGGCTTAACAGAACTCAACTGTTTAAATAGTTTGAATGATTTCCGCCCCCCCAGCTTAATCGGCACGTTCCATTGTAATTATTCACTTTGTTTTAATAAGACATAACACCCCCTCCCCGATATTTAGTGGTGTTGCCTAGAATCTTCTTACATGTGTTGAGTACAGGAGATATCCAGTTGTTTTCAGTGAAAACAGGTCCTTTCCATAACATTAGGGGCTGTACAGGTTTCCTGTTTAAACTCCTATGCTTGCTGTTAATAGCCATAAAAACAGCCATTAAATGGGAGAAACTTAGTGAAGTAACACAGATCTGTATATTTTGGTTGTCTCACACACAAATGTGCACAGCTGAGTTCTTGGTTAAAGTTGATTCCTCAAATTATGGAACTTTTTATAATCTTTCACAAAATAGAAAGTGTAAAGACAGAACTGACACGGAAATTTATTCTAATCTTAGAATTTGTGATGGGGGAAAAAACCATAAGATTTAAAAATGATCTTAAAACAGAACTGAGTGCAATATTTTTAAATACTACTGCTTTTAAACTTCCAAGTCATGCAGGTTTTTTTAGAAACTCTCTGCAGCCTTAAGTTAAAGCCTGAGAAGTTGCTGTTTCCTCTAGCCTTCTGCCACTTTTATTTCATGTATGTGATGGAATAATATCAATAATTTTTTATCCTTCACCAGTATACTTCCACCATGTGCTCGTTCCAATACAAAGCACATTTTTTGGACTCCTTTATACTGGTGCTAGGGTCTCATCCTGTTGCCGGCAGTAGGATGGTTGTGGACAGGCTAAGAGAAATATACTCCTGGTACTTTGGCGCTCAAATATGGTGGCAGTGGTTGGGACTGAGCCTGTCTTCAGTAAGCAGTTTTGAAATGGCTAGAACAATTTGCTCTTTAACCACATGAAGGAATGTGCTTTCACAGTTTGCAGTACTGTCAGGAGTTGTGAAATAATTCCTTGTTTTATAGATAAGAATCTCATTTTACCCTGTATTCCTTTCCCACCCTATTTCCCCCTTTTTAAAAATATAAATATGAAAGTGGAAGAAACAGCTTGGGTTTTTTTGTTTTTGTTTGTTTGTTTCTGTGCTGGAGGGAGAAGTAAATTTCCAAATAATTATGCTTCATTAACAGCTACTTTTACAACATGAAAGTGGAATAGTTGTCTGTTTTCTGGGCTTATGAAGACCCACTAAATCTTTTTCTCGCATTAGTCTAGCTGATGTCTCCAGAAGAAAATACAGCTATTGGAACGCAGGCATAAAATTAAATGACAGGTGCATATGAGGCATTGGAGAAGGAGCAAGTAAAGAGTAGGGTTATTTTGGAGATTTATGAACGCTAGGTAGGATTCACACCACTGAAAAAGCAAGAGTTGCTAATTTGTAGTCTAAAATTTCTTATTTTTTATCTATAATGCGCTTTGAGTCCCTGTCAGAGAAAAAGGCAGGGTATAAATAAATATATAATAATAATAAAAGTTTGGTTTTATGAATCATTCTAGAAGAATGGTTACGTTTTATTTCTCCTATCTGAGTGAATCAGTCAGCACCCAGGCAATGTTAATTTTGGGAAAGATTCAATTTTGCAGTGAAAATGCTTTGGTTGGTAATAGGAACACAGCTTGATCATTGCAGCAGATTTAACCATAAGTTGCTGTTTTCAGCTCTTTTAACAATGGGAAGACATCCTGAGCCCTTGTTCAGCTAGTGGTGTGATTCATTTCTTTAATTTGGTGAGAAGGGAAGTGCTCAAAGATTGCTATATTTGCTTCAGAGGAAGTGAAAATAGAGATTCCTTGACAAATGCTTGAAGGCAAATGGTAGCTGCCCAGGATATTCCTACATTTTGTAAAATAGAGCTGGGAATCTGAGTGGCATTTTTACATCAACTCAGGAGACTAAAGTTTTCACCAACTTTTTAAAGACAACACTTTTTCTCAACCTCAGCAACAACAGAAAAAAGGCAACTGGTGTGGATGAGGATGTCTTGGAGACAAGAAGCATTGAACTAAAACTTGGACCACTTTTCATACATATTTCTCACTTGGCATATAGCTGCATAATAACGTGCTTTTTAGTATAGCGTCAAGTTTTAACCAACATTTAATGACAGAAATGTCATCAGTTATTAAAAAAACTCATTTTTATATTTGTTTTAAATGTTTACCTAGTTGAAATAGCTTATATAAGATGATAAATTGTTGCTCGTAATACAGTTTTGCCTGCTAAATTCTCCACCTTTTGTAACCTGTTTATTCCTTTGGATGTAAAGCGTTTTTGCTTAGTATTGTGATATTGTACATGTTTTTGTCCCAGTTGCATAGTAATGTTTCAGTCCCTTGACCAGCTTTGGCTGCTGAAATCATACAGCTGTTAAGACTTGGCCTATGTTTTTATTTTGTTTTTAAGACAGTTTTTCAGTTGTGTATTAAATATCATAAGAGTACTGTAGAAAATATGTCACTTCTTATAAGGCTGTTTTGTAAAATATATATTAAGGACTGGAAACGTGTTTCTAAGGAGAAGCATTCAAGTATGGCAATACGCTATCTGTGTTTTCACCATTCGAAGTGCTGTTTGGTAGTTAAAGCTATTTAATATCTGATTTAATAAAGTGACCAAAATGGATTAATTTCTGTTGTGCTGCTTTGCTAACACGACAAGTGGAGCTCTTGATATAGCTAACCAGTGCCAGATCTGGAGATTTGAGAGACCCCTAGATTTTGATAAACCATAAACTTTGTCTGAATAGTAATATTCCTGAAACACTAATATTTATGACCCATATACATCATGGCCAAATGTACTTCCCAAAAGCTGCATTTTCTATTGAGTGGTACCTCAGGTTACAAACGCTTCAGGTCCGCTAACCTGGAAGAGTTACCTCGAGTTGAGAACTTTGCCCCAGGATGAGAACGGAAATTGTGTGCTGGTGGCGCAGCAGCAGCAGCAAGAGGCCCCATTAGTGAAAGCACACCTCTAGTTAAGAACAGTTTCAGGTTAAGAATGGACCTCCGGAACGAATTATGTTCGTAACTAGAGGTACTTGGTTCTCAAACTTAATCAGTTCCGGGAGTCAGTTCAACTCCTGGAACCCTTCGAAACCCAAGGCGCAGCTTCCGATTGGCTGCAGAAGCTTCCTGCAGTCAAGCGGAAGCTGTGTTGGATGTTTGGCTTCCGAAAAACATTCGCAAACTGGAACACTTCCAGGTTTGTGGCGTTAAGGGGCCGATTTGTTCAACAACTAAGCTGTTCGAGAACCAAGGTACCACTGTACTGTGAGATGCACCTGAATATGGATTATGATGTTGTTAGTTCATCCATTCCAACAGCTCCCTGTAAAGCTCAGTTTGAGCAGCTTTTCCTTTGCAGGTTTACCAGATAACTAGTTTTAATTGCTGTGGAGAACCTTCAAATAGAACAGTTCATGGAACTCAACTTTTGCTATTCGAACACCAATTTAAAAAATAACAAATATCCCTCCTAACAAGACAAAGGTATCCCAAGTGTTTCCATTCATATTCACGGTCACAAAAGTTTTGCTGGATTTAGAAAGACAGGTAGAGAGAGATGCCATTGTGAATTTTGTGTGTGAGTGAGGAAGGATTTATACTATACATTTATGCTTTAAGCTGAGCTGGATCCAGCAACACCATTTCTCTGATCCTGCACACCCTGTAGAGCAGTATGCACTGCCTGTACATCTTGCTGCTTCTCTAATCTTTGGAGGTTTAGTCAGATTTTTAAAAATGATTTAAAAACCCTTTAAAACATATTATTATTAAAAACTAGTACCGGAAATGGGGAAACTCTGTCTTGCTTTCACAAACATCCACAACTGCTTACCTGCTGCTTTTGTGGTGCAGAACACATGCATATTGCAACCAGGTGGATAAGATCTGTTGCATGAATCTTTCCACCTAATCATACCACCATATCTTGAAGGAATACTGATCCGAAGAAAATGACATGTAATCAGCCTGCCACATGATCTTTTTTTTTTTTTTTGCGGGGGGGGGGGGGACGACGACAAGTACTGGAACCTCAGGAAGCAACTCGATGCCATGGGGTGGGGAGCAAGGTACAGCGGGTACTGGGTTTTCATACTGGCATTGTCTAGAGCAGGAATGTGGAGCCTTGGGCCCAGGGGCCAAATATGATCACCTAGGCCTCTATGGCCCTCTGAACTTTATCCAAACCACACCCTGCACCAGCCAGCTTATCCCCCCTTGGGGTTTTTTGACTGAATGGAACATACCCTTGAACTCTTGCTTTTGTGCCTTTTTCTTGCCTGTGAGTGAACAAGCCTGCTGCACTTTTGTAAAGTACACATTTGTTTCTCTGCCGATTTCCCCCTGTAGCCCTCCCACCAGTGATATGTAGGCCCCAGAAAGTTCCCCAGAAGGAAATAAGGCCATTGGGCTGAAAGACGTTTTCCACTCTGGTCCAGAGCTTTAAATGAATCAAGAGTTGCAGGTCTTGGGTATTGAAGGAAATCTAATCACCTTTTGCTGGTGGTTCTGATAGCTTTGGCCCAGTGGCCAATGATAAATTTAACTTCGTAACATTTTGCAAAAAACGTGACGAATGCTGGGAAGTCTGGCCTTGTGTTGAATGTGCCTAGAACCAAGCGTCATAGAGACCAGAACAAGCTGCTTTTAACTGGTCTGCAGGCAGAAAAGGGTATCCTGATTCCCTGGGGGGGGGGTGCTGCAGGAGGTGGGGGGAGGATGGCAGCTGCTAAAGTTCCTTTTACAGTGCGCTTGAATCACCAGAGTTCTTGGCTCTTTCGGTTTAATGGTTCCAGTGCTCTAATGAGGCATAATGACAACTGAAGAACTCTGCTTCAGATTTAAGAGAAACCACAAATGACAGCAATGCTTGAGACCCAGAACTGAAGGGACACATGCACAAGAACATCGGAGGAGCCCTGCTGGGTCAGGCCAGTGGCCCATTTTGTCCAGCATCATGTTTTCACACTGGCCACCCAGTAGCACCCAAGTAGCACCCAAACACCAGAACCTTTTCATCTGTGGTTCCCAGCAACTGGCATTCAGAAGCATTGCTGCCATCATAGGCTATCAAGGGCCATCTCTTCCATGAATTGTCTAATGATCCTTTGAAGCCATATAGGTTAGTGGCCATTGATGCCTCCTGTGGGATCCGTAATTGAAAGTCTTTCTTTTCTCTGTCCTGAATCTTCTAATGTTCAGCTTCATTGGGTGTGCACAAGTTCTAGTGTTACGAGGCAGGGAGAAAATCTCTATCTACTCTGCCATGCATAATTTTATAAACTTCTATCATGTCAGCTATTATACCTTCTCTGAAAATTCCCACTAGAAAAGGGTGAGCATGCTGAATTTTTGCCCACTATGCATGTGCCCTCCTCTCCCCAAAGGCCATCCTTAAACCCTGCAAAGAACTCAAGTTTCATGAGTTATAAACCCAGCTATCCTACTGCAGCTCTTTGATTATGCTGGCAAATGCTACATTTTCTAGATTAGATTGGAAGGCATTTTGCGGACAGGATGAAGCCTCCCTCTGGGCTCGGTGGCAGGATCTTCAGAGCTTCTTCAAGTAGGAGGAGGCGTCCCACCCTCCAGACCTAAACCCTGACTGCGGTTGCGTTGTGCTGCTCCCCCGCCTCTCTGGTGGAAATCCCTATATGTGAACATTTTATGCGTGGTTTTTCTTTTTCTATTGTTTTTCCTCCTTAATTTGGTGTATTCGATGTATTTGAGAATGTCTGGGTGTTTTTTGTTTTTGTTTCTTCCCTACAAGATTTTCCTGGGGGTGGGGTGTCCCCTTTACAGGCCTTACCTTTCCTTCTTTCATGTGCTCATAAAAGTAAAAAATAAAACACCAAAAGATTTCTTTCCTTTTTTTTTTTTTTTGCCTTTTCCGGTCAATCTTGTAATCCTCCCCCACATTCATACTGTCAGAGGAGGAGTCCCCAGGTTGATTGGCACAGCCAGTTTGATTTTGTGGAGGTGGTGAAGATCCTCAAGGCAAGGGCATGGAGTATGGTGGGTCCTACAATCATTGAGTGGGAATGCCATATTCTTTCTTTCTTTCTTTCTTTCTTTCTTTCTTTCTTTCTTTCTTTCTTTCTCTCTCTCTTTCTCTCTTTCTCTCTTTCTCTCTTTCTCTCTCTCTCTTTCTCCCTCTCTCCCTCTGTTTTAAAATCTCAGTAAACTCCCCTCTGTGCTTCCTAATATCAGAACAGAGAATCAAGGAAATATTCTACACAATAATTGTAGATGTGACTGGTGAATACCATGTTTGATTGAAAATGTCATGGAAGGATATGAGACTTCAAGGAAGTCCTTAGTCCCATGTCCTGGCTAATGCCCTTACTTCTTTAACCAGTTTTTCTAATAATGCATTTGGCCATACCTTTTGTCACCACCAAGAGATATGCAGATATTCTAAGCCTTACAGCCTTCCTCAACCTGTGGGTCCTCAGCTATTGTTGAATTACAACTCCCATCACCCCTAGCTAGCAATGCCAGAGCTCAGAGATGATGGGAGTTGTAGTCCAACAACATCTGGGGACCCACAGGTTGAGAATGACTAAGCTTTCCCAATGGAGCACAATTTTCTTTTTCTGCCCCAGCATACTGCTCCATTTTAAGGCGAGATCCCGCAACACTCGTTTTGAGCAGGGGCACCTGTTCTGGCAACTTTATCACTTCGCCCTGCATTTATACCTCCCCCCCCCAACCACCCATGTCTGTGTGGCCAGTGCAACCCTTCCAACAAACCAGATGTGCAGTGATTTGGACCTGGGCTTGGTGACATTCTACAAATCCAGGCTCAAGAAAACCTGAAGATCTCTAGAATAAAAGCATATGGACAGCAGAGCTCCTACCTCTAGATCATAAGTCAGGTAAGTATACCAAGGAACCTTCCTGAGTAGAAATAGCTGCACACCATTTTAGATGCTTCCTCCAAAGGAAGTTTTTCAACCCAGACTAGAATCTAATGTTGAAAACCAAATAACACAGAAAGACCTGATGGAAACAGTAAGAGGAGGAAAACAATATATTCACTTCACCCCAGTACTATTGAGGGAGGGGAGATGTATCTGGGAGCAGAGGAGTTCAGGTGATCAGGGGTCACTGAATTGCAGTGGTTCAGGTAGGGGGAGGTAAGGTGTAAGAAGTGGAGCAGGCCATGTAAAGGGCAGACGGTACCCTGGGGAATTGCAGTTGTCCTATCAGCCAGCCTTCAGGTACAGTGGTACCCCGCAAGACGAACGCCTCGCAAGACGGAAAACCCGCTAGACGAAAGGGTTTTCCGTTTTGGAGGCGCTTCGCAAAGCAATTTCCCTATGGGCTTGCTTCGCAAGACGACAGCCCATAGGAAATCTCAGGGACAGCGGGAAGCGCAGCGCGTCTTCCCCACTGTCCTCGGACCTCCTCCGAAGCCTGGCGGCGGGGCGGGGACACCTCCTCCCGCCGCCGCCGGGCTCGGAAGGCTCCTCCGAAGCCGGGCGGGGAGGGAACACCTGCCGCCGCCGCCCGGCCGGGCGGTGCTCCGAGCCGGGCGGGGGGAGGGAACACCTGCCGCCGCCGCCCGGCTCGGAACGGTGCTCCGAGCCGGGCGGGGGGAGGGAGACCTCCCGCCTCT